ACTTGCCCGTTTCAGATTTTCCCACCCGCCAAAAAGCGGCGATTTGGGGGTCATTTGGCAGATGGGAAAATCTTCGGCAGGGCAAGTGTTGCCAGTCGGTCAGACGAATGACCTTGGAACAAGTTCCAAAAAAGGCAACTCCGGCGCCGCGTCATCCCGTCTGACCGACTGGTTTGGAGTCTGGGGCTAGCCCGGAGTTCGCCTCGGCTCGGGCGCCGGGGTTCGCACTGCTCGCGTGCACGTCCTGGCGTGACGCGAGCCCTCATTTCGGGCGGGTGAAAACTGGCTTTTTGCTGACTTTCAGGTGCCTTGCTCACCATGAACAACATTACTCGTCAATTCAACAACAACTTAAGATGATGGACCTCTGAAGGAGAAGGATATGGTGCTTTACCACGAGCTCAAGCAGGTATGCATTTCTTCAAGTTGCTAGGCACTGGGATCGTTCTGGATTGCATTGACCCATCATGATGTTTGTAGCATCTCACAAAAGAGTAAATGCTCGTGTGCAAACTGTGGCGAGGCGCTTGGATTTCGCCTGAATACACCCAAAGTGCATTTGGTAGCCCTCTTGTCATGTTCTTTGGCATAGGTCTCGAGTCCTCCGTTGAAGACTTGTTACCGATGGTGAAAAGTGTGGATGCCCCTTTGCCGACTATTTGTGACGAGAGCCACCCAGAGTACCTCCCATTGGTTCTTGACAACATTCACACCGCCGTCCGGAACAAGATGGAGCAAGAGGTCAAGTCTCCATGGACCATGAAGCTTGGGGCATCATAATCGCCCCGTACGAAGTTCACGCGGGTTTTATGCCACCAACCACAGCTTGAATAACTGTCTCGCAAGCGTCGACGACATAAGCCGTCCCCGCTTTGTCAAGTGAAAGCTGCTGGAGGATACAGCCAGAGCTCTTAGTGACATGACGGGTCGAGGAGTCAATGTGGTATACAGGTGATCTTGTACACAATGAAGATTGGGACCAGCAGAAAGGTTACAGCGTGTTCGGCATGTAATGCACCTCTATTGGTACCAACTTGTGCGGCAAGTTTCCCTGGTGCTAGACGTACTGAATTACTGACGAGTTTTGCAGTGCATCTTCGTTTCGGGATTGTTTAACCCCGAATCCTTGAACTTGGTGACCGCTTCGGAGGTACTCGCTGGCATCTAGTTTCCCCCAGGCAGATCCTATATCAGAAGATAGTAGTCGCTCTTAGCTGGCAGCCGACGCCTAGCAGATACGGCTGTGCCCTGCTGCTCTCACATTCCATCCATAGTATGCATATCACGCCCGTCTATTATGCATTACTTATGCACGGCAATGGACATTCTGGGGAGGCGTAAGGCTTGACACACCGTGCGAGCGACTCATCCCCAGCTGCGATGGCATCTTAACTCCTTCCGCTACAACACACAAATACACCTCCGGGGCTCACGCCCTTTCACCTAATGCATCTGGCGGGATGGGTACGTGGGTGTCCATCTCCGAAATGAGCCAGTACATTAATACGTTCAATAATTATCCAGGAGGGAAAGATGCGTCAAGTCGCGCTCGTCGCCGCAGATATAGTGTCGATATCATTTGAAACCTTTGCTCATCGTGATTTGTCGTCATAGATTCTTCTTCGGCGCAGAAGGGCCTGGGATCGGACTACGTTTGAGCACCGATGGCAGCTGTCGCGTCAAAGAGGGACAGCAGTGGGACAGCCCACGTTCGCGAAATGGTCCCGTGTTTTCTGACTTCTGTCTCCGCCTTATGTCTGGTGTTTTACTCTTCAGACACTCATACACCCCTCACTGCTTGTACGTACAAGCCATTCATACCATCTTCTTTGCCAACTGAATTGACCTCTCGTGCATAGACGTCCACGACAACACAAACTTCTTTGTAGTCCTTTGATGCTCTCTCTGTTAAAGGGCCCGTATCGTGATGGACAATAGAAATGGTAGACGCCTCTCCGTGGAAGGCAGCTGTACAAGCATTTCAATGAGGCAGGTACATTCTTTGGGGTTCATGCATCATGGATGACTCAGTGCCTTCGGGATTTCGGAGTTCCCCGATGCTGTAACCTCATAGCGTTGCATTCTGCGAGTATATGAGCAGCAGAATCAGGCCTCGTTGCTTCGATGCTCCTCCACTTGATCCTGCCTGGATGTCTTACCTTATACCGGAAACTCTTTTACAATGGCCGTGGTCACGCCAGCAAAATGTTCACGATGCCGAGGTCGGACCCGAATCCACATTATGGATACAAAGCTTCAACGCGCTTGACGCGAAGTCTCAGCGCGCGTTCGATCTTTGTGATTTCAGTACGTTCGCAAATTTTCTTCGCAGCGCAACACCGCTTCTCATAGTTTACTATACGTTTACTTGACAGACTTGTTCACCGCTCTTGCGTACCCATTCGCAAACAAAGGTGAGTTATTTTGCTATGCGGGAAGAGCTCGTTATGACGAGCCTTGTCGCGGATTGACTTCTTAACAGATGAACTGAGATCGAGTTGCGATATGATGCACCTGTTCTTTATGATTGACGAGCTCTCCGACCAGGAAACGGGTCCTGTTGTCCGCGAGCAAGCAGCAAGCATCATGGATGCTTTCAGAAATCCATACGCTCAGCGACCCGCTGGCGAGAGCATTCTTGGAGAAATCAGCCGCCAGTATGTTTCTACTGCCTACCGTTGCGAGTTATATATAGGCCTAAGCTTTGGCCCGATTTTATACAGATTTTGGGGCCGAACACTTGAGCGCGCAAAGCCAAGCGCACTCACTCAGCAAAGATTCATTGCGACGTTTGACGCTTACACGGCTGCGGTCGCTACTCAGGCCAACGACCGCGACGCAGATTTCGTCCGCGATATTGAAAGCTATCTTGCTGTGAGACGCAACACGATTGGAACGTATCCTTCATTCGTTTTCCTCGAGTTGGGAATGGACCTTCCCGAAGACGTTCTCGAACATTCCATCATACGTGACATGCAGCGGTATATAAGCGAGCTGATCGCCGTCTCAAACGTAAGTTATATTTTTTTAGAAGACACCGTTCCCATCGCTCCTGTTCTTCGCAAAAGTAGCAGTCAAGCTGACTTAGGCGCTGCCTGTGATAATACAGGACCTTTATTCATACAACATCGAACAAGCGCGTGGTGACAGTGGACACAATGTCCTGACAGTTGCGATGCACGACCTCGGGACGGGCCTTGACGGCGCCATTAAATGGACGGGTGAGTACTGTGATATTCTCGAACGGAAGTTCAAAGATGCCGCCAACCATCTGCCAAGCTGGGGAAGGGGCATCGACGAGCAAGTTACGCACTACGTGTCTGGCTTTGGGAACTGGGCGCGTGCTAACGAGGTGTGGAGCTTCGAGACGCCTCGGTATTTTGGCAAGGAAGGCCGTGCTGTACAAAAGAACAGGATGGTAATTCTCCTTCCCAAACGTTTTTGAGGGATGTGGCTCGGCTGTTAGATTGAATTGGTTTCTGTGTTGGGGAGAACGGGGATTGAAGCCTGAGGCCGAAGGTTAGATGAGGATATATATTTCACTTTCACCCTCACCAACTGTACATAAGAACTTATAGCGTACATGGTTTATCCAAGTCCACAACAAGCAAGATCATCGCACTGCTTAGGATGTCACATATTGATACAGCTATGTTACATGGCTTTGTATCTTCACCGAACCTCTTACGTTAGTTCCCTCCGATGCTTCCATCTACCGTGCTATAGTCGGCGCTCTTACTCTGGCCCTCGGAGTTCTGCTGAGGACCTTGAGCTAGTGCATCCTCGAGCAGCTTCAACGCGTAAGAAGCGCTTCCCCAAGACGCGATATAGCCGAAGCCACCGTGTCTGATAACGGAGAGATTCTCAGTAATGTCGTCCTTCTTGATGTCATGTACCAATGACTCACCCATAGTTGTAGACAACCGGGATGCGTGTCGCTTCCTTGTCCTTGCTAGCAGCGTGCCACTCGACCTCTAGCCTGACGCCACCCTCGCGGGCAGGACGGAGGCCGCAGCCCGCCTCCACGATATTGGCTTTGAGGGTAGAAAGGGGAATGGATCCTTCGCCCTCTGAGACGGGAGGAGGACCTGGTGGATACGTAAGGTGTTAACACCTCCATATCTACCTCTTAAGAACGAAACAATACCATGTTTGTGCGAAGGCACAGGCGGAAGGCCGGATTTGCCATTGCGCAGCGCCGGATCCGCTAGGTCCGGCACGAGTGCAAATGCGCGCTCGAGGATGTCCTCGGAGGTCTCCTCCCGAGGGATGGGGTACCAGTCATTGACATCGCCCGTGCCGCCAATCAGGACCTGTTGTAAAATCATAAAAGCACAAATGGTTTGATGAGATTTGGACCGCGGTGTTGGGATCAAACAGTGATATATACGCACCGTTCCTCCCGGCCGAGGTATCACATACGTGAATGTACCATCCGCTTCAACCATTACCCTCCCGTAATCGAGCCACGGCGCCTTCAGCAAGAGGGTCTGCCCACGCACGGGGTACACCTTCTCGTCCATGATCCCGCCGAGCGTGCGAGCCCCAATGCCAGGGCAGGCGATCACTGCGAGCGGCCCTTTTGATCCATTGTTGGTCAAGGAGGAACCGGCGTACGCGTATGGTGATACGTCGAATGCGTGCGTGCCGCCTTCAATGACTTGCGCGATGTGGTTGATCGAGCCGCGCACGGTGCGCCCGCCAGCCGCAATGAAGCGGGACTGGAGGTATGGGAGGTAGGCGGGCGGGTGTATCGTGAGTGTGCGGAGCGAGTAGGCGGCCTTGACGCGTTCAAAGGGAAGGTCGCTTAGATACTTGAACTACACGCAACACGAGGAGCAAGCGGGTGAGGATCGATGCAAGACAGGTAGAAGGCGAAAGTAGTACCTCTGGCATGGTTTCCAGCGTTTTCGCCACATCCGCCTTGAGAACGTCCTCGCGGTACTCTGTCTCGATGTGCCGCAAGAAGAGTGATTCCGTCGGCGAGCCGGGAGATGAGAGTTCCCAGAAGACATTAAAGGTCTCTTTGTTAATGGCTTGGTTCTCTTAGTCTACACCATATCGACACATTGCTGTTGATAACTACCTACCTTTCTGCTTTTCTTCGGTCGCATGGCTGAAATGGTGCGCACCCGCCCAGTGGCTGGTGTAGTGTATGCTCTTCGGATCCGTGGGGAACGTCTCTGCGAGAATGCTTACGTTGTACTTGCCCGTCTCTTGTAGCTTAATTGCGGTCGTAAGCCCGATCACACCTGGATAATACACCCGCGACGCGTCGGCATACTGTGATAAGTGATTAAGTGATGAGAGGCGAAAGAGAAGTGACCTGCGCCGATGACGATGATGTCTTTGCGCTCCATGACAATGCTTGAATCGTGAATTGAGTTTCTAGTGCGCGAGTGGTAGGAAGTTGAGCGTACTTATAAGAACGCAGGGCTTACGCAACCATGCCTGCTTTAGCTGCGCTGCAAAGCTCATAACGGCACCGAGTCAACGCAGTGACTGCGCTGAATGACCCCGAGGTCGTGGCTTTTCCCCAAAGGGGCCCAAAACGCATCAGCTGTACTATGCCGGAACCCGCAATGAAAACCGTCACCCGCAATGAAATTTGTACCTAGCGTCTGTAGGTTTCATTTCTCTACCAATCTGCGCAATACGGTCATAGCGTAGTTTCATTAGATGGCCCATGTTCAATCTTGTAGGTATATACCAAGGGACAGGGGAGGGACAGTCGAATTTCATTGTGGGTGACGGTATTCATTGCGGGTTCCGGCATAGTAGTGGCGCAGATATAGATCCGTCGGACCGCCCTATGCGGATCCATGAGATAAGAAATAGCCTGAGACTTGGAGCTAAGGGAGCGCACAAACGTTACTTACGTTCAACGGTCAACGTTCAAGTTTCAAGCCCAAGACCTACATATTGGTACCGCGTCGCGTCGCGTGTGTAGAGCACGTTAACCGGGCGGAGCTCGGACCGAGGGTGGGAAACCGCGGAATCACCCGACATCCCGACCTTCTCCTCTCGCTGCTCGGAGCCTTGTCGGAGTCCAGAGGACTTTGTCAAGGTCGGAGGAACGACCTCGAGGCTTGACTCTGTCTTTCATTCTCCTTGTGTTTATCGATATGAAAGCTTTCGTACTCCTATCACCACGCGCATGCGCTCACTCGCGTTGACATTTCATCTCCACTGATCATGGATGTGGCTATCGCCGAGTGACGACAACTTGAAGAGTAGGCGGCCGACATCCTCTTCCTCCAGCGACTTAAGCGCTCATGCAAAGTATCCACTGGGTTCTTGCTCGGTTATCTATCACAATATTTGGGAGAATCTGACCCCTTCTCTGCTCAGCTTCGGGTCCTCGAACGGTGCAGTAAACCTTGGCGGTGGCATTACCATTTCCCATAAATAGTCAAGGCGGCCCCATGTCTCAGATTTGTGATGCCGCCGCAGCTTCACGCTCTTGTCTCTCCAGGAACGCAACATGCTAGGTATGTCACGCTCTCGATACCTGCTCTCACGACCTCACGACCCTGGCGCGCAACTTGACCAACGTCGTGGCTCGTGATTGCCCTGCGTATAGCGACACTTGGCTCTGTGGTCATCAACGAGGCGTATGCAAGTAGCTGCAGTGCTGAATGAGCATGCGAGATACGCCTTCCTAAAGCGATACATTACAACAACTTCTTTTGGACGTCATTAATATCGAGCTCGAATGTTCGGCCGCGGTTCCATAAGGCGCTGAAGACCATTCATCCCGTTCGGGTCCCGCATTGGAAATGGACACATGAACTGCATATGAGATGTTCATCGAGGTTAGCCAACCTACTTATAATTCACATCAACTTCACCTACAGACTTACCTCACCGGCGCTTGTCCCTAGGGTACTCCATGAGCCCACGATTACTTTTGTCGGCTTAGACCCAAAGACTGATCGGGATAGATGCGCAGATGATTAATACGCCTATACCACACCCGATGTCAAGTCTTTGACAGGCTTGACGGGCTTCCGTACTTAAAGACGCTCTCAGTTCCCCAGCCCTCGCCGTTATCGACACCCCAAACCGCCCATCCCGTGCCCCCTCATCGGCATGGACGTCTTCTCCTCTCTCCCCTACAGCGTCCCGCTGCTTCTTGCCGTCACGGGTACTGTGTTTCTTGGGCTCAGGAGACGCAAGGCGAATGCAGAGGCAGACAAAGGTTTGAAGTTTCCTCCGGGGCCCAAACCCCTTCCAGTCATCGGAAACATCTTCGACGTTGGGCTGCAGGAGCCTTGGATCACATACTACGAGCAGTCTCGGAAGTACGGTAAGCATTTTAACATGCACCTGCTTATCATCGGGCCGTGCTCTTGCCCGCGCCGCACTGACGTCGTTCTCGGGGTTCCATAGGTGATATTGCGTATTACAGTATATTCGGGCAGAACACGATTGTGATACACTCGGAGAAGATCGCCCGGGATCTTTTCGAGCGCAGGTCGCTGATCTACTCGGACCGGCCGACGTTCCCCACCTTGGAGCCGTGAGTTTCCTTGTTCCGTTCACCCGGCAGACACGAGCACGCCTTGCCAAGGTGCCATGTGAAGATAACCGAGATTGATGATGTTACTGTACGTTGCTTGTTCCTGCAGATATGGCATCGGGTTTGCCACATTCTTCATGCGGTACGGCGATACCTGGCGAGCGCACCGCAAGATGTTTCAGCAGACATTCAAGCCCGCAGGTTCGGCCTCGTTCCAGCCGATGCAGCTGCGCAAGGTCCATCAGCTCCTGCAAAAGCTTTTGACCCACCCCGGCGACTACGTGGATCACATTGAGCTGTGCGTCACATATTCGCTTCCGCTTGTGGGCGCTGATCACGCTCGTCTGATGCTCATCTTTACAGGCTTGCAGCGGGCATCATCATGTCCGTGACGTATGAATACGAAGTCGAGCCGCACAGCGACCCTCTCGTAAACATCATCACGAACGCCAACTCGCGCATCATTCACGTTGGTTCTGTCGACAAGTCGATTATGATTGGTCTCTTCCCCTTCTGTACGTGACCAGCGTCTTTCACCCAGCGCGTTCCTGATGTCATGTGCAAAATGCCCAGTGAAATACGTTCCGTCGTGGTTGCCAGGAGGCGTCATGAATGCCGCCGACTGCCGGAACCTCGTCAAGGACGCGCTCAACATTCCGTTTGAACACCTCCGCAAGAAGCTGGTGCGTCTGTACTATATTATGCTGGGACTCATGTTCTCACTGTCAGCAACAGAACGAGGGTACCAACGGACATTCATCACTAGGCGCCGACTCCCTCCAAAGCTTCGGAGACAGACACACCGAAGAACAGATCGCAATGATCAAGGATGCTTGTATGACGTCATTCTCTGGCAAGTATCATCACATCAGACATCCCACGCACTCGGAGCTGAAGTCATTCCGTTCATTTTATTAGCGGGCGCGGAAACTGTGGGTAACGTTCATGAGCATTTCGACAAGCATGATCTGACCATCTCGACAGACCGTTGCCACGATTCTGACTGCTATGGTCGCACTTGTGCTCCATCCGGAAGCACAGAAGCTTGGGCAGCAAGAGATCGACAGGGTCGTGGGGTCGCATAGGCTTCCTAACTTCGAGGACAGGGCGTCGCTACCTTATCTCGAAGCAATATATCGCGAGTCGCTTCGGTGGCATCCGGTCTCTCCACTTGGTAAGTTGCACTCATCATACGAAGCATACCATCGACTAATTGCTATCATCAGGCGTTCCCCATTCACCCAATGCCGATGATGTATACGATGGTTACTTGATTCCCAAAGGTAAGCCAGATGCGGATCGAGGGAGGGCTGTGAGCTTATAACGCTTTGTCACCAGGCTCCGTCGTCTTTTTCAACAATTGGTACGTCTCACTCGCCACACTCGCCGCCCGCGTCTTACACTGCATGTCAGGTCAATCTCGCGAGACGAAGCCCGTTTCCCCTCGCCCGAAGAGTTCAAACCAGAGCGTTGGCTGAAGCCCGACGGCAGCATCATCGACGACGAGCCCGAGTTCGCGTTCGGCTTCGGGCGACGGGTCTGTCCCGGTAGACACGTCGCCGACGCGACCGTGTGGTCGGCGCTTGCGTGCATGCTTGCGGTGTACAACCTCGAGAAGCCCAAGGGCGCGGATGGCCGTCCTGTCGACTTTGAGCCGACGTGGGTGTCTGGGCTTTCTTCGTGAGTGGCGCTTTTCTTCTTCGTTGCATGGTATTAAACACTGACTATGTGATTGGTGGCAATTTCCTAGGGCACCACACCCCTTCCCGTGTAATATTGTCCCTCGAGATCCCGCTATGTACGTAGCGGCGTTGAGCGAGAGAATCGCTGCTTCCGAGCCGTGAGGTAGTGGCTTCCTTTCTTCTTGGATGTATTGTACTCAAGAATGAGTCCGAGCGCACACGCTTTATACCCACGTATATATGTAGGTAATCGAGAGTTTCAGATAATTATATGCACTCCGTGAAGTCTGTACATAGTCATCTCCCATACTGAGAAACAGCAGAAACATAAAACGCGATGGTCCTGCGATCGATACTTTGAATCAGGTCAAAACAAATTTTTGATTCTCGTCAGACGCCGAGCGCTGGCATCAATTATCTTGCTGCTATGATTGTCATTCTCAATAAGGCTAACGGAATTCTTTCTTGAATTGTGGAATTACTACGATACATTCTTTCCGATATAGAATTACATGATTACAACTGGCGCAGTAGTCTCCAACACAAGCGCGCTAGCGATTTGTCTCCGTATATCAGAGGAACGCCTTGAAGATAACATTTAGTCTTTTGAAAGGTACAACTTAACAAAAGCAACGCTTACCTACTATGTCGCAGGCGAAACCTAAAGCTCGTTAATGACGAAGGTTGAACGAAATATTTTGTAAGTGTCGACGGCCTCTTTGCCTTTGTCTTCGTCTTTGTCTTTGTCTTTGTCTTTGTCTTCATCTTGCTCTTCGCCTTGCTCTTCGCCTTGATCTTTGCCTTTCTCTTTGCCTTGCTCTTTGCTTCCCTTCTCGTAGAAGGGAACGAGATACAGATCCTTCCCTTCCGCAGGAATGACCTTGAAAAGGATTGGGTGAGTAGAAAAGCGGATGGTCCCGACCACACCCGATCCCGTGTTTGTCGTAAAGCTTAGGTCTTCATCGACTCCCCACTGACTGACGGCTTTAGTGAGACGCGCATGAACGCGGTGATTCCCGTTGTCGACCCAATCGCAAAGAAGCTGCATCGGAGCCAACGCCTGAGCGCGGTGTTCGAGTGAGAATCTGTGCGGGGAAGGATCATTCTGGTGGCGACTGCCGACGCTAAGCATACGTTCGGTGCCACCTATGTCCTGCATATAGAGATAATCACCATCAGTGCCCTTCTTCTTCAGCTGGAACGATAACGGCCTTTCCGCCGAGTCCTCGTAGGACTTCTTGAAGAAGCGTAGAGCTGGAGGGAAGTAGTTGGAAGCAGTATTCAACATGTTTTGGATACGATCTCGGCATCTATCCCGAAGGTATTCCGCTTCCTGTACATCTGAGTTTATATTGAGTGAGTACAGTCATGGAAATGTGTTGGAATGATCTCACGCACTAGCAGCGGTGAACAAACTCAGGACAAGGCCCTGACGAAGGACGAATGCCGCGGCAGTGATACGGCTGTCGATGTCTTCGACGTAGTTGGAAAAGAAGTACCGGAAGTTGGACCGATCGACAGCCTTCTTGTAGAACCGATTGTGCCAGGTGCGAAGGGCATTTCCGCCCGTAATATCGCTCGATTCCGACCCCAGGATCGCTTTGTAGATGTTGTCTGTTCGAAAAATCACTCCGGTTGTTTGGCTTCTCAAAGCACAAATTAAGTCCTGATAGTTCTGATCATGAACATCGATCCTGTTTGTAGCAAGGCACAACTACGATTAGAAAGAAGGAAAACACGAGGCAAACGGAAGTCTTTTGACGCACTCTTTCTTATCCCCGATGATGTACTTCATCCTCTCTGTCCAAAACGTGATAAGCCTGAAAGCGTCCATAGTTTCGACTTTGAACTGAAAGTCCTCTAGCTCGTTTAAGATCTTCTCTTGGTTTGCAATGACTTGAGAGATGCGATCGACGACAGGGCCGGCCATCCCGTCTTTAATAGATTGAATGAAGCCCCCTACAACTTGCGATACGATGTCATTCAAAATATCAAGGACGATACTAGCCATTGGAAAATCCGATGAAGGGTGAGGAGGGACGACGGTAAGGTGGGAGTGCGATTGGGTTCCAGAACGGATGTGCGTCTCCTTCAAAAGTCCTGGTTATATAACCTGGGCTTGGTGGTACTCGAATGAGTGGGGACGTACGCCATCAATACGGTCAATGAAAAGACCGGAGAAGCGATCGCATCAGGTGTCTGCAAAAGTTCGGACCCAGCTTGACATCAAACTTGAACCGAACCCCAAGTGGTCAAGATTGACCGCACAATGGAACAGAACTCCAACAACGAGGCTAATTCGACGTTGCTTGGAAAGTCCGCAGCAGCTACGAACGTGTAGTATTGTCACGTCATCGTAAACGGGCGTCTAGCACGGAAGGAAGCTGCAAGGTGACTCTCCACAACAAGGAAGTCGCCATTATGAGATGTGGCTTCAATCACGAATCATTGACATGCATAATACCTCCAGATACCAGTGGTCACCCGACCGACTCTCCAAGTAATCGATATTTCCAGACGCAAACTATAATCCCATCAGCTTGGGGGCTTTCGTGAGCACAGTATGAGCGTTATGCTGACAACGCAGTACGCATATTGTAAGCCTCATAAGCCCACCCTTCGCGAGCAATTTAGACGTGGAAATCTGGCCCCAGCGAACTCCCAGCGATCAATCGGAATATATTATGCATGTCTTCTGGCTGGTCCAGAGGGGGCGCTTTCAATTCTGCGGTACTTCAGGAGTTAATTATCATGGTCATTGCTGTTCATACCTTTGCTACAAGGCGGTGCGTTGAAGCGTAGCGAATAGAGCTCAGTGTAGTGGTGCAAAGTGAAGAGACACCGCCAACAGCAAATCGGACCGTCTGCGTTGACGCGTTTTGCGGTGGCGGTGAAATCTGGAGACGCGACTCGCGCTAGGGAAAAGGACACCGCGCTCGGCCCAAGCTCAGCCAAAAGTCCTCTCTCACCCAAGCTCAGTCAGAAAACATTCTCATCTCTCTTTCCGTTGCGTACATGCCATCCGTTCATCCGAGCATGCGTTCGCTCTCAAGTTTGCGACACAACGACTCAAACAACGACCTAATGCGAACCAGCTCAACGTCCAAAGAACTATAACACAAGTGTGCAACCAGACGCCTGCGAACCAGAGCACGACAAACGATGGCAAGGGGGAGTGGTATGCTGGGAGAAGAGAGGGAAAACAAGAGAAAGGAGGGGCAGAGGATCGAGTAAGGAGGGGCGGCTGAAGTTCTTGGGCTTTGGAAGGTGTGTCGTGAGGCTGCTTGCGTGACTAGCTGAGCAGCCGAGAAAGATGACTCCAACGGCTCAGTCTTGCGAGAAAACCCTTCCCTAACCTACTCGAGCAACATATCCCTCGTCAATGGCTTGCGGGAACCATTCAAAACCTCGCCTCCTGCGTATCGGGGCAAGTCTCTTTTCGGTTGCTTGGTCCACCTCTTCCTCCCCTTGTCTAGATTGTCAGCACTCTCTAGCCGGGGCGGTGGTCTGCTGGCAGGGATATTGAACGGGTCCCTGGGCAGTGATTTTCACAGTCCACTGTCGTACGACGGCACGGGACCTAGAAGAGGTTCCACAGGCGTTCGCCCTCATCAGGAGTATAGCGAGGCTGCCTCGTCAGCTCTGTAAGCTCTCACTTGTCGCCCGCTGTTTCATATGCCAAAATGGGTTCCGGATGAAGCTTGGGCATCGAAGTCTCTCCTCCGTAGTCATGTCGAAGTGCTCGAAACTCGATTCCAAGTATGTCGTTCCGGCCGACTGGCCACCTTCAGGAGATTTTTTGACGCGATCGCAGCCGTATCGGGCATATTCATGGGCCCTGGGGTTCCCTTCCCCCCCAAGAGCAGCCACGAACGCCTCTGGAGCGCATCGTGAGCGACTTCAAATATGGTCTCCTCGACCTGGCTGCGACGCTGGCGAAACCGTCAGAGGACTGGCTATCATTCGCTTGGTAGACTTCGTCTGGTTAATCTTCCTTTTGCGTTGCTAGTTTTGGCCTGCGGGTGCCCAAGGTCGTTTCAGGCAGAAGAACTTGGTGCCGGATGTGTAATACGTCGCTCGCAGGCTGTCCTGAAGCTATATGCAGCCACCTTCAATAAGGCCTTTACCGTCCTCTCCCTAGCCAGCGCGTAGTATCATTGGAGAATCTAACCTGGCCGTGACGACTGTGCCGGGAGCGAATTGGAATAAAGTCAGTAACGACGTCGTATCACGAGTAATACAGGTTATCTCACCAAACTCATTGGTCGTCTATAAGCTTATCCTTCCCGCAGCCGGTGGGGTTTCCTCCGAACGCGGTTGTGGCAACTCAGGTACTCGAAGAAATTGGCCGCCACCGACAAGTGAGACATGCTCTTGTTGGCTGTCCCTCATAATTGTCCGCTGAGCTAGGACCTAGGTGGCAACCTTGTCGTCGATGAGAAGGCCTGTGGTTCCTACCACGGGTCTCCGGACCTGGAGGTATCTAAATGCTACTAGGAGATTTATTTGAACGGTGCTTGCTCGGTGCTGTGGCTAAGGTGGCCCTGGGTCGAAGACGTCGATGTTCAATCTGGGCAAGATACTTGGGGCGGATGCCACTGGCAGCTGTGCGGTGACCGACGACCATGCTCTTGTGGATGTCACATATTATTGTCTCCCGAACCGGGGCATGGGTGGCTGCCCTTCTGGTATTGAAGGGGATGGCACTGTCGACGGCACGGGGGGCCCTCGGACTGGATATATCTGGGAGTCCTTGGGAGTTTCGCTTGAGCTACGCTTGCGTGAGGTGGTGGCTTGGTGGCTATGGGTCTAAAACATTGTAGTGCGTTCTAGGCAAGGTGCTCGCGAGGAATGCCATTGCAACGTGATGCAGTGGCCCACGACCGTGCTCTTGTTGGTCAACTCGGGCTATTGTCGCTTGAGGTGGGGCCTATGTGGCTGCCCGTCGGCATCGACGGCGAAGGTCTTGTGATAGATTCGCTTGAGCGACGCTTGCTCGAGGCTGTGGTTGGGCGGTTCCGGGTCAAAGGCGTCGACGTGCGTTCTGGGTAAGGTCTTCGGGGTAGATGCCACCGTACCAATGCGGTGGCCAACGGTGCTACTTGGAGGAGCTCGCGGCTATGGTGTCTCAGCCACTTGGGTTCCCGTCGTCTGTGGCACCTTCGAAGGCTGGGTGGTTGACGTGCGAAGGGTGCGACGGGACTCTCTGCGTTGGTCTTGAGTTCGACGCGGTTGTTTTTTGGATGATATGCCCGAGTGGCCTATAGGGTGATCGTGCGAAGGTGGTCTCCACTTTGGTCTTGAGCGACGCGACTTTCCGGGTGATGGGATTGGATCGGCCACGGGATAAAGGCTATAGGACGTCCCCAGCGGTGCTCTTGACGTCGGCATGGTTCCGTAGACATCTCTGAATGCTCGTGGTATTGGAATAATAGCAATGCAAGCACCGTCAAACAAGCACTCGTAACTAATGACTAGACGGTGAATGCTCGGTGGCTTCTTGTCTGACGCTTCGCCTTTCCCGGGGGACCTTCCGGACTGCCCGGTTTGTATTCTGTGAATTTACTGAAGCCGGATAGTCTCTGGAAAGGGCCACTTGCACTTCGGAGCACGGTTGGAGATATGTCATCGTCGTGATCTGTCTCCTCGGCGTACTCCCAGGACCCCTTTACCCTTGTTCGCCTCGTGCGCGGGTCGGTGGTACTGAATGTGTTGTCTCACCTTCGCGGTTAGCAGCTTCTTGCCATGTCTCCGGTGCTTGTTGGTCTCTTGGAGTTGCCTGGCGATGCATGTCTTCTTGTTGAGGAATATGTCTGATGGGAAGGGCGAGATCTGTGGCAGCATCACGCGGTTCACGGCCCATTGATCGATGCGGGTCGGAACCTCCGGCGTGCGGTGTTTACTTGAGGTGCGAACATTTAGGCTTGTGGGTGCCAGTTTTAGGCGCTTGCTGCCGCCTTCCATATCCCCGAAAAATCTCTTTTCTCACTTGCCTCGCTCTGCGATAGGCACACGATTGTGATATTGATCATAGCTGCATATCAAATTTAATGCGAGCTTGTGACCCTTTGCTGTGCGCTGAATGAAAGGACGCGATGTGTTACTGGCACGCCTCGCCTCGCGAACGGTGGGTTAGCCCAGGTTGGTGGCTCATTTACGGAGTTTTGTATCGGATCGGGCGTCCTCTTTGGAGCACGTCACATCCGGGGGTCCATGCAACCTCCGTGGAGTGGTCTGTCCGCTGGGGAATCCCACAAAATTCATGCTGAGAGCCCAAGCTTCCGAGCCTAGGCGCTTGGTCCGCGTCGCTGCGCAGTCACGCCCAAGCCAGTTTAGGCTTTATCGACGGCCTGATGCGACGTCGATACGAGGTAATTAACCTTAAACCGACGGCCGGTTTGGCAAGACAGGGCCTGCCGACTGGGACGTTCTGACGTTTCGCTCAGGGTGTTGGATGGTCTGATAAGTGCCGGTGATCGCTCCCCAGTCTCCGCATCGTGCCGTCACCCCCATTGACACCCCGAGCGGAAGCAAAGTTTCGGTTTGGGTTTGACAGCCCGCGAGAAGTCTGTCCCCAGAGGCCTGCTGACGATCGCGCTTTGCTCTTGCTTGCTTTGTTCTTCCTCGAGCCACCGAGAGGTTCAAAAGCCTTCGGGACCTCGACCTGCCCTTCATCTTCTCTTGTTGAGCTCACGCGCCACTAACGAAGCAACCATGGGCCCCTCTACATACCTTATTCCTCAGTCTTTTCTGAAACCCGAAGTTCTAATTGATGATGCCGACCTGAACGGTTTCTTGGACCGTAGCCAGTCCCGTGAGTTGCACGTATGGTTGGATTGTTCAAGAGTGCTGACGTTCTTGACAGATGGCGCGTTTGCCGATCTGGGCTACCCGCCTCAGTCCCCACCGACGCCGACGAGCGCTAGTAAGTCGCCTTTCGTGTTGCCTATGAGCAGTCTGCTAAGGAACTGTCCTGCTTCTCGTTCACCATCCTTAGGTCATCTACCCCCTGCCACTTTTGCTACACCCATTCATCAGCTCTTACCGCCAATCCCTACTGCAGCATCATCCGTAGCCGCCCCTGCGTACTCCGCTGTCCCGGCTCAAGGCAACGTGTTGAGTTCAGAGGGAACGGCCTCGAGCAACATCATGGACCTACCGCCTCAAACGACATCTGAGTCCGAGGCAGGCCCCTCTCACATCACCGCCGCTAACACAACAGGGGTGTCGTCGACATCCTCGATGACTGACGTGACCGCCACGCCAGTCTACTCGGTGAGGATACAGCTCTATGCGATGCATGAGCATCTCTGTTAATGCTTTTCTTGCAGGAAGATGTGGAACCACATGACCAACCGGCGGACGACAAGGGGATGACCTCGAGTATCTCTAAATGAGAGTGGGTCACTCGACGAAGGATACATGCCCTCCCCGCCTTGACCGTTTTGGGACTGCACTTAGGCTGCTAGTGGGCTTTTGAAGGACGTTTAGACTTGTATTTGTAGCTTTTCACTGGACTATATATCTGACACCATCCTCATATGCATGCTTAGACCCTATGTACTATCCGTTTATTACCTTTTTCTATGTTGATATTGATTGCTTGGTTCGAAACTCAACTTTGCTTCCGGCGACTCAGCTGATGACCGATGTCCGGGATAAGCGGAGCGTGTCAGAGCGTGTCGGAACTCGGGACTCGGGACGGAGTCAAAAGGGCATGACTCCGACGACGGCAGTGACTTGGACGACGCCAACGACGACCAACGTGCATACATTCCGCAACACCCGACTTCAACGATTTCCTTGAGGGCTATGTGTTTCTCTGTTTCTTGAGCGCTCTCGCCATACCCTCGCTGCACCGGGGGCCGCAGGTGAGCTTAGGGTAACTCGCCTTCCTATAAGGTTGCCAAACCAGTGACCCAACCTTGTATCTTCATTTCCCATAGACTCAGACAAGTCTTGCTGTGCTCACCCGAACTCAGACAATGTCCGCTTCTGCCCCATAAACGCGGTGGCTGCGACATTGATCACACGCACTTGGACTCGACCATATCTGACTTCCATATCACATTATGGGCGTCTAGAAGAGACGCCGGGTACAGGATCCTTATATACTCCCCCTGCGCCCGGAGTCCCCTTTCTCACCCTGACTCGAACTTACACCACCATGAAGACTCAAGGAGAGCTCATTAGCCTGTCCCAGGGTTACGATCTCCCCTCAAGCAACATCACCTCGCAAAAGCTCTTCGAAGAGCTGCGTCTCACGGCGCTTGACGCCAAGCATGCATCCTCGCCCCTACTCCCCTTCTTCGCAGACGAATGCCTCATGTGCATGCAGATAACCGAGAACGCGATGTCTGAGGCTTCGCTTCCTGCGGCCGAGGAGGCACTAATCAAGGATGAAGGCCTATACAAACACACACGACCCCCACGCAACCCCTATCCACTCGTTGTAGGCCTCGTCTACCTCACCAGCACACCCCAGCAGTCCCACTCGGCCGAGGCCAACGTCGGAATCATCATCGACCGGCCCTTCCGCAGGCACGGGTACGCCCGCGAGGCGCTGGAGCTCGTGCTCACCTGGGCGTTCGACGAGCTGAAGCTGCACCGCGTGCAGGCGGCCATCATCGACACGGCGGTGAAGCACCGCCCGTCCGGGCTGTTCATGGGACTCGGGTTTCAGCACGAGGGCATGCGCCGCCGCGCGGTGCTCGTCGACTGGGAGACCGAGCCGGGCACGCAGGGCGGCTATAGTATGGACGGCGACGGCCGCGCGGCGGTGTCCAGGCCGCAACAGGGGTGGAGGGATGTGACGTATCTTGCGATGCTCGATACGGACTGGATGCTGCGCCGCACGGCGCGCAAGGGGAAGGCGGCGGAGGTGGGCGAGCCGGTGCAGCGCAGATCGCTTTGGGATGAGATGTTCCTTAGACATGCGCGTGAGCGCGAGGAGCTGGCTATGTGGGATGACCGCCGGGCGACGCTGCGGAGAAGCGATAGTTCCGAGACGATCAGGCAGGATGCTGTGGATGCTGTGATGGAGGCTGCTGCGCCGGAGGAGGCGCCGGTGAGCAGGATCCAGAGCGGAGACGAGAACCCCGAGGAGAGGATGGAGGAGAAGCGCGCGCTGATGAAGCAGATTAGCAGGTGGTTCGCGGGGTATTCTACGTCTGCGGCGGTCTCCACCGCGTCGCTATCGCGCTCGCCGTCAGCGTGCTCGTCGAGGGAATCAGATCTGGGCAAAGAGATTGAGCAGTCGCCGTGGGCGACTCGCTTGGACTACTCTTCGACGTTCAAGCAAGCTCCAGCGCCATCTGACGAACATCTCAAGCAGGAGTTGGATCGGTTTGAAGAGGACCTGGAGCAGTTGTATGGGGCCAAGTTCATCGAGTCCCGAGCGGGACCTTCGACACGCCCAGGCACCATCGGGAGCATCCCCTCGGTCCCGCTCTCTGCTGAAACGGCTACCGCACGCCCGACCACGTTTAGCACCATCCCCTCCGATTACCAATTCCCTGCTTCGCGCATCCGCTCGTGGTCCTCCGACATGGCACTCCTCCCCGGACCGGAACACATCACGCCTTTCCCAGATCGCGCGCCCTCGCGCGCATCGAGCGTCGCGTCCGAGTTCTCCTTCGGCTCGCCCGCCGAGCATTACCGCGACAGCCGATCGGTGTCGCCCGCGTCGACGTCTTCCTTTGGCTTGTTCCATCCGCCGCCTGAGCGCTCGCGCTCGCCGTCGGCGGGGTCGGAGTCTAGCTTCTTGTCGATGGAGAACGGCGGGAACGAGCGGGACGGGGGCTTGATGCGCAACCCGTTCAGCCCGGGGTCGGACTTGGGCTCGTCGGCGAGCGATCTGATTGACTTTGAGAACGCGGCGGCGATGGCTAGAGAGTTCGACCACGGGGGGCATGGTATGTCTCCTGGTGAGATGTTCTCGGGTGATAGGAGTGCGGCAGGTTCGCCGGCTGGGAGCTCGCCGTCGTATGCGAGCGTGCGTCTTCCCCAGAGGAGCGTTGGAGGGCTCTCGATGTCGCGTCCGCTGGACGTGCGGAGTGTGAGCAGCGGGAGCGAGTGGGATATGGTCAGTGACCGGGAGGCTGATGTTACAGACATGAGGGAGAACTAGAACAGCGAGATACGTCGTATTGTTGGCAATAGGTTGGTGGACGCAAGAGCTGGCGGTTCATGTATGCCACTGGCGGCTGCTGGGTTAGTGTAGGATTAGATGGGTCTGATAACAAATATTATAGGAAATTACACACGCATGTGCATACCCCACATATACATCATACAGGTTTCTTCTCTTACACCGCATTGTTTTTTCTTCCTTTCCAAATGTCTATAACGTTCTTCTAAGTTACCGGTGCTTCTTGTATTTCGTTCCAACCGGGGCTGACGCGAGTCGTCCCTTGAGGATCATATTGACAACAAAATGAAGCTCGTCGTCAGGCAGCTACAGCTTTGCACTCTTCTTGCATTTCTGCAATCCTCGTTAACAAACCGTTCGAAGAGTTCTAGAATTAAATAGCCCCTGTCGAGTGTCACGTGCGTCATGCCAGACATAACGCAATTTCAGCGCCGACGCGTCTTGGACGTTCCGTTCACCAGCTTCCTTCCCTCGAGCCCCTGTCCCCTCTCACAATCTTAACAACATTGTCAGCCTTTTTTTGCCACGAACACACTACGACCACACACGACCTTGTGCACCGGACTCTGCCATCATGAGCTCAACACCGAAAATCATCCTCAAGGCGCGTCGCCCGACGCGCGGGAAGAGCAAGACCAAGAGCGTCTCGCGGACACCACTATCGTCACCCCCGCCCAAGGAGGAAGAGGAGGAGTCGGATATTGAGGATGTGCGCGTTCCTCCTGGTTCTGAAGACGAAGAAGAAGAAGGAGGAGAGAACGAAGGCGAGGGTGAGGGTGAGGGTGCGAACGAGGACGAGAGCAATGCGGGGGATGTGCCTGGGGCAAGCGGGAGTGGGAGTGGGAGCGGGAGCGGGAGCGAGAATGAGAATGAGGGCGGCAATGACAATGCCAACGACGTTGAGCAGGGACGCGGGGAAGAAGCTGCGCCGCAACCTGGTAGAAGACCGCGCGGGCGTCCTCGAGGCTCGCGAGGGCGGGGCGGCACGACGCGTGCGCGTGGAAGGCCGCGGGGGAGTGGGAGAGGGCGAGGGCGCGGTCGTGGTGGTTTGACCATCCGGCTGCCACGCAGGGAGTCGGACGCGGACGGCGGGGAGGAGGGCGAGGAGGGCGAGGGCGATGAGCAGGGGGAGCCGGGGCGCGTGATGGTCAAGGTAGGCCACGAGATGTATGCGATCGAAGAGGACGCGTATGTCACGCCCGACGACCCCGTCGGCGACGAGAAGATGGATAAGAACGGGTTTTTGCTCGGAGGTGCGCTACTCGAACATAAAACGCTATGTGCTACTTCCGATACTGAAGGCTTGTCTAGGGCGCAAGTTTAAGGCGTCGACGTTCACGCTGCCCAACCGGCACCCCGAGCGGCAGTACATGCTCGCCATCGACGCGGCGCGCACGTCGGGCTTCCGCGACTCGCTGTACTACTTCAGGCGCAATCTGCTCGCGCTCAAGCTCGCTGCGTCGCAGTCCGAGAAGGACTTCCTCATCCAGGCGGGCAAGCTCGGCGCCCACCTGCGCACGCGCAGCGTCACGCTCGTCACCGCGCGGAGCGCGTTCAAGCTCCATGGCGCCAAGATGATCATCGGTGCGTTCAACTCCCTTTCAATATACTCTCGTGTTCTGACGTGGGTTTTTTGGTGAAATGTAGATGGCAGATGGGTCACCGACGACTACTACGAGGCCAAGTCTCTCGCCGAGATCACGGAGAGAGGCCTCAAAGCCGGTGACCCCGTCGGCGAGCTGCCCGACCCGCAGGGCAGCGCCGCTGCGCGTGCGAAACTGGAGGCCGAAGCCGAGGCCCTGAATCCCAGAGGAGACCGCGGTGGAGGAGGAGGAGGAGGGGGCATGTACCGCGCGGGCGGGCCGACGACGATCTTTGGTGGCGTCGGCTGGGGCCCGTTCAGCGATGGCCCGCTGAATCCCGTGCGAAAGAGCTTGTACAACCGCGAAGGCGTGTCGGAGGTGAACTGGATGCACGTCGCTGCGCAGCGGACGCTGGAGGAGGACGAGGAGTGGGCGACGCTTAGACGGGAGGTGCTTACACCGTGCGGAGGGATTTTGCCCCAGGGGTCGTCCAGTCAGGCGGGGGCGGAAAGGGCTGCAGAAGGGAAGGGCGGTAAAGAGAAGGACAATGACATGGAAGTGGATGTGGACGGAAACGGCGTTGTAGAGAGTGCGAAGGGCAAAGGCAAGGCGGTCGAGAAGAAACGAAAACGACGGGACGACCCGATGCCCTACGGGGCATACGAGCCCCACACCGGGCTCGTGCATTGTAAGCTACTTTTCGTTGCTTTCGTTGCGGAACAGGATCCCTCAACCTTCTTTGCAGACCGCTCCGACACACAACCAACGCAGTGCCGGTGGGAGCAGCTACCGTACACCGACGAAAAACCGCGTATACTGGGCGGCACCAAGATAGGCAACGGCGGCTGGTCGCTGGCGTGGGTGGACAACGTCATGGAGCTCCCACCACTGGAAGAGCTCGATCCGCGAGCACAACGGCGAGCGCATATCCTGAACCTCGGAGGGGAGTGGTGATAAGGCGTCTCCTTTACACTCGTACTTTATCCACTATTATTGCTTCATTGCTCGTTTCTTTCATTCGATCATTCAGAGCTCAAAGGCAGGATCAGTGTCGTAAGTCGTAAGAAATGGAGGACACAGGGCATGATATGGTACGCATACGGGTATGCCACAGCAAGGGACCGGAGATATACTTACTCTACACGAGCACGTCATTAGTTAGTTTCGCGAAGCATGGACAGCAAAAGACAAAGTGGCGTGACAAAGCTGGTCGTAGGTGTTAGTGAAGCGTTAGGAACAGGGAGCAATATAGACGACACAATGGCAAGATCCAGAAATATTGTAAGAATGATATCAAGATGCGAAACATAACGGAGAAATAATAACGCAGATGGACCAGCTGTCCGAACGCTGAACATGAACCCCCTTGCGGACAATCATCGCTTCTTGCCTCTGCCCTTGCCGACCTGCTTCCGTATCTTCTCCTATAGAAATCCGATGGTCAGCATTGCCATGTCGGGGAAAGACAAAGACACCCGACGTACATTCGCTCGATTTCGCGCGTTCCGCCCGAGCTTCCGCCGCCCTTCCGTCTCCTCGTTGTCCTCCTTCTCGCTCGCTTCCTCTTCGCTCGGTGCATCAGAGGTGTCCGGTGCCTTCTCTGTATCAGGGTCGACCCGCTGGTGATTCGGCGCCTCCTCTTCCTCTTGCTCCTCCCCGCTCTCGTCTTCTGAAACCTCTTCTTCGGATTCCGACTGGTCGCTGTTCCACCGCGCCGCCTTGTTTCTCTTCTGACGTCTGTGGATTGTTGATGTTGCATGTAAGAAATTATGGGCTAGAGGAGAGCGACGGCGAAACGTACTTTGCATTGCCGTTGGCCTTTGGCCGGCCTCTGCGTTTCGGCGGCGACGTCTTGGCATCTCGTGCTTCTTTCCGCTTATCCTGTGAATGACGTCAAAACGTATCAATATTTATTCTTGACAGAATGCAATACCTTGGCTATGGCCGCCTTCTGCGCCCGCGCTGCCTCCCGTAGCCACGACATGGTATCTTCAGGGAGATAAACAGTCTTCAAGATCTGATAATTTACGAGCACATTAATTTATATTACGGAATAAGCAAAAGGAAATTCGAACCTTCGTCGCGGCCTCGGCATTCGGCAACGCTCTCAGAATATCCGAAGGCAGCTTGACCTTGCCCGGGTAGCTGTCCAGGCTCCACGAGTGCGTCTGGGCGTGCACCTTGATGAGCTCCTGCGCGAGCTCGCTCGTCGCGTAGAGGTTCTTTACGAAGTTTTATCATATCAGCATCTATACTTTATGGGAGCGCGGCTCGTACTGACCTCGCTGAACGCATACGACTCCGAATCGCGCACGGTCTTGCCCTTCAGTGCGAGGTGGTAGAGCAGCGAGATGTTCTCGGACGTTGCGATCAAGCCGAGGTAGTACTCGATGTACCTGCGGTCGATAAAAAAAACCATCAGGTCGCGTGGGTAGGTGTTTATGAAATACGCACTTGGCCATCTCCTGTAGGTTTTCGTGCTCTAGCGAGAAATCGGGATGGTGTGCGAGTAGATGGAGTAGGCGTATGAATATGAGCTCGAGTGATTCGACTTTGGCCGCTACAAAAAAGGAGTCAGCCAGCAAACCCAAAGAAAATATAATATTTGATAGAAGCTCACATGGTGGTAGCGATCTGACCGCGAACTGCACGTATGCGGTAGCCTGTCCAGAAATGAGCACCCGTGGTTTTGATATAGGAGAGAATTCAGACTCACCCGGGTCTTCACGTCCGCTTCGGGATCGTGCACCGTTAAGAACGGGATGATGTTGAACCGGGCAGGCAGTTTTCGGGGTGTAAGGAGTAATACGAGCTTCGTGAGGAATATCGCCCGGACGTTGTAGCATGGATCCTGGTACCCCGCGTCAACAATTTCGAAGAGGAACAGAGTGCAAGGGAACGCCGCACCTGGACAGTGATAGCGAGCCAAACAAAGCTCGCGTGGATCACGGCCTGGTAAGCCTGTATCGTGGACAGATGGAGCAAGGAGACGGCGGCCTGCAGACGTATCCGCGTCTTGAACTTGTCGCTGCGGCAGTAAATAAAATCTGAGCATTTGGACACGGTATTACTGCGAACAAGGAAGAAGAAAGAACGTACTCGTCGGCAGAGTCAGGCGTATACGCCCCCTGGTTCTCCAGGAGCGTGACGAGCATCTTGAGCGTCGGCGCCGCTATATCGAGCGCGTCCTCGCGCGCCGCGCACGCGAGGCTCCGGTTGCGGAGGATCTTGAGCGCGAGTATGCGGGCGCGCAGCGTCGCAGGGACGTCTGCGTCTTCGACCCAGTCCACGTCTGTGTCCATGTCGTCCTGGAGTTTGAATGTATGTTATTACTATGGACGCGTGAGAGAGCAGGGACGCGCACCTCGTCAGGCGGACACTCGACCATGAGCACCTTCTTGAGCAGGAACGTCGTGACGACCTCGCTCCGGTGCGCGAACACCTCCTGCGACAGTCTTGCGAACTGGGCGAGGACGGCGAGGTGCGCGACGAGGTGCTCGTCGTCGACGTCTTCGAGCTCGTCCGCGATTTTCTGTCGATGTAGCACGAATGGTGGATCAAAACAGCGAAAGCGGGTAAGATGGATGAAGAGGCCGACCTCGATAACCTCAATCGCCATCTCCTCCCGGTCCTTGCAATACGCCAAATACCTCGCAGCGAACTTTGCATGCCGCGCGTTCGGCCCGAGCACCGCCTGCTTTATCCGCTCCAGCGTCCGCCTAACCACAAATCACATATAGATAAAACCCCTTGAATCAGCACGAGTTCCGCCCAGCATGAGCAAAGCCTACCGATCACCAACAGCCAAGCTCCCGTCCCACCGTACGACCGCCGCGAGCGCCATCAAGCCCACCTCGACGAGCCCCGCGTTCCGCTCGCCCTTCTCCGCGAGCGCCTTGGCCAGCTCGCTCACGTGCGGCTTGAACAGCGCCGGACAGTGCTTCGAGACGTACGTCAGCACCGTCCTCGCGTGCGCGTGCGCGTTCGTGTTCTGTTGGTGGGAGGCGACGCGCTTGAGGAGCGTGGGCACGGAGGACGTGTTGACGAGGCGGAGCGTCGCGCGGCGGAGGAAGATGGACATGGTGCCGAGGGCGGAGGGCGCGGATTGTTCGGTGCGGCGGAGGAACTCGGACTGTGATGTTAGGGAAGCGTTGTGAGTGACGATTTATACATGTCGCGGCAAGAAGGGGAATGAGGATGGGGGGAGGGACTGACGGAGGCTTTGACGAGGCTCTTGAGGTCGGATTGGGTGTCTGTGCACGTCTTGAGGAGCTTGTAGAGCCGCGCCTCGTTCGCGTCGGCGAACGCGTGCAGGTCGTCGTTTGCTTTTTGCGCGTCGGGGTATGTGCCTGATGTGGCCGTGCCAAAGCTCAGTGTGGCGTGATGAGAGGGAGGAGGAGAAACGAACGTGAGAGGTATCGGGCGGTTTGGTCTAGCTTCTGCTTGATTTGGTCTTCGTTCTCGTCAATAACTCCTCCCTACAATTGAGGACCAACCTTAGCACTAAAGTGGGGAAGTGAAGATATGGAACGCACGTTGTGGTCAATGCAGGCCTGCACAAAGTGCTCGTAGACAGTGGGACGGCTGAGCACACATAGTTATATGTGAATTACCCAAAGGAGGTGGCTCAGCGGCACTCACTTCGCTCGTATCCCGCTTATATTCAGCAGCGTGTTCACGGATTTCTCGTCGTCCAGCGCCTGCATGATGTTGAGCAGACGGTCTGTCCACGCTGCCTCGTCGATCTCGCTCGCTTTGGCTGAGGGGAAGGGGAGGATGTAGTCTGCGAGGACCTGTTCGGCCGTTGCTCTGGTGCCGCGGGTGGTGAGCGTTCATATCAGACAGTGGGGAGAGAGAAAGGGAAGCTCACTTGGACTCGACGGATATGCTGGCGATTTGGACGATCTCGTTTGGTATCCAGCCAAAGTGCTTCGTTGCGACCGGTTCGCCTGCCTCTCTGTCGTCCGGATGTCAGGCGCGTTGGGAGGGATGGTAATGGGGTGGGCAAGCTTACATTTCTGGATAGGCGAGGCTGTATAGCTTGCCGATGGCGTTCATGGCTTCTGAGCGGACGGATTGCTAGCGGACTGCGTCAGGGCTGGGAGTGGATCTGGCTAGGGGATGAGCGCACCTTCTTGTCCAGGCCTCGGTTGGCTACCGACCGTAGCTGGTCCTCGGAAACGTGGTGCAGGGCGGTCTCGTAGTCCAGCTGGGCGTACACCTTGCAGACTGCCGCGCGCACTTTCTCATCGGGATCGAGCAGCTTGCTTCGCAGCATGTCTACGGTGGGTCATGGTAAGCAGCGGTATCTCAGGAGCTCGTATGGGTTGCTAGGAAACGAACCTTCAACAACCTCGCGCGAGTCGCGCAGGTTGACGATGAGCCCCTTGGCACTCTCGACGAGCTTCAGCCGGACCGCCGGGGCCTTGTCGTTCCTGCGCATCTGCCACACGGCCCACGCTGTCGGGTACTTCCTGATGAGGTCGGCGCCGCCCTTGTCGGCGAACATGTCGCCGAGGGCCTGGGTGGCCATGAGGCGGACCTGGACGTCCTCGACGCGGAGCTCCTCCTCGAGCTGCGGGATGACGCTGTGGAGGAGGGCGGGGCAGGCGCGGCTGAGCTGCTTGACGAGGTCGTGCGCCTTGCGGATCTCGTCGAGGTCTTCCTCGCGCGAGTGGGCGACGATGATGTCGGTGAAGTATTGACAGACGTGGCGCTGGAGCTTGTCGGCGGTGGCGTTGCAGACTTGGACGGCGAGGCGGTAGGCGCCTTTGTCGATGCGCTGTGGGGCGGGGTGAGCTGGGTTAGGGATGCAAGGGTGGGTGGTACGCACGGCTTCCTCGTCCAGGAACTGGGCCAGGAGGGTGTCGAGGACTTCGGAGGGCAGGGCCTGGCACTCGTCTATGAGGGCGATGAGGATGTCTGCGATGAACATTTCGATCTTCTTGGCGAGGTCGCGGCGGATGAGACCGAAGAAGTCGCGGAATATCTCGACCATGAGCTCTTCGGCGTGGGGGAGGTCGCAGACGAGAACGACGCTCTTGACGGTGGAGAGGGACTCGAGGAGGTGAAAGTACTCATTGTAGTATGTCGCGTCGGACCCCTTGAGGCCGGTGGACAGCTGTCGGAAGAAGAACTGGAATATGTCGCGGAGCTCGTTGTGTGTGTACGGCGCGTCAGGGGCATAGAGGCGAAGGATATCAGCGAGGCAGCATGCGGCGTATGCCTTGACGCCACGGTCTTTGTGGAGGGTGACGGAGGTGTTGATGAGCTGGGAACGTGCGTTGTTGAGGGAAGCGAGGTCGACGCCCTCTTGATCGAGTTCTGCGAGTTCTGTGTGTAGCTGCTTGAGTTTCTTGAGGAGGGCGTCGGTAGATAATCCTTTTCCGACAATCTTTTCGTTGAAAGTGAGTTTCTTGAGTGCGGCGCTGTCTCTTGTCCGTGTTTTTGCAACCATGGCTGGTGCCCGGCGACAGGAGGGAAATGCGAAATGAGCGCGGCGCGTTGACGCGTGGTTTGTGTCACACGCACACCCGTGGGAACTAACAAGCGTCTATTCAGTAACTGTAGACAGACTATTATCACAATTATTACAATAATCTATCGTCATCTCATCCACCACTCCTCCACTCGCTCTCCTGGCGCGTCTTCATCTCTTGCACAATGTCCAAGGCACAGGCAGAACAGCCAGTGCTCGCCAACAAGGAGGCAAAACTCTTCAGGGAACTCCTCTCTCACTACGAGGAGAAGCATCTCACAAAGGGCCGCAAAACTGCTGATCAGATCCTCAAGAAACACCCAAACCATGGAGGCACGTCTCAATCGCAACCCGGTCTTGCTGATTGACTTACTGAGTGCTATATAGAAACTCTGGCCATGAAGGGCCTCATACTCGTCCACCTCGGCCAGCGCGAAGAGGGCAAGAAAATGGTCAAGCAAGGTGCGATGCTGAACATGAAATCACACATCCCGTGGCATGTCCAGGCCCTCATCCACAAGGGCGAAAAGGACTACGATGGCGCGCTCAGGGCATACAAGAACGGCCTCAAGGCAGACAAGGTACGCGTCATTCCGCGCACTGCCACGCACAGGTCTCATGTATGCGTCCTTCCTCCCCGGATGATCAGGACAACATCAACATCCTTCGAGACGCCTGTTTCCTTCTTACGCACCTGCGCAAGTATGATGAGCTGGTCGAATATCGGCACAGATTCCTCCAGCTGCGGCCCGTCAACCGGACACACTGGATCGGTCTTGCCGTTGCGCACCACTTGAACGGAAACCTGGCCGAAGCCAAGAACATCCTGGAGTGGTACGACAAGTTCCTCAAGGTATGATAATCGCCTTTCGTTTGCTTCCCTCTTCCCTGACCCGGAGAAAGAGCACCCCAGACTACGACGCCGACAACTCTGAGCGCTTGCTGTACCACGTGCGCGTTCTCGAGGAGCTTGGTGAAAACACGGAGGCGCTCGCCTTCCTGGACAAGTACGCACAATCCAGGTACATCGTCCATCGCACCAGCACCATGGAGTACAGAGGTGAGCAACCTCCCATCCGGACCGGCTTCCCGCTGATAGGCCCCGACAGCGCGGCTCACGACCAAGCTCAAGTCCAGCGATGCCCCAGATGCGTGGAGAGTGCTGATCGAGCAGAACTCGGATTGCTGGGATTATTACAAGGGCTTCTTGTCTGTTGAGAGCATAGACTACGGTGCGTCTACCCGCATACAGCTGCTGATCTCACTCCTGACCCATGCATGATAGACTCAATAACGGACGAGAACCGCGCAGCGGCCTTGAAGCACCTCAACAACTTCTCCCAACAGTATCCCCGCGCCACTGCTCCGCGGCGAATGGCCCTCAGCGTCGCGACAGGTAAGCCTTCCCCACCGCATCGCGTCGGATCGCAGCGCATATACCCACCCACCCCATCACCGCAGGCGACGACTTCACGAACCTCGCAACCGCCTACCTCTCCTCGAACATCCAAAAAGGCGTCCCCTCCCTCTTCGTCGACGTCAAGCCCCTGTACACCGACCCCGCGAAAGCACAGTCCATCCAGTCCATCGTCGAAAAGCTCCTCGAAGCGCACAACACGCCCCCGGCCCCGCCCCCAGCCGAAAACGGGAGCGCGAGCGCGGAGCCGACCGCGCGCCTCTGGGCGCTCTACTTCCTCGCGCAGCACCACTCGCATCTCGGCGCGTACAGCACGGCGCTTGAGTTGCTCGACGCGGCGATGGCGCACACGCCGACGCTGCCGGAGCTGTACATGGCGCGCGCGCGCGTGCTGAAGCGCGTGGGGGATCCGTACGGCGCGGCGAGGGTGATGAACGAGGCGCGGTTGTTGGATGGGCAGGACCGGTATTTGAATACGAAGTGTGGGAAGTATCGGTTGAGGGCGGGGTTGGTGAGCGAGGCGGGGGAGGTGTTTGGGATGTTTACGAAGGTGCGTTCTTATCTTGTCGTCGTTTTTGATCAGAGTCAAGGTGGCGGGGGAGAGGTTGGAGAGCTGATGATGTTTTTTGTTGCCCCGCTTGCATTGCATTGTAGAAAGACGCGGTGAGCCCCGGGGCGGATCTCGAGGAGATGCAGTCGTTGCTGTACCTCCGGGAAGAAGGCGACGCGCACTACCGCGCGGGGCGGCTGTCGCAGGCGCTTAAAAAGTACTATGCCGTTTCTAATGTAGGTAACGTTACCCGCTGCGATAATGCACACGTTATTCACGGAATGTGCGCTGTGGCTTGGGTTGGATAACAGGTGTTCGATCAGGTCGAGAATGACCAGTACGATTTCCACCCGTATTCGCTGCGGCGGACGCTGCTGAATGTATACGTCAAGTGAGTGCTGAGTTCGGGTGGGTCGTGTTTGGCGCTGGTGCTGAACGGCACGTGTTTCGAACGCTAGTACGCTCAAGTGGGAAGACAGTGTGCGGTCGCACCCGGCGTATCGTCATGCTGCGGTGTCCGCTGCACGGGTAAGCATTTGCATTTGCCACTTCCCCGTGATGAACTACTTATAGGCTGCAGATATGGGTTAGCGTGTACGATGATCCCAAGCTCGCTGAAGGGCCTGCGGCGTCTGATTGTGTGTTGATTCATGCAGTGCCTGTGTTTTATTATGCTTGTTTGGCTTACATGTGTGGTCTCTTGTAGCCGCTACGTCCGGCTCCGACTCGGTGAAGAAGGCCAAGTCCAAGGCGGCGAAGAAGGCCGCGCAGACGCCTGCTGCTACGGAGAAGAACGGTGCGTTCTTTCGTTATATTCCTTTCCAGCCTTGCCTCCCGATGCGCCCTTAAACTCTTCTACTTTTGCCCGGAGACTGAGCCTGGCATCGCGACAGGCACCGCCAACGCACAGCAGCAGAACACGAACGAGGACAAGGGCCTCGAACCGCCGCAGGCAAAGGACGAGGATCCGGAGGGCGCGCGGCTCATCCGGGAGGAGCGGCCGCTCGAGCGCGCGCAGAAGCTGCTCGCGCCGCTGTGGGCGGACGTCGCGCGGGGCGTGTGGGATGTGGAGACGTGTGCGGTGGCGTATGATGTTGCGGTGCGGCGAGGTGAGTCGTGGGTTCGTTGTGGCGTAGGGAAATGGGGTGTTTATGATATGGTGGATATATAGAGCGGTATCTCGAGGCGGCACGCGCGCTCGCGCGTGCGCGCAGTATCGACGCGGAGCATCCTGAGGTCCATGTTCGGACGGTGGAGCTCAAGCTGAAAGGTGCGCTGCCACTGGCTGGCTGTGTAACGTTCGCATCCATATCCGTCCGGGGCTGACTGGATGATCCGTCTCCTTAGTACAATCACTCTCCGCCCCCGCCGTCTCGGAGACGGCGCTCGCGGCGCTCGTCGAGTCGCTCGCTACCGCGCTGCCGGACGAGCTCTCCCTCGAGACGTTCAACTCGCAGTATCTCCAGCGGCATGCGGCCGACGGCGGTGCAGTGCTCGGTGCGGCCAGGGCGGCGCGCGTGCTGCAGGCGCCGCTGGCCGAGGTCGAGGAGACGGTGTTTAGCGCGTTGCAGGATGGTGTGGCGCTCAAGATCGAGGTGCGCTATTCATCTTCATGCTTTCCTTTCTTTGTGTTGGCGTTATGATCGCTGATTGCACACTTGTGTCCGTCTTCCTCCCTTGTAGACCGCCCTTGCGGCCCTTGCGTTCCTCCGCTCTATCGAGTCCTCGCGGGCGGACGAGTTCCGCGCGGCGTGTGATGCGCGGTTCGAGCTGGCGACGGTGTTCAAGGCGCCTGAGGAGCTCGAGAGGCTAAGGAAGGAGAGTCTTGGGGAACCTGTGGAGGTGAAGGAGGAGACGCTGGAGTAGCTGGGCGGGTTGTAGTTGGCGTGCTTTTGGTGTTGGGTGCTGAATATATTGGATTTGGCTATCGTCGTTGCATGCAGTGACAAGTGGTGTGATGTGATTTCATTGTTCTTGTTTCCTCTTCTTCTCCGTTGTACGCGACTTCGACCCGTACCGCTCAAAGTAAGTGCATATGTTACAGTACCCTATCCTGGCTCTCCTTTCTGCTCGATAGCACTGTTTCATTCACGCAGAGCATGGCGGCCATATCCCCCTTTTACATGATGTCATACCGTGTTGCTCAGGTGTCCTTTGTGTAGGCTTCCCCCTGTGTCCTCATAGCCATAAGAGCTCGCCAGCGTAATCGCGCTCGTCTTATTGTACCCCATTGCACCCGACCTTCATCGGGAGGTTCTCCCGCCGGCAACTAACTCCAAACTGTCTACAACTACACAGCAGGCTATAATCATCCCTTCAAATCTCGCAAAAAATGCGCTGGCGCCGTACGTCTGACACCTACCCTCACACATCCATTCCTCACTCACATCATATCTCCTCATCAGCTCTTCGTGTACTGCCCAAGTTTTGGGGGTTTGCTTTACCCGAGAGATAGCTGATACAGAGGGCCACAGCCGAATGGGGGCCGCGGCCACCGGAATGCTTCGAGAGAGATGCGATTCATTAGTTCTTCGAGGCACTACGTGCCAAAGTTGAGACGACGCGAAAACTGAGGATTCCGGTTCAGCACGGCCGCGAGCCCGACCGGTGGTGGTGCATTGCGCTTGCCATGGCCTGTACCGAGCATTATCCGCTTCCCAGGGATCCGCCGCACGAGAGGTTTTATCGTAGGTTGGAGGAGAACTTGGGAGGTGTTAAGCCGGGGTTGCATAGAGGCCATGTGTCTATTGATAGCGATTTGTATGGATACGGTCATACACATTATATGGGAAGGCGATGATGTGTACTATGTGCTATCGTTGTTACTTTATGGTCCTTGACGGAATATTTGCTTGGGGTGGCCATATCACCAAGTCACCACGTTATGAAGAGGGTGTTAGAGTGAGACAGGACGGTGATTCTGTCCCTTGCCTAACACTCGAATTCTTTTTTTTTTTTCATAGCCTCAGCGGATAGTACAGGTCATTCAGATAAGTCTGCACTGTCCTTGAAGCTGAAGCATGGATGCATGGCTTACTAACTTGAACCGTCGGAACGACTATCTTTTGATATAGGGACCGCCTAGGGGAGACCAACTTGAGCGTCTCCTCGATGAGTATGCCACAAATGCAGTGATATCCAGACATGCATTGCAAACAATTACCCAAATGCCGGACGCATCGATTTGCTAGGCGAAAGATCGAACTTGAAGGCCACTATCATTGAAATTCAGTACAAGTTAGGGTAATTTGGAGTCAAATTTTGTGTTGACAGTCGCCCCAACGAGTCCAATCAACACCCGTGATACAAGTGAGTTATAGCGGTAAGTATGTGCCGGTGAGCATCAGTAAGTGGTACTTACTGTTCGAAACGGAGGCAACCAATCCTTTATACTACCCAGCGGGGCACGCACCATGAGAGCTCGAAACACCTGTCTAGCCGAGTCCTTCGTCACAGAGGCTGTTTATTAAGGGGTTTTCAGGGTCGAAAGTCTCCTACAAAGTCTCCTGCATATTTCGTGCGAGTGGGAGAATGCGCTGGATGATGCGGTGTTCATAATAACCTATACTTTCAAAAGTTATGGCCCTTCCGTTGCCCGGTCCATCATATCTTTTGTTTGACGAGCTTTGCTCTGTAGAATACTTTGTCATATGCATCGTCAATCTTAGGTCGGCATACTATAAGATATCTTGCAGACTTCTTGGCTGTTGATTCTAACGGAAGGGTGAGCTTGACCGTTGTCAAAGTCGCAGTGAACATCCATGTCCGAGTCGTCGAAGGTCGCATTGATCTCTCATACATATCGCGCTTCGGCGGCTTTGAAATAAATCACCAAGGTGTCGAAAACTTCAACCTCAAGGGACGTAAACATTAGCTCTAAGCGAATACAAATGTTCAACGTTCAATGAGATTAAAGCTATCTTACACACGGACGCTGGTTGAAAGCCAGAGTCCGGGGCGATACGCTTTTCGGAGAAATCCGGCTACATACAAACTCTATCCTTCAGCTGTATAGCACAACACCCGCCGGCAATCGCCGAGAGGCTCGCATAATCGCCTGTGAAGACTATACCGCCCGACGAGCTCAAGACCACCACCGCCGCCGACATCCACTATGGTCAACATTCCCAAGTACGTAGAGAAGCGCACGCTGTCATTATGCTTGCTGACCCCATGATACAGGACTCGCCGGACCTGTGAGTGTTACTAGGGGCGTATCTTGGTTCGGACTTGTGAACTCATGTATGATTGGCATGGTGCAGACTGCAAGGGCAAGACGTGCAAGAAGCACACGTACGTCTGCCTCATCCTCTTCCCCGTATCAATGTCTCCTTACAGCTCGTTTGCGCGTGTACGTCAGGCCCCACAAAGTCACCCAGTACAAAAAGGGCAAGGACTCGATATTCGCCCAGGGAAAGCGGCGTTACGACCGTAAGCAATCCGGTTACGGTGGTCAGACCAAGCCCGTCTTCCACAAGAAGGTGCGCACCACCTGCTACTGCTGCTGACATGTGTTCCTCGATGGGCTGATCGCGTCACTTGGGCGTGAATAGGCAAAGACGACGAAGAAGGTCGTGCTTCGGCTAGAATGCACGGTCTGCAAATACAAGATGCAGTTATCCCTCAAGCGTTGCAAGCAGTGCGTATCCTCTCTCCTCTTGTCCGTTGCATGATGACTAAAGTGGGATAATAGCTTCGAGCTTGGTGGTGAGAAAAAGACGAAGGGTGCCGCTCTCCAGTTCGTAAGTACTATTGCCATCGCCGCCTGTCTTCCCACTCGTTCTGACGTGTGTGTGTTTGCGCTCATAGTAAGCGGTCTTTGTGGAGGATATCGTCGTGCATGTTTCCTTTCGTCGCTATGTATACTCAGCCCTCATATGATCTGCAATGCAATCATCCATGCATCACACCATGCATATCGATAATAAGACATTTATGATGGATTGGCTTTACTAGTTGGGAGTGATTTGCTCGTTCGACACCGGCCTTCTGTACTTCGATCCGCGAAGCAACCTTCGTCCGGGGGTGGGGTCAGGCTTGACAAGCAGGCAACACCATCGTCACTCGGTCTTCTTCGGACCTCATTTGTCACGCACAACCAGTAGACGTACGATGTTCTATCCCGATTGACAAGTATTATGCGTGGTTGTAAATACATAACAGCTATATTATTCTAACTACCTTCTACAAGAAATCCGATCGATATAGCCCTTCCCAGCCCTTGCATTGTGTGCTTTGATTTAAAAGAACAATTGTGAACATGAAGCGCCCTTCTTACTACCATTACCAGACACTCCTACCCGACCGATGACGACGACGACGACGACGCACGACGCGACTTGACTTTAGTTATTCCACTGCGCCCACGAACCGGGCAGCCCTCGCTTCCGGCGCTCGTCGGGACGCGCAAAGGACGCGATCGAGCCGTAGTTGTGCCGGCTCGGCTCGCCGCCGCCTTCCTCGTCCTCCTCGTCGACGCAGCGCCGCGATGCTGTGCGGTTGGCGGCGTCGCAGTCCGAGTCCCAGTCGCGCTGCTGCTGCTGCTGCTGCTGCTGCTGATGATGATGATGGTGCTGCGGACGGTGCAGGCGGTGCGGGCTGGGCGGGGCAAGGAGGGAGGAGCGGTCGCGGTCGGTGCCTGTGCCGGTTGTAAGGACTCTGCTAGTGCTGGTGCTGCCGAAGACTCTGCTGCCGCTGCTCCTGCCGCTGCCGAGGACTCTGCTGGTGCGGCCGGCACCGGGGTGGAGGTGCTGCCGCAGGCTGCGGATGGAGTATTGGCGGCGTGGCGGGACGAGCAGCTTGTTGAGGTCGAGCTCGCCGTCTTCGCCGTCTGACTCGTCGTCGTCGCCTGGGTCTGAATCGTCGGGATCGTCGTCATCGTCATCGGGGTCGATGTGGTCCGAGTCGTGGTGATCGTCAGGGTCGTAGTCAATGGACTGATGCTGATGGTGATGGCGGTGGTGATGCGAGTCTGCGGAGACGGAACGAGAGCGCGATGCGGAGGAGTCAGACACGCGGAACGCAAAGCCGGGGTGCTGGCCGCGCCCGCGTTGCATGATCGTGCTCGCGGCCGAGACGCGTCCATTGATACTAGCGCGCGCATGGGCAAGAGCACGCGGATGGCCAGAAGAGCCCCACCCGTCGTTCTCCGTGCGCGTGCGCGTCAGACACGGGACCTCGTGCGGATTGAGCAGGCTCGAGTGGGACGGCTTCGCTCTGAGCGCCATTGTCGGCTTCTTCAGATTATTTTGCTTCAGCTTTTGCTCGCCCTGGCGGCCCGACCCCGCCCGCGAGTTCGAGCGCGAGCCGGGCGCGGAGCGGCATACGACGCGTGTGCGGGAGACGGTGCCTTCGGCCTTGGCCGCGCGGTGCGCCTCGACGCGCAGACACAGCAGCGGTGTTCGTGCGCGGCGTGGGGACGACCGTGCCGAGAGCGAGCTCGCCTTGGATGGTCCCATGGTCATGGCCATCGGGAGGAGGCCGTTGGCCCACGTCCGTCTGGGGCCGGGCGTTTCTGATCCTGCCGCGGAGCCTTCGGCCTGAGAGGAGAGAAGGGAGCGGGAGGAGGCGGAGGGGCGGAGCTGTTGTTGGTGCAGCGAGGATGCGGAGGCCATGTGCCGGAGATAGGCGTGGGCTGTCCGTGGTGGCGTGGCCGTGGAGCTGTGTCGCCCCCGGAGGTGCGGTGGAAGGGCAGTTTGCGCGTGCAGAGGCCATCTTGATCGGCGGGGGCTGGCGCCGGGGCTGTCCGTTGACGACAGGGGTGTGTATGTCGCGAGCGACGAGCGGGACGAGTCGTTCTGCGCGAGGGCGGCGTGCCGCGCGTGTGGGTACGCAGTATGCGCGAGCGGAGACGGGGGAGGGGAGTAGCCGCGGTCGAGCGAGGTGACAGAGTGGTTGCCGCGGCCGAGAGTTGTCTCGCCATTGGATGACGGGGCGGGGGCGTCGTCGGTGTCGGTGTCACGTGCGAGGCTCGGGTTTCTGCTGACGAGCCCGGCGAGGAAGCCAACGACGGCACGGACGCTGCCGACGCGAGAGCGGGTTGAGCCGCCCTCGTCCTTGTCGTGCTCGCCCTCGGGGGTGAATACACGGGTCTCCTTGTAGCCTGCCTCGCGGAGGAGATCCTCGAGGCGTTCGTAGGTCTGGGACGTGCCCCGCCGGTGGAGGGGCACACGACCGAGGGTCGCTGGGTACCGGCTGGCTGAGCGGCCGCGGGGAGGGGTGGAGGGTGGGCTTGTGGCGCTGGTGTGGGTGTTGCTGGACATGGACATGGAGGGGGGAGGAGAGGAGGTTTCGGAGAGATCGAGTGACTGCATCTCATGACCCCGTCACAACATGTTTAGGGACAGATTGGAGGATGTTACTCACAATGCCCTCACGCGGCAGCTCCTGTGCCACGACCTCGCCCGCGCGTGTCAAAGTCTGGGGCGAGGACATTGTGATATGGGTGAAGGTCGGGTCTCCGTGTGCGGGGTTTGTTTCAAAGACGAGGTGTGCGTAAGATTGGGTGTTGTGGTGGTGAGTTCAGGAGGCAAAATGTAGCATAATAAGAGGATATAGCGTATGGGTGCGTTGCCATCAAAGGAGCCACAAGTGTAGCTAGTGCCAGCCCGTGTGGGTGACTGTCTTGGGTTTAGACCGGAGGGTGTGAGGAGGAGCGAGATCAGCGAAAAACCCGCGCGGTGCGGCGCCTCTAACTTAAGACAGACCACGTGATCGATCCCTGTCTCACCCCACTGGTCTCGACTCAACAACTCGCTGGCTACCATCAACGAAAACGTCGCTGAAATCGCGGAAGAGCTCCGTTCCTTGTGCTCGTTGTCCCTAAAGAGCACACGTCGTACGCCCCAACCAAAGCTGATGGTCCTGAGTAGCCCGTGATGTAACCATTGAGACTACCCCTGACGTCGTCGACATCACTGGTCGACCCCGTGAACAGACCGATTCAATATTCTCGAGGAGAGTTGCATTTTTGATTTATTCCTTCCGTTCTTGCGGCGGCGGCCATCGATCGTCGGCGCTCGCAGTTACAGGCCTATTTCTCGCTGCTGAAAGGCCTCACGAGACACCTCGGTGAAAACCAGGGGAGCCGTCGGAAGTAAAGCATTCCTAGACCGTGCGCTGGCCGTTTCTCACCCTATGGCCATGTGGCGAGCGGCGCCAACACCTCCAACGCCCGGAGCGTTGCCTTGGAAAGTGAAAGCCGGTGAGAGTTCAAGGCTCTAAACAGTTCTAAGCTAGTGAGGATCTGAGTTAGCGGTGCTCTCCCTAAGGCGTTGCCTGAGGGTGTTGCCGTGGTCCTCGGAGTTCATGACCATCCCCGACCTCGGTAGCCAGCCAGCTTGACGCAGTCTCGAGGGTTCGTCTGGAGTCTTGGGATCACGTCTTAGTTGAAAGTTGCGTTTGACGCTGCACACGACTTGTTCGCTTCACCTTCACGGTATTATTATGGTACTTACAGGTGCAAGCTAAGCCGTCGCTAACGCTGTTAAGCATGGCCTCTCGGACCGTGTGAAACTGCGGACTTACGCGACACCGCGTCTTTCTGCACACGCCTATGCCATCGGGGGCCTCGGACAACAGACGTACGCAAATTTGTCTTTCGTCTTTCAATAGTAACACTAACCATTCATGTTTCGCAGTATCTGCGCCTCCGCATAGCAATGATAACGACAACGCGTTATGGCACGACCTCGCACATGAATGCGCCCTCGGCGCGATCTACGACTCCAACGAACGATACCCGCACCCACAGTGTCTCCCCGGCACCCGCGCGCGCCTCCTCAGCACGCTGCGGCAGCGCGTCGGCCAGGACGACAGGAGGATTATATGGCTCAGGGGGGCGTCGGGCTGCGGCAAGTCCGCCGTCGCGCACACGTTCGCCGAGCAGCTGAGAGCGGAGGGCTTGCTTGCTGCCACGTTTTTCTTTTCGCGTGGGCATGCGAGGCGGAACAACGTCAGCCGGTTTTTGATTACCGTTGCGTATCAACTTGGTCTGCACGGCGCTGATGCGCGTGAGGCTATCGTCCGAGCCATTGCTGAAGATCCGGCGCTGCTCTCGACGGAGAAGTCGCGTCAAGAGCAGCTGGAGAAGCTCGTACTCGCCCCGCTGCAGCGACTCGCTCCTCACTGGAAAGACAAGTCCATGTGCCTAGTACTAGACGATGTCGACGAGGCGGAGACAACCGAAACGGGCCAAATTGCACCGCTCGTGTCCCTGATAGCCCAGCTCATCCGCGATCCCAGCGTCCCCATCGCCCATATCATACTCGCAAGCAGAGCAACGCCCGAAGTTGAAGCAGCGCTCACTCACCACAGCTCAGCAGACATAGTCCGAACGATCCTTATCGAGGAATTCGACGCGGAAGCGGACGTTGCCCGCTTTTTGCGTTCTTCGCTGGACGACATATACGATAACCGCGGCCTTGCGTTCGTCGGGCCGAAACCGTGGCCGCCCGAGAGCGACTTGCTCAGGCTGACGCGGCGCGCCGGGGGCAGCTTCGCCTTCGCATCTACGGTCCTAAGACTGATCGATCAGGAGCGGCCGTGCGACCGCCTCGCTCTCGTGCTGAGGATGTTGGACGGTGACGTCAGTGACCACGGCAGGCTTCAGAACATCGACCAGCTGTACCGGTTCATACTATCTTCTCGCCAGTGCCTGCATTGGGAAAAGGCGACGGAGGTGCTGCATAACATTGTATGCCTTGCGGACCCGCTTTCCGCGTACGACCTTAACGTCCTCTTTGAAGCTAACTGGCAGCCGTATCTCATCCCTCTGGCTGCGGTGCTCTCGGTGCCGTCTACCACCTCGAAAGCGGCCGTTCAGACGTACCACGCTTCGCTACACGACTTCCTCGCGAGCCCGGAGAGCGCGGGGGAGCTCTACGTCGAACCGCACGTTGTGCACCGCCGGCTATTCGTTGCCTGCTCTCAAATGATGGCGCGCAAGCTGAAGAGGGATATATGCGACCTGCGTGACCACTCGAGAGCGCAAGACGATGTTCCTGGTTTTCGGCAGAAGCGCGATGCGGTGATCACGCCAGCGCTGCGGTATGCCTGTCTGTATTGGGTCCACCATCTCCAGCGCACGCGGCCAGACGGGGGAGTACAAGGTCTTCTCACCGACTTTCTGCAGACGCGGCTGCTGTATTGGATCGAGGTGTTTGCGTTGGCGGGTGAGCTGCAGCTGGCCGTGCAGTGTCTTGTAGCTGCCAGCACGGTTATCCTCGTAAGCCCAACCATTTCCCACCGAGAGCTCACGATAACAAACGCACTATTCAATCGAACGCAGGACTGGAAATTCTACATGCAGCGCGAGATATCCGTGATGCTGCTCCGCGACGCGCAGCGGCTCATCCGCGAGTTCTCGCCCGCTATCGCGTTTTCCGTGCTCCACGTATATGCGACTGCGCTCCCGCTCAGCCCGGCCAAATCGCAGCTTCGGCAGGTGTACAGCGATGCGCTTGCTGATGCTGCACCTATTCGCGTTGAGGAAGGTCTTGATGACGGATGGGACTGTGTCACGCTGAGGATCGATAACGGGGCACCGGTTAATGCTATTGCGCTTTCTGCCGATGGGGCAAGGGTCGCTGCGACTTCTAGGCGGGGTGTCGATGTTTATGACTCTGGAACGGGGACACTTGTTGCTTCGCGCGATTGGGACGGGGAGATGTGGTGTGTCCGGTACTCGTATCAGAACCACCTCCTTGCGGTGTTGGATACCCAGGGCGAGTGGCACATCTGGGATCTCCTCATGCCCAACTCCTTCTCCCGGCTCGAGGGCCGGCCAGATGAAGAGGACAATATCCTCGACAGCCTGGCGTCCGACAAAACGTCTGACAATGCACCCGTCGCCCCCGATGACGCTTCTGCATTTTCGCGCGACGGTACGTCGGTCGCCTGCGCGTACGCGGCCGAGGGAAACAGCTCAAGCACCGCCGTATACATCTGGGCCACCGAACAGCCTCTATATCCGACATTGCGCATCGCGCAGGCTGGCACGGGTCGCGTGCAGGCGCTGCAGTTCGCGCATGCGGGAGACCGGATCATGAGCGCGACGCGCGGCGGGGTGTACCTGTTCGATGCGCGCTCCGGGGAGCTGCTCTGGCACGACAGTGTGCCGCAGGGCGTGCGCTGGTCCGGGGCGCTGTGGCACGCGTTTGCGCCGAGCGACGATTTTACGGTGCATGTGGATCCGGAAGAGATGAGGTTGTTTTATGGCAGGCTTAAGGGCCCGTTTTCGGGCAGGAAGCTCGGTGTGCATTCCTTGGGTGGTGAACGACAGCAGAAGGAGAAGCAGGAATCTTTATTGTCGCGCAAGAAGCTTCTTGGCTGGGTGAAGCGCGGGAATGATCTGAAGCCGGCTGCAAGCGATGGAACTCCCTTTGACGTGCGGCCGATATTCGTTGGCAGTGCGCTCGCGGCCGTACGCGCGGGCAGCACGGTGTACACGCGCTACCGCCAAAGAAGTGCAGTCGACCCGTCGTGGAGAGTGGCAGCGCAGCTCGCTGCGAGTGGGGGCACGGCAATCGAGATACTTGACCTGTCTCTGGCAGGGAGCGCACCTGCAGAGGACAACTCGACACTTGTGTCCATGCTTCCGACGCAGGCGCTGTCGCCGTTCGTCGCACTCTTCAAGGCGGACTACGCGCGCAATGCGGGGGAGATACATTTACATACATCCTCCCGCTCTCCTACTGTGCTCGCGGTCCCGGTCACGAACACCACAGGCTTGGGTGTGTCTCCCGACATGTCCGTCTACTCCTTCATACAGGACAACAGGATTCACCTCCACAGCGTTGCCACCGGCAGGCGGCTCTGCCGCATCGCACCCGCGCCGGAGCGCAAGGATCTACGTTCGCTAGACGACTACCACCACGTATTCTCTCCTCGGTCGACCTACCTCGCCACGGCTGTCGACAGCCAGCTCAAACTCTGGCGCACGACGAGCGGAGCACTCATCGATGCGGTGACGGTGCCAGCGCTCCAGAGTGATACCATCACATTCTCGAGCGACGAGAACAGGGTAGCCTGGATCCGGGCCACGCATAGCGGTCCAGACGTCGACGTCTTCGAAGTTGCCGGGAGCCCGCAGCGGCTCCGGCGGCTCGCCTCGTTCAACTACGGGCGCTGGGAGCCGAGCAGACCCGTCGTCGCTGCGTGTCGACTGGCGTTCTCGTCTGGTGTGAGTGGGAGTGATGACAGCAGCATCAGGTGTCTGCTGCATGATGGCGCCTCTGTGGCCGTGTACGAGTGGTGCGATGGGATGCCGGGACCTGTGCGCATCGCGTATGGGGATCTGCCAGAGCCGGAACTTGAGCACCGGGGCCAGGTGGTGGTCCGTGCGTCTCCGAACCTCGAGCGCGTGTGCTACACGACCACAGCCGCTTCGCGACGCTCGTACGTACTCAATCTTGACACCGCGTCAGTTATCCCCGAGGAACTTGGAGACGAGGGAGACAGATGTGCCGCCGTCAAGCGCTACGAGGCGGATCCAGAGCACGACCCCGCCGTCCTGCCTGACGTGCGCAGTTGGTCGGACATTGGCATCAGTGCAGACGGCTGGCTGTGCAAAGGAAGCCGCAAGCTCTGCTGGCTGCCTCTGCGGTACAGGCCTAAGCTCTCTCCCCCCTCCGACGGCGGTGCTACCTCCGAGTCGGTGGAATTCCAAGTAGTAGGGAACAGAGTCGTTGTTCTCGCAGAAAGCAGGCCGCTCGTTCTACGGAGTGTAGAAGACGTGCGATATTTTCAGGAGATCATGGCGAGCGCTGATGATAGTACAGGCGGAGTGTACCAGGCGCCATTGCGGAGGGAGACCACTCGTTTTAGTATACTTAGTGGACGGTCGATGTCGCATCGGCGGTTTCGTAGCGCGCATGATTGATAACAGGTATTCTAGTGCTTTGGATGGGGACTATGGCATACATATTAGCGTTCGGGGACCGGAAGGCAAGACACAAGATGCCACCACAGAGGTTTGACACAGAATATATGTGTAGTATACTCGTTGCATAAATCTCTCGCCACCTAAACCGCGATACCTTCATGCTGCTCACGATCAACTAGTTCTATATCTCCTCCTTCCTCTGTATGACCTTGAGCGAGGACCATTCCTTCGAAGGCAATAGCGCTCATTGTTAGCACTGTCATGTTTGCGCCGCCCTTCACCTGGTCCATGTGGAATTGGCGGATGGACAATATAAACCACGGCCCAAGTGTACAGGTGAACATTGCTTGAAGGCCCCATCTCGCTTCGTTCATGGCTGTTTTTTCGAGGAAAGTCTAACACGATCGAAAAAAACAACACCTCATTGAATGAACAAATGCAGAGACAGTTTTCTCGCTCACAAGGTCTATCGAGGCAGACTTCAAGTTGATAAGTAACAGGAACGCATGCCATACAGCATACCTAGTTGAAAGTTGAAGCTAGGGATCAGTCCTTGTGGCCTGATACTAGAGGACCCACCACGCAATGTACAGGAGACCTTGCTGAAAGAGATGTTGTGCAATGCTGTTGAATTGGGAAGTAGAATCGTTCGATCTCTGCTCCAAAAAATGCCAAATAGAGCGGTATGCCAACATAATGAACAGAATTATTTCAAACCCCACGACAATTCCTGAAGCAACCTGGTCTAGCCAACCCGGAGGCGAAGTCGGACCAAAGGTTTTACAATACGGAATGCCCATGAGAACGACCTCTTTTACTATAAAACATGTTCAGATTATAAAGCAGAGATGCAAGAATGTGTACCTACGGGTAGTCCCATAGGGTGGGATGTCGTCCACAATGTTAAGAGCCGTGCAAAGAAGCCGCACCGAAATACAGCAACAGCAGAGGAGAATCAAGATGTACGTCGTGCTTTTGTACAGCGCACAAACACGAGCCGTCATCACTCCTAGAGTTTAGAGTATTCTCGTTAAGCGACACAACAGACATGCATGTGTCAGACCTTTACCTTGCAAAGCTGCCTCCAAAATATTTATCCAGCCCATCTCTAACATTCCCCAGAGCATAGAACCTAACAAACCCGTTAAATATGCCTCTTGCAACACATGGTAAAGCAGAACTCACAACTCAAAAGCCATATTCAGTCAGCCAAAAGAAGTTAGCTGAGGTACAAAACAAAGAGTGGCTTACGTCTGTGAAGGCGTAAACTGAGAAGTTATCATGCGTAGATCGCTGCTATACATACCCGATCCGTCAAATACTTCGATGGGAAATATTCGTCTGTTGAGAAGTGTCAATGGGCTGATTACGCTCAGCGTAATTAACGCCACATACAAACTTGCACCCTGATTGGATGAATAGTGTCAGTCCAAATGAACATGCTAAAAACATATTGCGCACAGTGCATATGCCAGGCCCATGTATCGAAGCTGTTCAATGTTTCAGCTTCCTACTGACGTTTCGGGTGATTGTGTAACTGACACAGGCGTAGCACCAAGTCACCCAAGAAAGCTTATGTTTCTAATGGATGGCGTTTCTCGTCAAACGCCTTCAGTAAATTAAGAAACGCGGCAGACTTACCCAGATTAGGTCAACCTGATGCAGCAAACAGAGCTTGCGTCAAGGAACTGAATTTTCGTAGTCTCAGTCGCCTCACCTCTTGGCTGAGACAGAGGACTGAAATAATCTGTTATCATCTTCCAAGCGCAGCGAGGAGACGAGGACGCACCGTAATCGTAAACGACCAATGTAGCAACCGATGCTACAAGGCTCGACAATGAATTCAATTGACCAAAAAAACTGAAAGCGAACGTCGTACCAACGACATAATCTTCTACCTGAAAGAAGATGAAATCATGGAAGACCTCGGCAGAAGAGCTTGGGATATCCGGCATGGCTTTCTCGCAAATTCGCAAGTTGTGTACATTTTGATATCCATGAGGGTCTTTATAAAACCTGTGATAATCCACAGCCTCTCCGGAGTATTAAAATCCGACCAACCCACTCAGATCCCCCGGTTGCCGAGTGCAGCGAGGCTCGTGCGCCGACACGTAATGCATGATGGATGGGTTATAATGGGACGAATGGTTGCATTCGTTCTATCAGCTGTGGGTAAAATAGGTGGTGTTTGTCATGGGGCGAGTGGCCTTCTTCAACATAAGATTGATAAATTAGATCAAAACTGCGTTGGACTATGATGCACCGGTTACGTGGTGGAATGAAGTGATAGAACCCCTCGACTTTCTGGAAACATCAGCCAATCATACGCGTGCAGAAACCGTCTCTTCTCACTCTCACTTGCGTTGGAAAAGCCTTTCTTCCTCGATGCCGATGTTGCGCCACTCGTCCCACATGCCTCAGCCCGTAGATTTTTAGCTTGCGCCCTGCCTCGGTTCCCTTACCATCGCACGTTCTCGGGGAGTCGGCTACTGTGCTCTTTCCGTCATCTTTGAGTATTTTTCTTTTGCAAAACATTCCACGCCACGACTGTACCATGCGCACGCATTCGCATCCTTCCATAGTTGATTGAACGTTACGTTGAACCCTGGTCTGCAACGACCTCCCTCCTGATGTCCGTGGCGCGCCACTCAAGGCCTTCCTGGTCGCTGAAACAGCGCCCATCGACATTCTTTTTGCAATTCCGTATTTCATTGCTCTGCGCAGTATCTACAAGAAATAAAATATACAGATTCCTAAACTTCCGTTCTATCAACATTGTCGAAAAGCAAAACAAAACAAAAATACGCTGCTGCTCGAGGGATGAAAGACGCTTCGAACTACTCAAAACGCTCGAAAGAGAAAAGGTACTACTATTGAAGAATGAACAGATAAATGAGAATATATGTGAATAACGAATAAAAGTTACAGTTCCGAGCGTACGAGAGGAAAGGCAAAGCGACGATGTGATGATGGTTCGCAGCGCAGCAAGCGGGTACGCGCCGCACAAACGCGCCCTCGAGGTCGAAGAGAGAAAGTGGGTGGATTAATCGTCAGCTCGATGACCCCCAGCCCATATGAACGAAGAGGCGTGAAGAACGAATATTCGATGCAAAGATGGAAGCATTGGGCGGCGGTGGCGGCGGGGCAAGGTGAACGAAAAGGGTAATTTATGTGCGGGGTAGGTGAAACTTGTGAGCGATATATAAATATCTGCGGGAGAAAGAGGAAACGGGTAACAGCTTAATGCGAGGGTAAAGACCGGACCGAATTAGGCATGATACACAAAGCCATTATGGCTTTGGGTCCGCGGTGTATGGCGGCAATGACGACGTCGACGAGCACGGCGTAATGTGTGGCTGGTGACCCAGTGTGTTCTCCGCCGTCTTCTTGCTCCAAGCGATGTCGCCCGCGATGGCGGCGGGCGTGATCGGGCGCGACGAGTTGGGAGTGTTGGCCTGCGACCGGTTGTGCACGAGATGGGCACGGACGAGGTGGCCGGCGGCGAGGGCGGACATCAGCGAGAGCTCACCGGCCATGACGGCGGCGGCAATGATGCGAGCGAGGCGCTGCGCGTTCTGGCCGGGCTCGGAGGGGTGAGCACCCTTGAGGCCGAGCATCTCGAGGATGGAGCCTTGGGGCCCGAGAATGGTGCCGCCACCGATAGTGCCGACCTCGATGGTGGGCATAGAGACCGTCATGAGGAGATCCTCGCCGTCGTTGGTCCTGAAAGACGAAATGAGCAGGCGTTCACACAGCCAAAAAAAAAAAAAAAAAAAAAAAAAACGTAACGGCTCCATAAGCGTCATGCACATCGAACTCTCAACGTTCTGCGCCGGGTCCTGGCCAGTAGCCAAAAAGATAGCCGTAAGGATATTCGCCGCATGCGCATTGAAACCGCCAATCGAGCCAGCCATAGCGCTACCGACGAGGTTCTTCTTCGTGTTCAGGTTGCACAGCGCCTCGACCGTGGTCTTGAGCACGCTCTTGACGACCTTGCCGGGGATGACAGCCTCAGCGACGACGCTCTTGCCGCGACCCTCGATCCAGTTGATCGCAGCGGGCTTCTTGTCCGTGCAGTAGTTGCCAGAGAGCGCGAGCGTGACCATGTCGGGGAACCGCTTCTGCATGGTCTCGAGCGCCTTCTCCGTGCCCTTCGAGATCATGTTCATGCCCATAGCGTCACCAGTCTTCGTGGCGAAGCGGACAAAGAGCGTGCGACCGGCCATGGCGGTCTTGAGGCGTTGGAGCTTGGCAAACCGGGAAGTAGACTCGAAGGCTTCGCGGATGATCTGGTAGCCCTCGTCGGAGTCAATCCAGAGCTTGGCTGCAGCGGCCATCGTAATGGATGGGAAGTCGATAGCGGGGCCACGGGTCATGGCATCACCGGTGAGAACAGTGGTAACTCCACCACCAGCGTTGAGGGCCTTGCAGCCACGGGAGGTGGAAGCGACAAGGGTGCCCTCGGCGGTGGCCATAGGAATGTGGACGGACTCGTTATCGATCTTCAGAGGGCCAGCGACACCGAGGGGAATGGGGATGTAACCGATGACGTTCTCGCAGCAAGCACCCATGACCTTGGAATAGTCGTAGTTCGACATGGGGACATCCGAATCTTCAAGGGTGCCAGTAGAAGTTGCGCGAGCTATAAACTCATCAGCAACATCTTCACCTAGATTATGGAAGAATACTTACATATGAGGGACCGGCGAACGGAGACAGCGCGCTCAAAGTCACCAAGTACCTTCTCGAGGGCGTAGGCAGCGATCTTACCGTTCTGAGCCAAAAGAACAATTTCTTCGTCGTTAAGGACCGTGGGCTGGAGGTTCAAAGGCTTCGGCGCGCTCTCGAACACTGCAATGCACTCCTCGAGGGACCGGACAGGGAGATCGATATCCTTGGGCTCCCTCGCAGCACTCTTGGCACGAAGCTTCATGTCGAGCATGAACGCGGGAACACCGTTGGAAGGAGGAATGGCGATGGGAGCAGCGATGGGGCGAGTAGTCTGGGGAGCAGAATCCGTTTTGGCCGGCACAGCGGGGGCGGGGGGCTCAGGAGAACCACGGGACTCGGGGCTGGAGTCACCACCGAGTGCGAACGAGGGGCGTTGGCGCTTCTCCGGAGTAGCCTTCTCTTCGATAATGGTAACGACGGGCTTCTCCTTCTCCTCTTCCTTCTCCTCCTCTTCCTCAGTCCTGCTCCGCCGCATGCCACCACCAACAGACAGGAACCGCACGTGAGGAGTCTGGATGCCGCGCATGGCACCCTCGGCGATGCCCTTGAGCAGGTAGCCATTGAGTGTGACGCTGACGATGAGGATCAGGACGATCCACTTGGACAGGATCGGGTCGCCGACGAGACGGGTCCAGGCGGACATGAAGTTCTCCACGATCTCGGTTGAACGGAAGAGCGTGCGGCGTGCGGGACCAGGGGCGATGATACGGACGTAGACAGGGGGCGAGACCTTGACCAGCAAGTCTGCAGCCGTAGCGTTAGAGTCGTAAACCTCAGCCAGGGTGAGCGAGCTGAGGACCTCGGAGATGGCGGGTGACGTGATGTCGACTTTGCGTGCGACGAGAGGCTCGCCGCTGAGCGCGTGGAGGGAATCGATCGACGACTGGGTCTGGTAACGAGAGATCGTAGCGGGAGTGAGCGTGGTGGACAGGTTAAGGATGTGCAGCGTCAAGAACGAAGCGATCTATATGCATCAAAGGCAGTGAACGTCAGCCATCGGCTCAGGGGAGCAAATCACGCGGACGCTGTGCCGGCGCAACTCACCAAGAGCAGCTTGAGCCTGGCGACCGGGTTCTCGTTCTTGGTTTCTGCCGGAGGGCTGTTCTTCTGCCTCAGGTCTGATCCCTTCACTCCGATGAACATGTCGGAAAGGCTGAGAGAACTGCCTTGGCGGGAAGATGGGGTAGAGCGGGCAAGAGCGCTGGCTTTTCCTTCCGTCTTCAGGTTATTTGAACTCCTGGACCTTCCCATTCCGCGGACAGTTTGGATCCGTCGAACCTAATTGCAAAGACAATAAACAGATATTAGCATGGGCGCCATGACGAATAGACACAAGAGCGCAAAACGAAAGACAAAAAGACAATGAGACGGTGGATCTCCATGAAATAGGTCCGAAAGCGTGGATAAGGGGACAGAGCAAAGCATCGGACCGCTCTTGTCTAGGAAACCCGGTATGAAGTCACATGATCTAGTCCCAAGACTTACCTCAACCATAATTGCCAAAATGGCACAGTAGAAGGTGCCGAAAAGGACACAGTCTAGCGTGAGCAGGAGAGACGCGAGAGAGCAGAACTCCTTTAGGCCTCCGACCTTGCTTCTTGCGCCCATGACGAGTACCAGAATCTCAAGGGCATAGTCCCGCAGAATGGCGTTACCCTGGCTCTCCATCGCCTCCATGATGACCTCGCCAGCTGGCTTCATCTGCCCACGCCAACGGCCCTCCTTCACCGGGGTGGTTAGGTTCGGGTGGTTGAAGACTGCGCGTGCGAGCCGCAGAGGCTTATCAAATCCGACTGTGCACACCAAGAAAGGCAATGCCTCCGTCAGACTGATAGGGTCGAGCGGGATCTGGAGGTAATGGGAGATCGGTAGCGTAACCATGAAGGCGAGGAGGCCATTGGAGATGATTGCGGTGCTAAGCCAGAAGTTGGAGCCAAGACGACGGGAGGAAAGGAAGAGGCGGATAAAGGAGGCGTGCATGAGGACATAACCGGCGAGGACAAGAAGTATATCCACGGAGTCTGCTTTCTGCTGCGCATGTAAGCATCTAACTTTGTGTCACAGGGGGGAGAACGCACCTTAGCCAACTCCCAGAAACGCATGACGAGCGCTTGGGCGGCGTATGCCATCCATTTGCCGCTCTTCATCTCGCCGATAGTCTCCACCTGCCGACCCTCAACGTGAAATTTGACGCCATACGTGTCCGCAGCGAACTTCGCACGTGTCTTCAGGGCGTCGACGAACTCGTGAGCGAGACCAGGTGTAAAGGAGAGGGTCAGGATTTCCGAACGTGACGAGGCCGGGGAGGGCGACACCATGGTGAAGCATGGGAGCGCTGACTTCTCGGGAGTGCGGTGGCACACGGAACCATACTGCTTGCCAAGGGCAGAAAACTCGTGGGTGAAATGGTGCGTCAAGTTTTCAATGGATGGGGTGAAGGAGCTGAAGTCGACCTTGATAGTCGTACGACCAGATGACGTTAGAATGTGGCTGCCTACGAAAATCACACATATACTTACCTCATCCTGAGAAGGAGGCAGCGTGAATATGACCTGTTGGAGCTCGACCTTGCCATCGTTGGGCCGTGACGTATACCAGTTTTCGTCTACGCCCACCCATTCGCCCTCGCGGAAGAGAGCATGCGCAGGCCGGAGTGTTGATGGGAATGTAGGAGCGAAAAAGGCGGAGTGCTTGATGGCCGAGAGGACGTTGAAGTAGGCGAGCGTTCCGACAATGAAGAAGAACACTATCGTCTCGATGGGCGCGGAGACAGCGCGTCCGCTGAGCGGTTGGAGTGCACGCATTGGCGGGGAAGGGAAAGGACAGGGGAATGCGTGTGGCCTTGATGCAGCGTTTCGCTTTTTGTTTCCTCTTACTTCACAGGTTGATGTCTAGAGCAGTACACGGATAAAATTGGTCACAGGTGCGCGCCCGGGCGAAGTAAGAAAGCGCGTACCGGAGACAGGGCCCGTTACGGTTGTGGTGGCGGGCACGGAGAAGGGCGGCGACGGGGATGCTGTTGAAAGCGTCGTCGTCGTCGTCTGTCGCGGTGGTCGTGAAGGAAGGAGGCAACCTCCGAGAAAAGCTGAGGGGTGGGGCGAGGGATCGACGGAAGGAAATGGTACGACAGCGTAATATTTAACATTTTTCAAAATTCGGTTGGGGCAGCCGACGCGTTCCAGATCAGGCAGTTGGAGTGCCTGGGACCCGGGTCACCCCTCTTCCCTCTCAATGCCACCGAGCTTGTCATTCTCAGAGTCCGCTGTGTATCTAACATCCCGTTCCAACAAGACGCCGATGGGACACCTCTTTGCATAAACAACATCCCATGCGAGCACTACGGATAGGGTAAAGCAATGACCATGTCAACCCCTCGTGTCCTCGATCGTGGGCATCAAACCGGTGGAGGCTGTCGCGGTTGATTGAGCCATTCACCTGGCAGTGCCGCCCATCATCCGAGCACCCACTGACATACCCAGTATGTTATGCACAGGATCACAATAGCCGACTATCGATCGCACTAGCGCTTTGTTTATCTCCGAGGTAGGAGGTGTAGGACCATTGCGGCGGCTAGCTAGCCCATTTCAAGTCCTTCACGTTGGACTGCCGCACAATATGATCGATAAGTATGCTGACGAAAACCTAGCCTCTTTCGACAAATTTCAATGTGAATAACGGGCTCAAACAATTTTTTCTTCTGTATTTTGTCTTCACCAGGTCATCTGTTCTACACGAGCCCGGTCCGAACGCTCTTGATAACTAGAAGACTGAGCGCGGGTCGCTGTGCGAACATGCTGGCGTTCGTCGGTCGGGGTCCCACAGGGTCCCTGCTCTTGTCAACGGAAACAAATGTCTCTGTCTCCTTGACTTGTCTATCCACCTGTCCCTGTCTCGCGTCTTGTCCCTTGGTCCGTGGTTGTCGGTCACCCTCTTTCATACCTCTGGAACACGTCGACTTTGTCTGCTCGCTCAACTGAACGGGTTTACTGTCTCCGCTGCATAGCTTCGCCCAATGACCGTGCATATCAATCAGCGTTACTCTGTCAGTGAAACATCACCAGCTATTGTTAACCTCTCCATGGTCAAATTGATCCTACAAGCTTGCAATTGACTTTACCGCGTACTGGTCTGAACCGCACGGATTGCCAATGTTAGCGCCTCCCCGCCCTCTCCGCAATCTTGACATCTGCCTCACTTCTGCTGTTATCACCCCGGATATGTCCAACGAGCGCTACTCGGCCCTATCAATGCGAACGCCAACGTTCTCATCTAACCTCCTCGGAACATTTCTCATAACTTGTCAATACCCATGTCGTCCGCAACTCAGACATCCGAGCGCCCCAGTCTCACCCGCATCACATCTACCCTGGACGATTCACTCTATCACTCAACGAAAGCGCCTTGTTCTCCGGGGAAGCGTGGGCCGTGGCGATCTTCTCCGACCAAAACCTTTATCCCTCGGGGAGACTCGTGGCAGAGGCGTCGGTGACGATCCCTCCGACGTACCAATATGGGTCGTTCACGTAACGTCTCTGTCTCTGTCTTCGTCCCCTCGGAACGACGCTCCTCGGGCGACGAGAAGTCTGTTTTTGCGTTAGACCTGTTCTCTAGTGTCAATGTCTAGATATCGGCCCCGCGCCTTACTCTGACGACTGGCGACATTGAATGAGCAGGCACACCGTAATCATGCAAGGCACTCCATTGCAACTCCACATAGTGACTGACGATATTGATCCACTTGCATGCTCGCTGGTAGCCGAGTGCCCGTCTTACCGGCGCCTGATTCGTCGCTCGTATGCAGCCAAGCCGGTTCTAGAAGAGTAAGACGTTGGATGAAGTCAGTTACTCAGTTCAACATAACGCCCTTGACCACATCCGCGGACACTCCTCATGCGCACAGCGACTCAATGCTACCATTTAGGGATAGGCACTAAACCGCAATATCCTAGTGTTTATAATGTCCATTTCACTAAACAACCACAGGAGCCTCTACATAACGGCGGCGACCATATACATACGTGGACTCAATGCTGCCAAGCGGGATGAAACGGCAGTAGCATTCGTGAGTCTTGGAGCACCCGCAATGTCCATACGTTGAGTCCAATTGCGAAGCACAAACTCGACGTCACCGGAGCGACCGAAGCAGCGTCCTCGTCGGTGTCACCGCCTAATTTGAAGCCGTGTCCTCCCCTACGTTCTTATCTCATCTAAAGGCTATCTTGAGGACGTCATCTAAGCCAGAGACTTCATTGATTGAGTGATATGGACGATGTGCGAACGTTCCCTTCCGCGAATCGTGTCGAGTTTCAGAGGATGTGAGAGCTCATCCCACCATCCACGGGCGCTTATCAACGTTTTGCTCTAACACAGTAGGTGTTCCTTCATTACTTCTGACAGTCGACGCTCCTTCACTGAATTAACCGTGTCAACATCCACGTTTACTCGAGACAGGACCCCGGACGCTCTTCTACCTCATTGGTGTGAGAGCACGTTCTAGCCTATTGGGTGCGTCGGCGTGGATGAAAGAGCGGTAAACAACTCCGCGTCGACGGCTCGAATGGACTTCTTGAGCGCTTACGATGAGCTTGAATCCTGTGCACAGTCTTGAGCGCTTACGATGAGCTTGAATCCTGTGCACAGTCTTGAGCCCGTTTCGTCATGCATTCATTAGTTGCCAATTGGTTATGCGTGTTCTACTTGCGCTTTCTGACTGAACGAAGTCTAAGAGTGCATCAATCCTTGTGACGATCACCAGCAGCCGCTGCTTCAGGTTACAAGGGTCCATCTCAAGCGTCATCACTTACATCACGACTGTACAGGTGAGATCAGTCTCTGCGCAGCAACTGTGCCTGCACATGCGGCTTCACCTCAGTGATGGACCACGACGGCTATTGATAGCCCCGTACTTATCTCTACGTTCATCTATCATCCTGATAACCTCATCAAGTTGCATACAGTAGTAAGTGTAGCTGTCGTTGCGTGCTTCGCCATGGACTTTGAGTAAAACTCTTATCCTCTTGATGGTATCGACTTCATCAACGTCACACCGCTCCCCGTGGTCCACACATGGTAATAGTGAGCTGTGTTCAATAGGCTATGTGCCTGGAGCATAAACTCCCTTGGGGTGCCACTTAAACGTCATATATACCGACATCACCTTTTCCACCTGCAGATCCAAATTATTTGCCAAGTATGGTACGCATTATCAGTGGATAGGACACGTTGGATACTTCAGCTCAACAAATCGGCGTCAAGGACGGTGTCACCCAATCGGCGTCGGCCTCTTAATCTTCCCGACGGCCCTCGGTCCGGCTTTGCCGAAGGCCCCTGTCGAGTCTGTTGCGAGAAAATGCACTTGGCGAAGGCGAACTTGATTGGATCCCTGGACCGTCTAACAATAACAAGAGCGAGCGCTATATTAACAATAAGCAGCACGACCTAGAATAGGAGAGGGACGGTTAGACATGTGGCACCAAGATAAATGAGACGTCGTCGACCGTGTGAGCCTGAGTCGCCGTGTGCGGCGAAACAATAGGCACACAAATAAACGGGCGATCCTTCGGCCATTCGTCGCACTTCTCTCCTCGTTGTTCGTGAACTGCGAAACTCAAAATCATGAAGCGGAAATAAATCCAGTTTGAGCGAGGAAAGTCCAATGGAATCTGTGTCAATCGACAATGGACAGTTCCGACGGACCACCAAATCTGGCACAACATCCTATTGGTGGTGCGACTGGAACTCGTACGACCAACGAAATCTCAGGCCATCCGAGTCGTACGATTGGCTCTTCCTGCGAGTATGGTTTGGAGTGAACGCACGAATGTGATTGTGCTTTCTGATTATGGAAGCGTCGCAAAATTCGGGGTTCCATAATCCTTGCTGAGGGTGTCTGAAGTCTACCGACAAAATTTCATTCAAGGCTCAAGACACTTTTCTTGCTTTAATCCCGCGTGTCAAATGGCTGGGCAAGCCGCTCTATGAGTAGGTTTTACTCACCCCGATAATACTGAGTCCAGAAGAATAGCTCAAGGCAAATTTGTGGCCGGATTCGTCGGTTATCCTATCGAGTGCCAAAAACGCATTCAAAGTGCGTAAACACAGACATAGAAACTAAACATAAAAACAAAAAATGTATTGACAAGAAGTACCTTTTGCGACAAAAACCGTACAGCGCGTTCTGACTTTAGATTTTAGCAACTGCCTGAGCACCTGGTACTGCTCTATCAGTCCACTATTATAACGCCTAAACATTAACTGCGTCTCTATGTCGAGCCTGTTTAGCCATCTTTTTTGTTCTACCTCTGAAGGGCCGTATATGTCGCAGCTTTACAACCCAGTCCACAGTCCTCTTATGACCTCGCTTTACGACATCTTGCATGCGCCAAAGAGTGTACAGATGGAGCGCAACTGCTGCGCCGAGAATGCTGAGGGCGATGATGCAACAACGTTTCGTGTAGGGGGCAGCATGGATGAAGATTCGCAAGCAAAGGCCAGCAAGGAACAGCAGCATACTGGAAGTAGAGGTGTTACGTTTGAGATTTTTAAACGCGGAATAAAAACGTTGAAACGTACCCCCACGTGAGAAGTGCGAACGGCAAGGTGTATGTGACTGCAAAGGACAAAGACTTGCTCATGGCCGACAGCACCTCCGCCTGTTATCATGGGTCCAAATAATGTTTGTCATGATGAAAATATAATGAAGACACAGATAACGCACCGCTTCGTCACGTTGTGAGAGCCGTCGGCGTATATCCGTAGATAAGAGAAGGGAGAACATCATATACCCGACGATGGCGATGATTGAGATGTATGTGCACACTGTGGAAGCACTCTCACTTCCAGGGTCATCGTTTTCGACACCTGGTACTGCTAAGAAGGATACGTCCACAGCAAGCATTACGGTGGACTGTCAGAAGAACGTTGTAACTAAGTCAGCTCTTGCTAACGACGTGGAAAATATCAGCGTAAAGTGAAGGAGAAGAACCAAGCGAGAACATGGCATGTAGGATGAAACATATTAATAGGAGCAATGAAAAGGAAACACATCGACGCACATAAAGCGTAAAAGCGGTCATGTCATCAGACACACTGTCCAAATATTCCTTCCACCTAGGCCCGTTAACACACCGATCCGCAAAGACACCTTCTATACGGTGCGACTGTGATGTTGATCCTCCAAATGTGACGACTGATAAAACGCCAGCGAGAATCAAATAAAGTAGATGCGGACTATCTTCGTGTAGACGCCTTTGATCAGCCTGAATGGATTGGTAGAATTGTGATCGCGCTAAAGATGTTCTATCAGGTACTTGAAAAGGAGCCTAGAGGACTGACATCTACCGAACATGGAATTCATTCGATCTACACGTTCCGTTAGGAGAGAGTAAACATGACCGAGAGTCATGGTATAGTTACTAATGAGACATCTTGCCCTTGGGTTTACTTTATCTGCGCTGTCTGAGTGTAGTTAGCTTCAACGTTGTCCTTCCAGATGAATAATATTGAGTACCCTTCCAGGAATCTAGCACATTTCGTATATTCAAAAGCTCCTCTGCGTCGTACGGTGAATAAGCATGATTGCCCGTTGCTTGCTCTGTATGCAAATTACGACATCAGTCACGTTTTTGTAAGACCCATTTTACCTACCTGCGATGGCATGAAGGACCCGATCATTGATATATCTATAGGCGCGTTTAGGTATTTTACCGATGTACGGAAAAGCTTCGAAATGTGAGCTTTCCAGTTTCAGCCATGTAAACACTTGTCCTATCAGCCAAAATGTGCAAATAGATAAGGTTCTAGTTTACCTATAACCGGTGGAACCCTTACGAATACTGCGCGTTCATCGCATAACCTACATAAATGAAATGGTGATATGTCTGACATAAGAGAGAACTTATCCTTACTTTCGTCCCCCTTGTTTGTAATGCCCCTGAATTGTGTTCCAAGGCCGTAGGTTTTGTCACTGTACTCTTCCGCCCAAGCAAGTAGATGTGTTGTGATCTTGAAGGGTACCAGGTAGTAACTCGCGATCTTCGTGTCTAAATCAAGGTCAAGCACCAGTCTGTAGTCTCCAGAGGTCAACTTCTTGTCGCTATTTCCTTGATGCATAATTTCTGCAGCCGCCTTGTTCAGGATATCCAGCTTGAACCTAGTGTTGCGAACACCTGGCGTGTTGCGAATATCCGTATTGGTAAAGATGATCTGCGACTATTGTTCAAGGATAAAAAAGGAAACATCGCGGTTATCGCTTACAGCAACCTGGGCTTCATTCACTGACGGCTGGAAAGCCGGAGACACTGAGTCATGAGGAGCACGGAGAAGAGCGAAGCACTGGACATACTCTAGAGGCTACGCATCAAGTAGCCCTTCGCGAAATAAATGCCACCGCTAGGGTGCTTCCAACCGGTCCATCCCGAAGAACACTCGCTGATTGAAGGTGCAAATGGATATGGATTAGACTGATGTACTTCTCGCATGAGTCGGCTGTGGACATACTACGTAAAACTCCATTCCCAAAGCTTTTCCCTGTACAAACTAAGTGCACAAGAACCAAACATACTAGAACATAACGCACCCTGGAAAGGGATCGTGATTCGGTCTTTCCTTCTTCAAGACATCGGACGGCAGCATTGGCGAGAGACTCCACTTTGACCACTCCTGGTTCAATTCACCGCTATCGGTGAAAACCTCCTGGTCTGGTTGCTGTAGCTCAGGAGGATACGACTCTGGAGTCCCTTCGGTTGAATGAACGGGTATTTCTTCCTCGTACATGGCTCCTTGAATGCCGGGATGGCTTGATTGGTGTGGAGCGTCAAGCTAGTGGTGGAAGGTAAGAGTGGGAAAACGCTCGAGGATGGTGGACAAGCATCGTTTAATATGTGGGTGACATCACTTTGACGACTGCGGCGAAGCGTGGAGTCAACCACACAAGCGCTCACCTTCACCTTGATGCTAATTTTGGAGCATTCGAGTTAGTGCCGTCAGAATGTACGCTCGCACCAGCACAACCGAAGAAGACCGAGTTTTCACTTAGCTATAAAGGTTTCCTGGTTGACAAAGGGCTGGCCAGTCGTGCCTTTCGGGCAGCTCACTCAGTTGTGCTTCATCACAGTGTGAAATCGAGCATCGTTTCATTTGAGTTCAGGGATGTCATTGGGCTTAGCCGCGGTTGCCGGCCATTGTCGTCCGCTATGAAGAACTAGTTCGTCGATTGGTCAACATTGCCGAGAATATGGACTGCCCTTGAACCAGCAAGCATATGTTGCGGAGACACGATGAAGAATGCTTACACTTGACCGTGAGACATAATGAGGCGGAACCTCTGGTCGAATGTTCCAGGTACCCCAGCCCATCTATGCATGAGGATAGATTACTATACGTCTCTCGGGTATGCTATTGAGGCATTCAACGCATGTGCTATCTATCAAGCAGCGGGTTTCCATCGAGTTTAAGACGAGAACGCTCGCGAACATTTAAACGCAAATCCAAAATAGTCCAGTTGAAACACGACGTAGCGAGAAAAAGGCGTAGACGATCTTAAAACATCCGTCTGATTCCGAAGACTCTAGTCAACCAACAAGATTGGTCAACGAATGAACCCTCGCTGAACTGAGCAAACACACTCACAGATACGACATAACTTACGCCCTCAAACCTCCAGACTCCATCTAATCGAGGTTCTCGTAACTCGGAACATCGTACCCCGCGGCATGCAGCAGCGTCGCAAACTGCACCTTGGCAATCGACCGGATTTGCTCGAAGTCGTACCCCGGGCGGTCGCTCACATCACCTGCAAGATAACGGGCTAAGGATACATTAACAGACAGAAGTTGGCGACACGCTTACCGCTGTTGTGATACATCGGGTCCGCGACTAATAAAATACAGAACATAAGCCCGCCAGAAAGAGAAGACGACAAGGATATAGGATGAACGACATACTCGGTCCGGCGCGCTCGAACACCTGCGTCGCGGGGAATCCTTGCTGGTGGAACGACTGTCACATACGGCGCGATCAGCCGTCCACTCTTCCATCACCTAGTCATGACAACGAGAAAGGCCCACCTGGTGGTCGCTGCAGCACGCAGGCGTAATTCCGACCCTCAGCTCGGGGCTGTATATCGCCGAGATCTTCGTGACGAGGTCTGCTACTTCACGGGTGCCGATGCTACAGCACACACGTGAGACATCTAGATTTTAAGAGGATGTATAGAACGTACACGTCAGGCAGCCCGAGCTGCGCAGGCTCGCTCGCGACGTGGTACCCGAGCATGTCTGCCTGGATCATGGTCGTGATGTTCGCGTTGCGCTCGCGGAGCTCCTCTGTGTGTACGTCAATATTAACAGGTGCTGTTGGGCTGGAAGAGGAGACTTACGAGCGTATGCCTTAGACCCAAGCAGACCTTGCTCCTCGCCAGCGAAGGCGACGAGCTCGACGTTGCTCTGGAAGGTGACACTGCGCTTGGCGATGGCACGGGCAATGCTGAGGAGAGCGATTGTGCCGGAGCCGTCGTCGTCACCGCCCGGAGCCTATTCAATGGGTTATATGCGTGTTTTCAGGTGTAAATGATTAGTATATGCGCACCCTTTGGAAGCCAAATGAGCCACGCGAGTCGTAGTGCGCGGAGATGAGGACCGTGGCAGTGGTATTAACCGTTGAAGGGTACTTGCTAGAAGTCATTGACATAGAATCAACCCCTGCCCTCATGGATAACACAGCAAGAATCAGAAGTGAAAGGAACTCACCAAACCACATTCGGGGCGAAACCCTCCAAAAATTCCCTCAACTCACACGTCGCGCCCGTCTCCTCGAACCGCTCCTTGAGCCACTTGGCGGCAGTGCGCGCGCCGCCAGAGAACGCGTGTCTTGTGACGATGGGCGACGCGGGGTCCTCGCCAGTGAGCCACCGGATGTCGCGCCGCATGTGTGGGACGGAGATGTCGTACACGAGCGACGCGACGACGGGGTCGAAGGCTAGGTTGGAGAGGAGCGCGCGCACGTGCTCGATCGCATCGGAAGGGACGGGGATGAGTGGTTGGGGGTTCGCCGGGAGAGGGCGTGGTTTCCAGTAGGGTGGGAGATAGGATAGCACTTGGCCGGCCGGTGCGGAGGAGGGGAGCGAGAGCAGCGCGAAGGTGGGTTCACGGTGCAGGAGGGTGACGACGTGTTCTCCTTCGCTGTCGAATGTAAGGACCTGCTGTCCCGGAGAGTGCGTACCGAGGAACTCGTAATCAATGGGCACGTAGCCATTGTCCGCGCCCGATAGCAACCTGAAAAACTCGTCCACCTGCTGCTTGTACTCCGTGGTCCTGAGCGCGTCGTCAATAGCGGCCTCCTGAAGCCAAACAAGTTTTCTATGGTCGGATTTATCGTCCTGCAGGAGGAGATTGTCGAGCATGGAATCGAACAGCCCTGCCTGAGACGCCTCAACGGCACAGTCAGCGTCAGTGAGCCGGAAGACGGCGCGGTCGCCGAAGGCACCCATGAAGCTATCTGAGAGGCATGAAGGAAGGGACTGCGTCAGGATGGTAGAAGAAAGTGCGAGGAGGAAAGAGTCCTGGACGGCCATCCTGGACTGTGCTTGCGAGGTGGAGGAACGCGCGAGACAGAGGAACCAGGTAAGCCCGGGTCACCCATTTCCGAACACAAGTACCCGTACAGTCGCCGAGTCGCAGATAAGCGGCTTTCCGGCGCGTCCGCCGTGGGGAAACCCCACATGGCCCCTATTACACATCAAGTACCCAGAACCAAGAGGCGTGCACGATCGCGAAATCAGACACCAACCGACCTTTGGGGCTACCTGCATATAGTAAGAGGCCCCACTTTCGCGAGTAGGTTCATGGCCAACCTCAGAGTGTGCATATCTCATCTTTTTCTCGATTGATCATAATCATAATCTACATGGGGTGGTGGTTTAGAGTCTTCCTCTGTCCGAATATGTAGTTTAATAGATATATCATCACTCAAAATAGTGCTAAAAGGTCGCATCAAGGCGTTAAGCCATACAAAGGCCGGTGCACGTGACGGGGACGCGATCGTAGTAAACGATAGTGACCGCCTTCGATGGATTTCTCACTGCTTCTCCTCATCAACGACCGTCATCCAGACCTCAGTTCATACATCCACCCACTAACCTTCCTTTCAGACCCTCAAAACACTCTGAAACAGTCTATAAGACTCATCATGAGGTATGAATACCGACTTTTCATTGATTGGCTCTCATTGGAAACACACAGTGACATCCCGACGGTGCATTGGCAAGATTGGGTTGATGTCGGACAGCTACATCCAACACCACTGACGCGTGGTTATGAATATCTGAGGTACGAGTATCCGTTTTCATTTGAGACTCTTGTGAACTCACGAATATACGCTCCATGTAGCGACGTCCCCCCCGACTACCGTCCCTGGTTCAACATTGGACCCGACCTCGACGCCAACCTCAACGCGGAAGACAACCGCTCGGAGGCATCAAACGACTCCCGCAATGATAGAGTCGCCGACGTTCTCACCGATCCGGAGTTAGGCCCCGACAGCGATGAAGAACCGGACCCGGTGCGCATGCTCGCTGTCAACACAGCTGACGCCCTCCTCTGGCTATACCAAAACGGGTACCTCAACGACAGGGCTGGCACCAGACGCCGAGAGCTTCAGTGCCCCGAATGCAACAGTTGGGTCCAGACGTGTCTGGCTCCCTCGGACCGCACGTTCTCTGCCCCGGGGCACCTGCACTCACTCGCCCAGCACAGAGGCAGCCGCAGCTGCCGCCCTCAGTCGTCGACCACCTCCCTAACAGCTCATACCACGATAGAGACTGGCCAGACCACTTCCCTGTCAGCACATTCATCGCTCGCGTCACTCTCGTCGCTCTCGTCAACAACATCTGGGCAGGGAGGCAGTTCTACCTCCCACCAGCCCATTCTAGCTGGCTGCCAGGGCCTTCGCATTGACTGGGACGTCCCCGGCGGCTCATTTCTCGAAACGTTCCCAGTCGCTCGGTGCTCCCAAGGTTGCGGTGGTGTCACGTTCGCGCTCGACTTGACAGGTCCTGTTCCCATTGCTCGCGCGTCAGCCTGTTACCAGCAGTCGACCATCACCAGCCTTTGTGCTGAGTGTCAAAACCTTGGGCCTCAGATTGAGCATCTCCGCTCGATGGCTCTTGGTGAACCTGCACCGCACACGAACTACCACCTCCTGAGTCATCACCAGCTCACCGACGTCATCCGCTCTATGAGCCACACCAATAATACGCTCAAACTCAATGTAAGCATAGCTTTCCCTCAATTGGTCCACCGAAACTAATTAATGCGACTAGATATTGAATTTGACGCGACGGCTCGGCACTACGCTTACGCGCCTTGATGCATTCAATGCGCTCGTGATGGCCCTTGCAGAAGAGGATGTCCCCCGCCTTCAGCAGCTCATTGCGACAGCAGTGCGGCATGGTGACAGTGTGCGTACAATCATCAATCGCATCGAGGAAGCAGTGACACGCGTGTACTCTCCTCGCGGTTATGATCAAGAAGACTACGATATTGGCCTGCTCGCATATCGCCTTGGCGGGCGTCAGCTCTTAGCTGTCCTCAACAGGCGGCTCTCACTCCCCTCCCTTCGTACTCTGCAGCGTCATCAAGTCTTCATCAACGTCCACATCACCATCGGATCGATTTGCCTTGCTGATTTCATCACCAACATCCGCAACACCGTCTTCCCCTCCTCCTCCTCCACTGCCACCAGGCTTGCCGGTCATACCATCTGCATTGACGAAATTGCGCTTCAGGAAAAAGCCGATTACAACAGCAAAACCCAGCAGGTTATGGGCATATGCCACCAGCACGCCTCCGCTGTCAACCTCACGCTCACGAACACTGAGTCCGCCATCCGCATCGCCGAGTCACTTGCCCGAGAAGAATGCCATCTTGGCAAGGAGGCGACCGTCATTGCTGTTACCACGTGGGGAAACGACAGCATCTATCCCCTCCTTGCGGCTGCTTCCTGCAAGTCGGAGACACCTGCTCAGATCGGCGACATCATGCAGACAGCCATTCGCAGCTGGAACGAATCAGGTGCACGCGAGAAACTCGGACCCATATGGTCAGTCGCCACTGACGGCGATGCAACTCGGCGCCGGGGCTTTCATGACAACTTCCTCAAGCATGAACTCGACGAGCTCCACGCAGTCAGCCAACTCCGAGTCGCAGTAAGGACCGTTCGCGTTATGCCCGGGCTCAACCGCTTCGTCGGGGACGACGGGATTACCCTCGACTTTGACTACAAGCATATCTTCAAGCGTGAGTTTTCTGTTTTATTCCTCGTTCGTTTTTGCTCACATGAATCTCAGGCTTGTGCACGCAGCTTCGGTCGCCCAAGGGTATCACCCTTAACAATGGTCATGTCATGACCCCGGCGACTCTCGCCACTTATCTTTGTTGACTTCCCAACGAGAACGCAAAAAGTGTGGAACGTTTGCTCCACCCAGACGACCCGCAGGACGTCCCTCGGGCCATTAATTTACTTTATGCCATTGTTGCTCTTGCCGACCTCCAGCCTCCCCCTAATGACCTTCAAGCAGCCGTCGACCTCGAGTCCATCAAGCTTCTCAGCGCTCTCTTTAGATTTCTTCTTGACCCCTTCCTTGACACGACCTTCTCTCTGTCTCAACAAGTTGCCCACCTCTCGGCCTTCGCCCACCTTGCATTTTCCCTCTTTCGTAACAGCCGACGCCTTTTCTCACCATACCCACTGTATTATGACTATCAGACCATGGTGAAGAACTTCGTATTCTCCATCATCAAACAGACGATCCTCGATCCCATGCAACAACTCTGGATAGGCGATCTCGGTGACGACAAGCTCGAGGCGTTTTTCGCTTCTCTCAGAATGCTCGGTGGCCATGACTCAGCAATGAGTCTCATGCAGCTTCGGAATCGCCTTGGGGCTGCATGCGATATCAGCAAGACATTCAACCGCTACCCAGGGCTTCACTCTGGCCCTCGGCGACTGCAGTTTGGTCGCAGTGAGGCCATGGATCACCTTCGTCGCCGTCACTGGACCGGTGACATTATCGCTGGCCATTGCACGCTTCCTGTGTCTTGGCGTCATGGCCGCGAGCTCGCACTTAGCGTTCTCATTTCTTCTCAGGTTCCCGCCAGCTGCTACGACTACGACACACTTCTCAGCGCCCCTGGTGTCGACTTCTTGCGGCCATGGGGCGAGAACAAGTACTACGGCGTCTCATCCGATGAGGCTGTCGATGAGCCCTCTGACCCTCTCCCACCTGCGCCTGTCGACATACCTCTACCCCCCACTCATGCTGAGGCTGGTGTTGACTACGAGGATGAGGACGAGATGGTTGAGCGCGATTTCGAAGGTGCACTCGACGACATGCTCTCAGACGACGCTGTCGACCCTGACTCACGTCCTGATGTCACCTCTGCTGCGTCAACCTTCCCCATCCCCACTGGTCCTGGTATCCGGCCGCTCGACTGGTGTCTATTCGAGGGCAAGTGGGTACACCTTGCATCTGTGGTTCGCCTCATCATCAATCGCTTCCACGATCCCAAGTCTCTCAACCGCCTTGGACGCTGTGCTTCGTACAACAAAAGTCTCAAGCGTGGCTCATCATTCCTCTGCACCCCTGTATCCTCATCCGACAACGACCTCTTCATTCAAGGCAACCCCTTCCTATGCCTGGTGCGAGCAGGTGGGATTGTTTCCGTAGCTCTGGTTCGGTCAACAACAGTACTACGGGACAGCTACCGGGTGTCATCAATCACCCATGGTGCTCTCGCTGATAGCGACTGCCGTCTCGAGGGTCAGATACTCGATCTCCGCTCGGTTCCCATCAACACCTCCGATGGCCCTGCAACCAGCTGGTTTTGGACTGGCAGCTACATCACCGAGACGTGCACAGCTCAAGGCACAACCCAAACGACCGAGAAACCTGCACTTGTCACTGCTCCTGGTCGTCTACTCAGGCCTGCCAACCCCATCCTTGTTCGCTTTAGTGACCGCCCAGAACTCAATCGCCAGGACTTCCCTGCATTGCCACCCTCTGTCGACTTCACTTGGGAGATCCCACACGAGACGTTGAGTCACACGTGCTCAACGATTTACCAGACTCTCACGGAGCGCAACATCTCAACGCGCACACTCAAGTCCGTTGTGCCATCTCCCACGAGCAGTGCATATCCGTACATCTCAAATGGTGCGTACTTGTTGTTGGTATGGCTCTGTATATTCTAAATGATTATGTAGGTGCTCCTGCGTTTGTCGCCGAAACAAATGACCACAACGCTGAAAACGACGCACGTGGTGCCTGCAACGTCTGCGGCGTGCAGATCCGTAAAGGCTCTGACTTCCGAGCTCACCATGGTATACATATCCTCCGCACTGTGCTACGTCTGCCCGAAACCGGTGCTACAACCCCGGCAAGTTATCGTGTTTACTCTTCGCATGCATTTGCTAATATATCTTTTAGGTTGCTTCGTCGTTACCCTGTGGCTGGTGTGCCGTGGGGCTGTGCGAGACGTTCATCACAGTCACCAACGACGGCAAGGTCTTAAGTACTGAGAGCGCGTGCCCTCTTCGCCACACCCTTACCTATGGCTGGGCGTTGAAAGCCTCGGTCAACCGCCCATGTCGTAATGTTCCTCTTGCTTGTCCCCTCTGTCACCCACCTGTTCCCGCAGCACCAGGCAGGTCAAAACATCGCGGCGACAACAAGCGCGTACGTGCTACATGGAGCTACAACCTTCTCGAGCACATCCGCATTCAGCACGGCAACTACACCCTCCCCGACAACTCTCGCGCCGGGGCTCTGCTCCCTCAAACCGTCCTGGATGCTATCGCTATAACAAAACTCGAATATCTCGCCGCCCACGGTCGCAAGCCTTCCGACAAAGACGCTGATGCTCTGTGTGCTCTCAATGCCATTCTCCCTTTTCTTGACTCAGGCGACGCGAACACCGCTGCCGCCGCCTCCTCATCTCGAAAACGCGTCCAGAATCAGCCTGACAAGTCCAACAAACGCGGTAGGACCGACTAGGTTTTTTCGTGATTAATTTCTTCTTGCTCTCGTCGTGCTATAACTACTGCTGCTGTCTGCTAATTCTACTTCTTGGTGCCGACGCTCTGTGCTCTCTTCATGCTCTGGGTCTTCGCTCTCTCTTTGCTGCCTGTCTCTCGTGCTTGGCTCGCCGTTTCATCGCTCCGTGCTTTAGTGTTTCATTGTTACATTATGTATAAATATAATTGCATATTTTTTGGGGGTTATATCTCGTTTCGACGCGTGAAAGACGCGTCTCAATGCTAGGGGGGAGGAGAGGATAGAGGCTAATGTTCAAGCTGATCGCCCGATCACAATCTGACCGGCCGAGTCGCCGAGCTGCCTGTTTAGGCCGGCTTCTTGACAGGTGGGGTGGTGGTGGTCCCCCCCTCAAGTAGGTCGGTCGGTGTTCGATATCGCAACTCCGCACGCCTCTTGCCCAGAACAGCTCATTGTTGCGTTTGCCATGGCGTTTGCTCTCGTGCTCTCCTACCGACATCTGGTCGAACTTCACGCTATCGCGGATCATTTTTTTGGTCTAAAACACCAAGCATACTTGCTCCTTATCATATTCGTAAGTCGCATTCCTTCTGTCGGAAGGACTCACGTTTTTGTCCTCCCAAGACCATAGTTATGTATCGCCCTGCCTCTGATTGGCCAAATTCTAGGGCTACTAGTGGTGACCGGTGATCCCTGATTTCTCGTTTTCATCTGAGAACTCGAGCCAGACTAGATCTAATCAGGTCAAGTGGCTTAATATCCTACACATTACTATGACCCGAACAAAGGCATTACACCTGATCAAGTGATTGGGGCTGCGTACCCGGCGTTGATATCGTTTCCTTTACCTGCCAACTCAGATTCTGCACATAACTGCTGTGATGACAGACTGAAGTGAGTCTGTAGGATCATTCGTTCAAACGTAATAATGTATAATGATGATGACAAGTGACAAAAGGATGCTGTACATACCATTCACCTCCGGTAGCTAAATAATCGGTGTCTATGTTCAACGTCCAACCACCAACCATCCACACCCCACTCCCCAGCCAAATGATGAGTCTTTCTGGATGTTAACATGTATCTTTGATATAACAACGGGTGAGCGATAGTCCAAGTTGGTTCATCTGACCATGTCGCTGATCCTCATATGCTTCCGATACCAGCAAGTGAGAGAAGGGTGGCTTCATCGACATGCAGTGTGATGTCGCCACCATCCAATGCTCCCCCATACATGACTTCTCAGGCTCCCGTTCCATTTACCCACGTTACTGCTATACCCTACTCCCGACGGAACATAATAGTACACGTTACCGATCGATTCATGTTAAATGAGTTCGAGCTCTAGAAATCCAGAGAGGCTGTAACTGCCACATTATAAATACCTGTAGTAGGTGTCAAATAGTGTCTTTATTTCGCCCACTAGCGACTCTTCGAACTAACGATGCCCGCTATTGATAACTCCCCCGCCGAGATTTAATCATTTACAAGGTAGGAGCTTATGTCAATGGTAAGAGTTGAACTTGATTATTGTCCAAACATCTGCTAACTAACGGTGTTTGCTTTGGGGTACAGTATCTTTTGTTACGTTAATTGTATATGACTATGGTAGGTTGATGGTAGGACCTACTGTTGAATCCGTGAGCCTGTCATCGTGTTCACGTAATTGGCCGATGCCGAGATAAGATAATAAGACACAAGACATGCCTCGCTCCGCTACGGCCAGAGGCCCCGCTCTCAGATCTCAGCACTCAGGGCATCGGGGATACAATTAGAAAAGTGAATGGTAGCCACTATTTGAGAAAGTCAGACGGCATTGCAAACAGCGAATAAAAAGTCAGAGTACAGTGACAGACAGCAAACAATAATCATGTAATCAAGGTCAGGAATATATGAACTCCGAGTTTTGTGATAAGAGCTCGACCGAGAAACATGCATTCAATGGTTACATAATCGCACGTAGATCTCATAAACCTAGCTATCCCGATTATGAGCACAACGAGAACACGATACGTACTTAAGACTTTGAGCGCAAGAATCCGTGAAAGCGCCCTGCGTGCGGAGCTGGCCGGTGGAGTCCGAGAATATAGGAGGCAGTAAAAGTGAAGTATCGCAATGGACAACATGATCGATCGGGGAAGCTGTCGTGACGAGTGAGGGTAGCAAAGAGGAAGGTATCTAAAATGGAGAGGCCGGCGATGCTGATAACAGCCCGGGCTCAGCGGGGGATGTCTCGGGGACTATGCGAGGCAGCATGTAGTGTTAGCCCAAGGTTGTGTTGCGGGAGCAGCTGTAGACATACATGTAGATGATGACAGAGAGAGAGAGTCGGGGCTACAATTCCCTCGAGCACACCCAGGCGAGCCATAAGCATTCAGCCTGTGCATGGAGGGCGGCAACTGTCGAGGATACGGCCCTGCTGGTAGGTTGTTAGCGCCTGAGGACGTCACGTAGCTGCCGGTGCCCGCCGGCCAGACGGGTGAGGCGTGGGTCAACAGTGCTTGACCTGTGACCTTGCAGTGAAGTTAGTGAATGAAAAGCGAGAGACGTGGACAGCGTACGGTTTTGCGGCAGTGGGATCCATGGTGCAAAACTGGGGAGCAGAGAAGGGGGGAAGAAAGGACGCCAATAGCAGCCAATGGCCAGCGCTAGCCTATTATCATGACGGGAGATTAGACCATAAAGGAGTAGATAGACGCCGAGATAAGGAGGCCAAACATGAACATCGCCAAGCCAGGATAAATATTGAAGATACGGGTAACGAGATGGGTGGATAGACCACCAGACGAGTCACAAGTCCCAGGCCAAGGCTTGGGAAAGCAGAAGCTATTTATTAGAGAATCAGAAGCTAAATACGAGTACAGGAGCTACAGAAGTACTCCTAATGTATTTACTAGTATAAAGGAAGCGAGAAATCATACCTGAGCGCTATCAGCGTATCGCACACCCTTTCTAAGTGTGAATCCCAAAACCTACATCTGTCACTGCGTTGCATATCATGACATGTTCTATTAGTTCTCTGCTTAAGCGAAGAAGTGAGTTATTCAAGTGTAACCCAAATGTTGTAGCCTACACATCTTGACGATACTAGATCGACTTCATTTGGGTAATACTCGACCATTTGCCCTTGTATACACGTGTATACTAACAAGAAGAGATATCTACAGAAACGCAAGCTTTCATGGGTTACATGTTGTTATGCAATTGTAAGTAAACATCGGTTTACTTAGCATGGATGAAGCCAAAAGGCCTAATTGATACATGATAGCACAGCTATATGGGATTGGCATATGCGCTGTAAGCCATATCCATTGAGCCTGCTACCTGTAACCGATCCTAAACTGTTAAGGCTGCAATTGTGTAAGTGGATTGCACTAGCTGGGCTCACTGAATAACCATTTCTAACAGATGGAGGTCTTCCATCGAAGCTGTTCACAGACAGGGTACGTACACAGAGAGATCACTGTTCACCCGGTGCTTAGTAAATTTACGCTTTGACAGATGTGAGCCGCTCTTTGTTTGTGGGATGCCGAATCATTTTGACTGGGCGAATTCATGTCGGCTGTAAAGTTGTGAGTTGGTTGTGAGCTTCTCTTTCTTAAGTATAAGGTATATATTACTTGTATCATTAAACTTATGACCCTTTCTTTGTTTGCCGCTGTTTATATTGCATCGCCTTGAAGCTCCGGCGCCGTCTTGCATAAAAATTCTTTTCATGGCTGGTCGAGCGTCCGTGAGATTCCAACGAGTGAATGTATATGTAGATACAGGAACGAGTACATGCTATGAACAACTGGACACCGAACGCGTGAGGTGGGTGAGGTCGGGGGTGACGCCGAGGGAGATCTTGCGACTACGAAGCGTACCGGCAGCATAAAGGCCAGGCACGTCGAACCGCGGCAGATCCCCCCCGGGCCATCATCCATCTGGGGGTGTGTCGAGCCGGAGCATAGTCCAACCCAGACCACGCAGGCAGGCGAAGCCGCGGACGCTTCGGCTTGCGGACCACCCAGACCCTCGGAAGGCGAGCCTGCACAGGCATCACGCTCGGGGCAGACAAATAGAGGGCGAATGAGCGCGACGTGCCGCATGAGCGGAAGGCAGGCGCTCAGCATGAAGAGGAGCGAGAATATCGAGGGAGCGCCAATATCGGAGGAACGCGTCCGACGACCAGCGGCCCATGGTCTTGACGACGTCCGGTGGAACGCCAGCGAGGAGAAGCTCGGTGGTCCCGCCAATCCGGAAAGCGTGCCCCGAGGAGGAGCTGTACCCATGGGCAGTCCAGATAGCATTGCACCGGAGTAGAAGGCGCCGCTTCGTGAGGCACTTCCACCGGCCTCCGGAACCGACCTTGAAAGAGAACAGAGGCACGGAAGCGGGAGGGGAGTTTAGTAGTAGATGGGCCTCGAGAGCGGCGACAGGGTCGGAGCGATCAGATTGGCGACAGATGTACACATGTTCGCCCCGCGATTTTGACACCTTTGTGAAGGGAAGAAACAGTTTGCGTGAGCGGTTGTTGTTGAGCGGGTCAGATAGGTGTGAGAATAGAGCGGTGTGTCCCACCCGGAATGAGTCTTCCCAGTCGGAAAGAATCTCCCCAAGGCAGCATTGACCGTAAAAAGCGACGGACGCGGCCGAGAGCACGACAGAGTCCGAAGGCGCAAGGGGATCAAGCTGATCGGCCAGGAGAAGCAACATGTCCCTGGTGATGGGAGGGCGAGGCGCGCGACGAGACGAGGTGGGTGTCATGTTTTCGACACCGTGGAGCACGAGGTTGAGGCGAGCGCCCCCGTACCAATGAGCATCATAGTAGATGTGCCAAGCCTTCAAAGCGGCGATGTAGCCACGCACTGTAGAGCCGGCAATGGAGCCGATGCGCGAGGCCGCAAACGCGCAGAGTAGATGTTCTGCAGCAGGTAGACGAGAAGCATCTGGAATGTGCTCTGAGTCACAGAACGAGTGAAAGATGGCGACTCCGGCCGCGTATTTGTTGCGGGTGGAACTGGCCCACACGGTGTCAAGGGCCAGCTGGACTCGCGCGGAGGAAGCAGAGGAAAGGGATAGAGGTGTCATTGCGAGCGAGAAATCACATTGGGCAAATATAAGGAAGCGAGAATGCATTGCAAGGACTAATTAAGGCGCAAGGCACACAAACGGTTTTAGGTACGGAGGAAGAGCGGGTGTGAAACCGAAGCGCTTCTGTGACAGAGGAAAAAGACCACGAGAAACACCGTCCGCAAGATTATCAGCCGATGGAACCCAGACCACCGAAATCCAGATGCCGAACTCTCGCATGTTAGAAATGATGTGCCGAAGAACGCCGTTTTGGGAAGAATTGCGGGAACGCCCCGCGCGAAGCGCTCCCACAACGCCTTGGTTGTCGGAGCGTAGAACGAAATGACAGTCGCGAAAACCGGCAGCAATGACGGTATGGAGACCGAGGTCGATGGCGACCATCTCTGCCCAGCCGATATCGCGGTCGTCCGCCTTCCAGCCGGCCCGTAAAGACCACGAGAGCCAGCGGCCGTCCATCACGAACCCGATGCCAAAGGAGGTTGAAGCGTCAACAAATAGAGTGTGAGCGAGTGGGGGAGGAGGAGCGATGACAGGAGAGCCGCAGAAGTCGGCGGAGAGCTGATCTCGCCACCAAAGTACGTCAGAAAGGAGGGGGGAAGGAAGGCAATGGAGCGTGAAGACGTTGTCATGGAAACCTGAGCGAAAGCGGTAGAAGGAGGGCATGCGCGAGCGGCCATCAGGGAGTGCGAGCGTGCAGTGTTGAAGGCAACCAATTACCTTCTCGCACTCCCGGAGGGAAACCGACGCGCCAGGAAGCCAGGAAGCGATGCGAGCTAGGTACTTGACCTTTTTGACCTCCGGAATGCTGACAGTTTTGCGGAGGAGGTCCCATTCAAAACCGAGGTAAACAAAGAAGAACGAGAAAGGGCGATGTTTGTGCAGCGCCCAAGGCCAGCCGAGCTCGAGGGCAACAGAAAAGATAAGGGATTCGTCATAAGCATAAGCCCAAGGGCCAGAGGAAGAGAATATGATTGGGTACCGCCAGAACGTGTAGTCATCCGACCACTTGAGGAGGTCGTCGACGCCCCGGGTGCGGTAGATGCAGACAATACCATCACCCGGGCGCCCGAAGAGCCCCATGGAACTTGTGCAGCCAAAACAGCCAGTGTGATCAAGGTAGAAACGCGTGACGCCGTCAGCGTTGACGCGGACGCACACATACGGCTGGTCCTCAGGCGCGATGGGTGAACGACGGTGAGCCGCCTCCACATCGTTGACGGAGACCTGGGCACCGGGCGGAGCATTAGCGACAAGCAAGAAGCAGTCGGCGAAAGTACCCCAATCGCACTTGAAGGCGGAACTATCAATGCCGGAATTGATGGATGGGAAATCGGGATTATTGCGAGGGAAGGAATGATCTTGCACGAGCCGAAACTTAGAAGAGCCCGGTTTGGGAATGACGCCAAGAGGGCCAGTGCGAAACGGCCCCACCAGCGCTTCGAGCTGAGGCTGGGTGAAAGGCCCTGAATAGCGGCCGGCGAGGAGTTCAGAATTAACATAATCGAGAATGAAAGGAGAGTGCTCGGACGCAGAGCGGTGGTTGGGAGGAGTGAAAGAGGAAAGGAGAGGAAATGAAACACCGAGACGCCAGCCGTCACGGATACCGAAAGGAACATCAGCGAAGTCTTGGAGGATGCCAGCGTCATCCAACGCGACCGCCCACTTCTCCCAGAGAAAGGGTGTCACGATCTTCAGAACCCCCGACTCAAACGCAGGCCTGAGCCGCCTGAGCCGCTCCGCACTTGGTGCAGCGGTGGAGGAAACAGCAGGGTTGACGAGTGCACCCCGCGGCACCGTTGAATGCGAAACAAACGAGCTCGTTGGAAGAAGTCGACCACTTGCCTGACCGGAGGGCGATGAAACCGGTGTCGGTGACGCCGCAGGTGCGGTTGCGGCAGCCAACGGCGAGGCAGAAAATGCACCGCTGGGAGCCGGAGCCGGCGACCGCTGAGGAGGTGGCAGAAGGCGTGGCAGAGGCAGCAAGCGCGCGTGTAGGGCGCGCCGCTGTGGAGCGAAAGGAGGAGGAGCTGGAGGAGGATGTGGCGACGTGGGCGGGAGTGTCCTCCGAGCGGTCGAGGCTGACGTCGAGGACGATGCGGGTCCAGACTTTGTCCTGCCAGACAGAGGGATCAAAGTCCTCGACACCGGCCGCATGGATGCGGCGGCACTTGATGTCGTAGGCCAGGAAGAGAGGCCAGCGGCCCTTCTTGTACACGTCGGGGTGGAGGCAAATGCCATCGTAATGGGCCTGCCAGATGTCAGCCCAGCGGGCAGCGAACCCAGGCGCCTTGCCCTTCTCTGGCAAGTAGATGCGGACGATACGGATCAGGCGAGGAACGGCCTGCATCCACTCAGGAAGGGTCATGGACTGCTCGCCCGCAGAGCTGCAGGCGGAGGGCACAAGGGTGAGCACGCCGGACGTCGAGAATGCGGCGTGGCGCTCGACGGACTGGGACCACTTGAGGCCCTGAAGGGCGTCGTTGGTCAACATAGTCAGTGGGATATGCTTGGTCCACCCCGCCTTGACCATCTGGATAACCTGCGGGTGGTCGGGCAGGTTGAGACCACTCAGCAGTCGCCCGGCCGTGGGCAGGTCGCGAGCAACAGAGGCCGAGGAGGGAGGCGAGGCCGGTTCGGCACCCACAGGCGCAGGAGCGCCCGGCATGGGGGCGCGGAAACCGCGGGGAAGAGGGAGCGCTGCGAAGGCAGTGTGAATGAACATGAAGGGCCAGGAGGCATGGAGGAACATGGAACAGAGGGAGAATGGAATGGTGGAGGGAATGGGGAAGGAAGGAAGGAATGGGAGGAAGCCCAGAAGGAATGCCACTCACGGATGGCAGGATCGCATGCGTTCGCCAACTCGGAGGTACGCACCGCGTGGTCCGAGATCATCGAGACCAGCTGCTGGCGTGCCGCATCCGAAAGGGAGTCCCAGAAGGAGCTCCCCGGCGCCGAGTCCGAGGCAGGGGAAGGTGCCCGCCCGAAGGAGGGGCCGGCCTGCGGGGAGGGGGGAGTGTCCTCGGGAACGATACAAGTGCCCGAGATGGAAGACGCCGGGACGTCGGCGCGTTCCATCGGGAAGGCAAAGTGCACGCGGGTGCGCGGAGCAGAAGGGGGAGCGGAAGCCCCCGGGGTCGGAGAGGGTGGAGCTGTGGCCTTCTCTTTACCTTTGGCACGCTTCGAGGGAGGCGCCACCGAAGCGGAGTCAGAAGGCATGCGGCGGCGCAAGGAATGCGCCCCCGGGTGGTCGAGGGTACCGAAGCTAGGAGGAGGAGTGTCATCAGGAGGAACCGTCAGAGCATCCTCGTCCATAGCCTCAGGAGCAGGCGAAGAGGCCTCCCCCGTAGCCGCGTGAGTGTTGTCCGCCGCGTCAAGGATCACATCGTCAGTAAGCAGGTCGTCGTCCTGGGAAAGGGCAGGACTAGACCGCCGAGCAGGAAGCTCCTCCGTCGGGGTCGGCGTGGCCGACCTGCGAGAGCCAGCCCGAGCCGAGACAGCCAAGGGAAGACGAGGAGCCATGAAGAAACAACCCGGAAGAGTGAAGGGAGGTGCAAAAAGTGCGAGCTGAGTGAGGACAACAATGAGACGACGCAGCGAGCTAATGGAGAAGGTGGAAAAAGTGCGAGCTGAGTGAGGACGACGATGAGACGACGCAGCGAGCTAATGGAGAAGGTGGTAGTTGCGAATCAAGAGTCAACACCACCAAACTCGCTGCGCGCTCTGGCCAGAAAAGTCGCGCCGCTGGTCACGTGTGTTGACTTTTGCGGCCCTCTCAGTGGCGCTCTCCGTTGCATCTCGCACTGGATTTCCGTCATGACACTTTATCTGAGTTTAGTGTTCCTTCGTGTGGCGTTGTGTGTGATGTCATTGCTGAGCAACCTTGGCTTAAGTCCTGAAAACGGTAATCGCTCGGTAGATTGATACGTATAAAACGAGCCCCAGCATGCAGCATTTCCTCCCCACTGTTCTCTCCCGACCTCTCATAGTGGGATACCTGTTCTGTGCAGCTATGTCTATGCACGCAAGTTTGACGAATGAAACGAATGAATACTTTGTATTTTGTAGCTGTCCCCGAACCTAGATTGCTCTCGTATCCGAGGATTAAATGTTCCGGGTATTTCTGTTGCGTATCTGGTTCACCAAGGTGTTGCTGGGATGGGTAGAGTGCAATGTTGGATCGCTCCCCATGTTCCTATTTCCCCTCCCAGATATTCGGAGATTTCTTGCCATGTCATGTCAATACATAGGCAGTTTTTTAGCTTCAGTATTTCGGTGTTGTTGCTGCCGAGTTGCATGTACTAAACGAGCATCAGTAAGAGTATTCCGGAACTTTCTGGAGATGATTATAATGACGCCAGTTTATAAAACCGTTTATTATTGGAAACTCTCGTTCTTATACATTATAAAGGCTATTATCATTGCTTGGCTATTATATGCATCGCTTGGTCGGTGCCTGGGAATGGGGTAACAATGCATTTTTGATGACCATTATCACGGAAACCGGCAATTGCGAAGCATGATAATGTAAAGGTTACCCCATAATTATCCTCAATAATGATTAGATATGCTCCACAGATAGTTCCGACATAATGAATTACCCTCCAAGACGTCTATACTTCCCATCTCAGACTAATCCCATTCGCTGTACATTATTTAAGCCTTCCGGTGTGGACGGAGAATGTATAGTGCATTGGTCACGTATATAGTAAGCAGTGTATTAACATTGTAGATAACTTCGAGCTATGGAGCTGTCGCTTCATTTGCCGTTTTTGACAGTTACCCTACCAGGAAGTTCCGTAGGACACAGTTACATGAGTCAGTGGCGCTGTGCCCTAGGACCCAAGTGGCTCTCGAGTGTAAACTTTGAGTTTAGCTCTTGATTCCGCCCCCGACTTTCCTTAGTGTATAAGCATGAATTGCCTAATAAGTCAGGACATCCAATACTATTAGTCTGCATTCGTAATTATGACAGGAACAAACCCTCGTGAAAATCCATGCCAATATGTATCGTGTATTATTCCCGTTGTCTTATTTTAACCATTTTACCCGTACCTTAGCCCTTCAAGCTGTATCTGATATCTTCTTTTAGTGCCCTAGCTCCTTCGACAGTTAAATCTAGTAAAGCCTCAGACACTCCATTCGTGTGACAATCATGTCAGCGGTGTCATGGCCCTCCGCCATGTCCTGGTCTCATTTATTGCCGCTCTTAGGTGCTTGAATGCGAGAAGCGACTTGAAAAGGAGAGGTGCGCAAGCGTTGCATATCTCATGTAGCCAGATTATTTACTACTGGAACTGGGGACAAAATATCCGGAGTGGAACGAAGGTGCCGGCCTTGTATAAACTCATTTTAATGGGCCTTCTAGGTTTTATGCTCTGGCAATTTTACAATATAGGGCTGGTAAACGTCCTGAATTTAGTGTCACATGGTAGGGTGTCATATTCACGTCTATAATGATTTCTCTCAAAGGGAGTCCTCTCTTTCCAGTAGTAATGGCGGCTCGTGTTTGTGTGCTCTACAAAGACTCAAGAGTCTTGATCTTTTTCTGTGCTGGTTTTCTTTTGGCGCGCCTCCTTTCCATAGTTAGCATCATTATGGATCACATCGCGCCCTATGGAAACGTCCGTAAGCACGTAAGCCATTCGTGAGAGGTTACAATCTGACTTTTCCTTGCGGTAGCACAAGAGTATATTCTTCTGGGCTTTCCATATTGTGCCTCATCTAGTCCATCGTTATCTCTGAAATGGCTGGACCCTGTCTCATCTGAAGTTTCCATGCTACTTGAGATGCTTTTGTTGATGATGGCGGCACATAGGTGTTTGTCGCATTTACGGGAGCTCAGATTAGGAGGTTCTGCATTCCGATTCAGGAGTATTGCACAGAAGCTTTTTGAGCATGGTTTGCTTTACTTCAGTTGGTGAGCTCTCCGTGAGGTCGCATAGAGTTGGTAAACTCAATTAGGATCAGTTTTGTCATCTGGGATCTACTTGCTCTTCTCAACAGGTATGGTTCAAAAAGAATCGTAAGAGTAGATTCATCATGTGTTCGCCCGACATTACATTTTGACTGAGATCCCTCAACATCCTAGACCTGGCTCCACAGCACAAGTGTCTATTATATCGGGTGGGGATGTATGATGATGATATACTGTATGCTTGGGCCATGGTTTATTATTTCCCTCCGCAAAAATTACACGGACCAGGTGATGGGAGGCACAGAAACAACTTGAACGAGACAGGCACTCAGTACAATTGCTTTCCGAAGAACGACCCAAGCTCAGGGCCACGCTGATCAAGAGGAAGATATAGAACTCGTTGATCGTGAGCAGCATGAAGGATTTGCGGCGTAAGAGGTAAGAGTACCGCACATCACATTCAATCTTGCTTCACTAAGCATTGGTCCCGTCTCAACATGAAGATTTAGAGTGATTAATGGATGGCAAACATATGGTGGTGGACCAAAGTAACGATTCTGATGAGCGTACACGATGCAGTTCACGACCTGGACCCTTGGTTTTTAGTGTTTATTTTCAGCTTTATGTTTTGCTTTCCCTCCTTGGAGAGACCTATGTCTTACCGAATATTTGTTATTTATTCCTACGCATTCCGCATCAAACTCTAGTGTATGGACAAGAATTACCCCTCATCGCGACGTTAAACACTATTGATAGTGGAGTTACAGGATACTAGAACATTAGGGACCATATCGTCAGAAACATAGCGAAAGGCATGGCACCCGATTATTAAACCTACCAGGGAGACCTGTATGGCCCAAAATATTTTCGCATTGGTAGACTGGTGTTCCGCCTGACAGCAGTGTCACGTTAATGTTCTCGAAGGTGAGATCCGGACAGGGCGCAGCGGGGCTGCATGCAATATCGACGACTCTCAAGCCACTCAACCCATGTACAGTACGTGTGGCGGGTGAATCACTCACGCGGGTTCTGTTGGTAGGTCCCTGTGAAGTTCGAGAACGTGAGGTTCCCGAACTGATACTTTGACGGTGCATCACCGCTGCCGCCAGCATCAAGCCTCAGCTCACTACTTAGTGCGTGGTGTCGGTACTCACGGGTATGCCTTACTCGTTTGGTACAGCGCAACGGGTGTAGTGACGTTATCCAGCAAAGCATTGCGGATAACCACATTCTTAACGGAACCTGTAACAGTCAATATCAGACATAATTCATGGGCATTCATTCTTGATGTATCTCAGCCAAACCTGTGCCTCCGCCTCCATAATCAGGCGGTGTTCCGTTGACAGTTCCGCTCCAAGATTTTAGGTAGACCTAAGAGACATACGTCGACTTATCAGCTCTACAGCCACGTTCGAGGTCACAGAGGGAATGTTTACTCACCCCGTACATCATATTGGGCTCGATCTCAGGATTGATTCGCAAAACCTGAAACAAAATCTCAGCATCATAAAGCGGAACAAACGCAAAGAACCTGCATGGAGGTTTTCCATTGTCACGTTCTCCACATAATCTGGCTATGGGATAGCATCAGCTGATATTGCAACGCTCTGCCATAAATCAGCTACAATCAACGTACCAGATCAATGTATTGCCCCAGAGAGCCAAAGGCGAGACCATTGCCGCCGCGGCACGTAACATTGCTAGCCAGCATGTTCGTCGTGTTCTGCACCCGTTATAAGCTGTCGCTTAATTAATGTCGGATGTACCTTAACTTACGCCCTTCACGGCAATACAGTCATCACCGCTAGTAATCTTGAAGTAAGAAAGTACTCGTCGGAACAAACATCTAACAAAAATGGATTTAACTCACATCCCAATTCCGTAGTGTCAGGTTATCGACCCTGTAGGTATCGATCCCTGTTGAGAAAACATTGGACCCACCATATCAGGGTGAAGGGTTGACCAAAGCAAAGCATACAAATTCCTACCATCAGTGTTTGGAACGATGCTTTGAGAATTCGAGTGCATAATTTCAGTAAATCCGCACTCATCCCTTGGAGTAACGAACATGACGAACTTTTGGCCATAAAACTCTGGGTTCGTATTCGTCGCATTGCACAACATACCATCGTACACGATGTCGCTAGACTCCGCAATGCAGTTGCACCAGAACGGCGGCGCCTCGATGCGGAAGTTGGAAATCGTGCCGCGGGCCGCCTGGTAGACCGTGAGCGCGAGCGGCCGTCCGTCGCCGCCGAGTCTTGGGACGGTGGTGTAGTATTCCCACCAAGGCTAGCGAGACACACGGATTGTCAGTCCGGATGAGACACAGGTCTATTGTGGCGATTCTTTTGTGGCGTACCTGTCCGTTTCCGTTTATCCCGCCGGTGTTGTACGCGTCTATCTCGAAGTCTGATCCGGTGACAACGAACCAGGATGCCTGAGACTGGCGTCGGACGAGAGGGAGAAGAGCCCACAATGTCAGCGTTTCATTTATCATATGGCTCCAGCGCACCAATTCACGAAGCCTGAAAATATGGAATGCTCACCTGGATGTAGACAACGCGGTAGGTGCTGCTGTTCTGCAGCCAATACTCGTAGTCCGGCTGGAACTGTAACGTTTACATACAAGAGCCACAATCAGCACCCAGCTGCATTCTAACCGGGTTCATTCAGGCATATGATACTGCTTACGCTCAGGTATCCGTGCAGCTCGACGCGTGAAGACGTGAGGTTCCATAACATTCTCCTGTCCATTAACATCACTTAAGCACCAAGGGAAACGCATACAAGGGAACGGGTGGTTATGTATTACCTTGTGATGTTATACTCGCCCTCCTCAAACACAGTCAACCCTCCATGCCCGCATCTCTCGATGGCGGAAACGACCTTGAAATGGTGGTGCCACTAGTTAGCACAAACCTGCAATTTAAAACGTCGATATGGCGTAACACACTAACCTGATCCGTATCGTCCCGACCCGGGCCCAGAGGACTCAGGGCACAGGTGTTCGCATACCGAGAGGTGGTGGCGGCGAGAGCGGCCACGCTCGGTAACATAATTAATCCAACTAGAAGGTAAAGAAGAGGTCGCATTGGCGTCCACGATGATATATACGACAGCGCGTTTCTGACGCGAAGGGGAATGTCATCACCCTTCCGTTGAGAGCATTTTATCTAGGATGGCGAGAGGTCCATGCGAGAGCTGTAAAGCAGCTGCGAGCGGCCCGGGACCGCTCTGAGCCACGAACGCACAACCACAGAACGCGACCACACCCCTGCCATTGGAGCACGAACGGTCCTATGACTGCCGCATTCTATTCTGGAGCGATGAGAGAAACACAGAACGAAGCGTAAAGTGGGGTGAAAGTGCCCGCGGAGGTCGCATTGGGCTCTGGACGGCCCAGCTGACGACTCGCGCCACATCTTGCGCCACCTCCGCGTTCAATTCGCTCATACGGACCTTCTCGATGCAGTGTGGGCGCGTCGACTGCCGGCCGCCTTCACGACCTGAGGTGATACAGAGAGCACGAAGACAAGATGTGTTATTCGTTCTACGGTGCATTGTGCGGATAACTGTAGCGCAAACAAATTGGGATAACCACATGACGAGTGCTAGAGTGAGGATACAGATATGGACAATGCAGTGAGTGGGTACAGTCAATTGCAACAAACGGACAGACAACAAACATCCACCGGGCGGGACCGCACCCTCATCCTACCCTACCCTATACATACTACACTCGGATCGACATATTCAGGACGCACGCGCGGCATATGCGCTGTACACAGAGTCCACAAATGCACGGTCTGTCTGCGAAATCACCAACGTCAGCCCAAAATAAAATAGAAAAGAGAGAAAAACACGCACATGTATAAGCATCAACACCTCCCTCACAAAATCGTTCCTCCCCAGCCCCCTAAACGAGCGCCCCTCGTGCGCCTCCGCCTCGCGCCCGAGCAGCGACGCCAGCAGCGCGTCCTTTGCTGCTGCCTTGTCCATGCCCCCGTTCCCGTTCCCAGAAGCATTCATCGAATGACTCGGCGGCGACGCGCCAGCGGGCACATCCCAGCTCGCCTCGATCGCCGCGCGCTCTCTCGCCCTGCTCCCGTCCGCCCCCGCACGCTCCTTCCGGCCCTTCTTCCCCTTCCGCCCGCCACCACCACCACCGCCTTCCGACCCGTTCGCACTCGAACTTTCGCCACCATTCATCCTCCCCTGTCCCCGACCAGCTCCAGCACCATTCGCGCCCCCACCCCGATTCTGGTTCTGGCTCTGGTTCTGCTGCAGCACAAACGCACCCGGATCACTCAACGCAGACGTATCCGCAAAATCAAGCTCCACAACCTCTCCACCCTCGTCCTCCGCCGACAACGCACCACCACCACCACCACCACCACCTCCACCTCCCCCGCCGCCACCGTAACGGTCATCCACAGGCGCGCGCGGATACGGCCACAGCGCCGACGGATCCGTAAACGGCACGAGCGTGCGGCTGCGCGCGTTCGCGTTCGGCGCGCTCACGCTCGGCCCCGTCGGAGCCTGCACGGAGCCGGTGCGCACGGGCGGGGGAGAGTTGATGCCGCCGCTGAGGAGGCGGCGCGGAGGGGCGCTCGGGTGGGTGTATGGGTTCGGGGGTTGGTGGGGCTGGAAGTGCTGTTGCTGTTGCTGCTGCTGGCGCTGGTACCCATACGGCCCCGTAACAGTCGCGTCCGAGTTCGAGCTGCTATGCCTATACACCATCGCCTGCGCCTGCGACGCAGCAGCGACACCCAGCCGCTCGTTGATGATCGCCATATCATGATTCATCCCCGTCGATCCTGGGCCACCCGTTCCCGACCCAGATCCCGACAGCGACGCAGACGCAGACCCCGACCCCGAGGCCGAACTCGCGCTCGCAAAGCCCTTGAGCGGCGGCCTCGGCGTCACATCGCCCAGCACCTGCCCGCTCGGCGATCCCATACCGACAGAGCCCATCGAGCTCACAGACCCCGCGAAACTCTGCCCGGGCATCAACCGCGCGCCGTGCGGCTGTCCGAATCCCTGTCCGAATCCCTGCCCCCGCCCCTGTCCATACCCGTGCCCCCGCTGCTGCCCACCACCATACGCAGCATGATACCCATACCCATTCACCGGCTCCACCCCGTCGCTCGACGCATCATCCCCGTCCCCGTCCCCCTCCTCCTCCGATGAGCGCGCATCCGCGCCGGACGACGACGCGCTCGACGGCGTGCGCGGCATGCCGAGCAGACTGTGCAGCACGTCCTGGTTCAGCACCTGCGGGAGCGCGGACGGTTTCGGGCGCGGCGAGAGGATGGGCGGCTGGTGTGCGGACTGGGACTGGCGCTGGACTTGCATCGGGATGGGAATCGGAATCGGGATGGGCTGTTGTTGCTGCTGGTGCTGTTGTTGCTGATGCTGGTGCTGGTGCTGGTGCTGGTGCTGGTGCAAAATGATGCGGTCCGAGGCCTGGCGATGGTGTTGCTGCTGCTGCTGCTGCTGCTGATACTGGTGCTGCGACTGGGCCTGGGCATAGCGCGCCTGCGGCGATTGAGCATGAGTGTGGCGCGCTTGAGGGGACTGGCCGTGCTGGTAGGGCGACAAGGCTTGAGCTAGACTAGCCTGCGGAGGCGGCGTTGCGGATGCGAAGATCGTGTCCAGAAGCGATATACCCCGAGGTTGGGGTTGGGTTTGCACGCTGGGAGCGCCACCGACGTTGGCATTGGCATTGGGCGACTGAAATTGACTCGTAAGCTGTGCGAGCAGATTATTGGGTTGGGTGGGAGGCGGTGGTTGGGCAGCGGGAGGCGGCGGCTGAGCGGGAGTACCGAGCTTGGCGAAGAGCTTGTCAAGTTCTGAGGCGCCTTGTGCGCCGGTCCCGGGTTTCGCGGTCGCCGGCTGGGTGTCCTCGTCGGATTCGGAGATGACGGCGAAGCGCTCGCTGCCGGTGAGAGAAGCGCTCGATGTGGAGCGATGATGCGTCGGGTTGGCTGGTGTCCATGTGCACGTCCAGAATACAAAAAGTCGAAAACGACGACCAAGGGAAAATGTCGGAGATGAGAGATGAAGACGCAGCAGGGGGCATGTCGATTAGCGAAATGAAGGACGCCCACATGGACAGATATGAAAGGGGAGCACACTTACACATATGCATGCCGTTGCGCGAGGGCACCCGCCCAGACGGCTGGGGGCGATCTGGACCGTAGCGGAACTGCTCTGGATAGGGCTCGTGCGAGACGAGATAGGAGTGGACGCGCCAGAGGACCTCGCGGAGGGTAACGGGGTCGTAGGACCAGAGACCGATGACCTGCGATGGGCCCTTGTCGACGCCCTCCATGGATGCGGGGTTGAAGGCAAATGCGGGATGGAACTTGGCGTTGGGGCCTGTGGTCGCTGTGCCTGGTGGGAGGGAGGCGGCTGCGCGGGCGATGCGGGCAGAGGCAAAGGCGGGGAATGAGCGGATGGCGAGGATCTCTTTTGTCATTATTTTGTAGGCGTCTTCGGGGTAGAGGAGCTGGACGTAGTCGTCTGAGCCGACGCGGTTGAGGACGTAGAATCCATAGGGTGGATAGGATTCTCTGGATGGTGAGAGGGGTTGACGATGTGTGTTAGATGGAGGGTGGATGGATGGATGAAGGATGGGGTGTACTTGCCTCTCGAAGAGGAACATGGTGCCTTCGTAGCCCTGTTTCTCCCATTTCTCTCCATCAAAGTGGTAGACACATATATGGTGGAACTGGTCGAAGATGGAGATGATGGATGGGTCGTGTCTGCGAAGGACCTTGAGGTTGTATGCGTATCGATAGGCGGGGGACATTCCGAGGCCCGTCGCGCCATCTGGTGTTGCTGATGGGGCGTAGGATGGTCTGTTGACGTCTGGGGATGGAGAGGTGGGTGCGTTGGGGGACGTTGTGGATGTCGAGCGCGCTCTCCTTGGTGGGCCCATGATGATGTTGTGGTGAGTGAGAGAATAACAAGGTCTACCACTTGGTTACAATTCGCATAGAAACAGTATAATAAAGATACCCGTCTTGAGCATCGCTTTAACTCGGCCCCCGTTACTAGTTTTACTATTATATTATAAGTAGCCCAACCTGGTGTGCTCTCCTCCCCTGCCGACGGCCCCATCCTCACTCGTCCTTTCATACGGACAAGGCTCTCTCTCCTCCTGCCTCCAACTCTGACAACGCGATGGTGTCCTTTCCGCGCATTCCCTTCCTTTCATCACGCCCACGCACAACCAGCCACCCCACCTCCACCTCACCTCCCAATCCCAGTCCTCGCTCAGCCACACCCAACCAGCCCCAGCCTGCCGTCATTCCCCGCTATGCTGCTCCAAACCCCGCCCCAACCGCCCCAATCCCCATACCCGTATCCTACGCCCACAAGCGCCGCGTCTCTGCCCCCACCCGACCTCAGACCGCTCCTATCCCCGCGTACACGGCCGCCTCACGCGCCCCTCGGCCCCTGGCTACCAAGCACGCCTCCGCCGCGCATACTCACGCCACCGCACACGCCGAGCTCGAGCCAGACGACGCGTGGAAACAGCGTCTCCGCAGGGACATCGAGGAGAGCCTGCGCTCCATGGTCGCCGCCGCGAAGCAGCACGTCCAGGCCAAGCTCGACGCGCACCCCAGCGCGCGCAACGCCGAGCGGCGCGACGTCATCGCAAACGAGCACCACGCCGCGATGAAGACCATCCGCACCCTCGCCGAGGAGCAGTACCGCATCGCGCTCGCACGGGAGCGCGCCGAGCGCCAGTGGGCCGCGGGGCAGCCGATCGACGAGGACTGGGCGGACGCGCTTGCGCAGGAGCAGCACGCGATTATGGCGAGGATTGAGCGGGAGCGGAGCGTCTTCGGCTCCGGTTTGGGGCCGAGCTTGAACCACACGTCGTATCAGTCCGCGGGCAGGGCAAGGGCACGGTCGTACTCGCGCGAACCGAGTCGGACGCGAACAGGGAGCAACGCCAGTCAGGCCGTGCCTGTAGCTGGAGGGTCGTATGGGGCGCATTTCCCCACCACGCGGACGAGGACGTCCAGTGCCGCGAGCCGCGTCGATCCCTCAACTTCTGCTAGCTATCGCACCTGGGCGTCAGCACGGCCGCGCACCGCAAGCACCTCAGCAGACAAGCCGACCGTTCACAGACCATGGACGCCCAATATGCCCACCGAACGCTCCGCCTCTGCGCGACCATGGACCCCAGGCATCTCGGCGGGGTCCTACCGCCCATGGACCCCGAACACCCCAGCGCCAGGCGAACAGGCACAGCACAACCGCTCTACACACTATGGCCAACTAGGCTCACAGTCCTTCCAAGCTGCGTCTAGCGCAGGCAGCGCAGGCAGTGCCGTCAGCAAGAGCTCTCACGCCAGCTCCCGCCCCAGCAGCCGCGGTAATCGCAGTGCCAGCGGAAGCAGCAGTAATGACCACTCCCACTCCCATTCCCACTCCCACTCCGGCGGCGCCCCATCCTCGTCCCCGCCCTCGGCCTCATCTTCCCACGCAAGCGCTTCCCCGCTCGAGCCCACTAACGAATGGAAAACCCGCCTGCGCACGTCCATCGAAGCCTCGCTTGCGCCCATGATTGCCACAGCGAAAGCGTCCTTCCAAGCGCAACTTGCATCCACCCTCGCAGGCGCGTTCGCGGAGGAGAAGGAGGCGCTGGTGAGGGACCACAGGGCCGCGGTGCATGCGATTCGCGCGCTCGCGGAGGAGCAGTTCCGCGAGGCGCTGGAGCGCGAGCGCAGTGGGCGACGCGGCGCGGTGGGGGATCCGATCGACGAGAGCGCGCGGGAGGCGCAGAGGGCGGTGGGGGAGCGGATTGCGCGGGAGCGCGGGATGAGCGGGTTGGGGTACACGGGCGCGCCGCACGTGGCGGGCCCGAGCGGGCTCACGCACGAGGAGAAGGGGAGGGTGAGGCAGCGTTCGGCGAGCGCTGCACCCGCAGCATCCTACGGGGCATCTGGGTCCGGCGCACGAGCCGGGTCTTCCCCGTCTGCGTCTGCGACGACACCGGCGGCAGACCGCGTCCGCGCGGACGCCCACCGCCGCCCGCCGTCCCCGTCCCCGCTGCGCACGTCGAACCTGCACGCGCACGCGCGCTCTGCGTCAGTCGCGCCTGTGCGCATGCCGACGGCCACGAGGCCGGCGGGCGCGTTCGAGATCTGGAAGCCGAGCATCACGCGCGAGGAGGACGCGTTGCAGTCGCGACCGTACTCTGTTGCGCGGCGGGCGGCGCGGGTCTAGGTTGCCCATGTCAACGTGGTTGCTGGACAGAGACGTACGGAGTATAGAGTTCGAGGTGGACGTTCCGCCTCGTTGGACGATGTTGCGTGGGGTGGGGTCTCATCCCACCTGCACCGAAAGCACTTTCTCGCCCTCCGTTTTTCACGATTTTCGACCGTTTTGATTTTCGCTTTCATTTTGCTACGTTCGCTACCTGACGACGCCGACGGACGATCACGAAGAAGATACGAAACGACGAATAACGAGAAGAAGAAGAAGAGCATCAACAACATTGTAGAAGAAAACAAGCGACAATATTGAAAAGAAGGAATATCAACACATACTGTAGAAGAAAACCCAAACTAACACTGTATCCGAGTTTCCTGGACTTACGTTTACGATAGCTGACGCTGACGCTGATGAACTCCGTTCCATATATGCATGTATGTTACTTTACCCTGAACCGCACGTAGTACTAGTACCAGTAATGTAATACCAAAGATCGCTTACTCGCGATTTACCATGAATCAGGTCTCGATGTTTTGGATTGTCTTGAATCTTGGTTCTCGGGCATATTGCCATTTCTCTGCACGTTGAAACACCACAATGAAAAACCCTACTCATTGGCGTTGTCCCAATCCTTCATTCCACCGACATCCAGCGCGACCAAGAACCGCGAGCCGCAGTTATACCCCGCAATGATACCTGTCATCTCCACCAGCACCTGTTCCAGCCCGTCACCTTCATCGGTGAACGCGGTTTTGAGCTGAGCCCAGACGGCATCGGAAACGGAGACGTCTCTCGTCATCGCGTCTGTGTATGCGAGCACCGCGAGCACCCTCTCGTCCATCCCCAGCTGTGCGCCTTCAGCGCGCCAGTTCTGCTGGGCGGTTTGGGGTTCTGAGGTGGGGTCTGGGGCGGATGGGGGCGCGAATGCGTGCGGTGGTGCGTGTTGGAGCAGGGCTAGCACACCGCTGGCCTTCTCCTTCTCCTCTGCTTCCGCCTCCGCTCCCGCTCCGAGCCGCGCGGCCCACGCCCGCGCCAGCAGCGCGCGATGCTGCGCCCACATGAACCGCGCGCGGTTCAGCGCCGCGACGCGGCACATGATGAGCTCGCGCAGGTCGTCTCCGACAGCCGCGGTGCACCCCGTGCGCAGCGCGCTGAAGAACGCGTTCCATCCGCGCGTGAGGGCGGGGCTGTAGAGGAGTGCTTGGTCGAGCGCGAGAAGGCTGGCGCTCGGGGTGGTGCTGGTGCTGGCGCCGGTGCTAGCGGAGGTGGGTTTTTGGGACTCGGAGATGCGGCGCGCGACGGCGGATGCGAGGGCGTCGGTGAAGGGCTGGTTGCCCGTGAGGTGGCGGGGAGGGTTTGAGGGGTGGATGGGCGGGATTCTGGTGGATTCGCTTGGTCCTGATCCTGGCCCTGGTCCTGGTCCTAGATCTGGGACGGGGACGCTGGTCATGGTAAGGCTAAGAGATCTGGGCAGGGACAGTGCTGAGTCGGGGAGACGTGCATCTTTTTATACGACGGTGCTGATGAAGAGTCCGTTTCTGCTTGTTCACGAGAACATAAGTTGGGCATGTGCCAGATTTTGACGCCACCAGATTGGTCGCGGACCCAGTCTACTCGCCGGTGCGCAGAGCGTTTAAAGCGTTTAACATAGAGTTCCGGATAGCATTCGGTGAGAAACGGGACATAGTTTGGATTGTTGTGAACACAAGCTAGCTACCAGATACTGTATTCCAGGACATAGCAAGAACCCAGAAAGCAGAGAACAAAATGTTCAAGCGCGACTCGGACGTCTCAGCAGAACCGCATTTGTAGCTCCGCCGGGATATTCCGCAGGGCGCAGCCGAACTTGCGGTAACTTGATTACAACTTCACCTCGAACCTTCTTACGATAGTATCGGTGTAACACCCGACCCCGATCTACGTCAAGTCTACGCAATAGCTTATGAAACTGAGCTTTAACCATCAGTATAAGCAGCTCCTCAGATGGAAAATTAAGTATGTAAGGGCTTTAGACACGCTTATGAGCTGAAATTACAAACCTCCACAGGTCAAGATACGAGCATACAGCTAAGTATGCAATGATATGTTTCTACGTTTGTACTCCTAATTCACCACAGGATAGCCCATGACCTTCTATGTGTCCATGTATCGCTGCATTTGAAGTGCATAATGCATCTACTTATCTACTGAGTCTTCGAGCTCCACTCCTTCATCCCAGCCACATCCACAGCGACCAAGAACCTCGAGACGCAGTTATACCCGGCAATGATACCCGTCATCTCCACCAGAAGCTGGTCAACTCTGTCTCCCTCGTCGGCGAACGCCTTCTTCAGCTGGTCCCAGATCTCCTCGGGAACGGCTACGTCCTTTGTCATGGCATCCGTGTATGCGAGCACAGCGAACGTCATCTCGTCCATTCCTAGCTTCTTCCCCATCTCTCGCCAACGCTGCCGCTCTTTGTTCTCTGACTCGTCTCCATGTTTCGGCGGCCCAAACACATGCGCAGGTGCCACCTCTAGCAGCTCCAGCACTCCATCCGCCATCTTCTCTGCCTCCTGACTCTCGCCGACTATCTTCTCGATCCACGCTTGCCTCAGCAGACCCGCATGCTGGATCCACTCGAACCTGGCCCGATTTAGCACGGCCACGCGACATATCGCGAGCTCCCTCAGGGTTGCTTCCACGGAGAACCCCTCGCGCACGGCGCCGAACATGGCGTTCCATCCCTGCGTGAACGCAGGGCTGTGTAGCAAAGTCTGGTCGAGCGCGAGAAGACCGCCTTTTCCGCTCCGCCGGGCGAGGGTGGCAGCGAGTGCTTCGGTGAAGGGGGCGCTGTCACAGAGATTCGGAGGTGGATGCGCGGGGTGGATGGGTGGGATGCGCGTGGATTCTCCAGGCGTTGTGGCGATCATGGTGGCGCTGGCAGTAGAGTGGGAGTGAAGCGGGCGGGGGAGTGCAGTATTGTTCCACAAGTGAGCTACTCTTTTTTAAGCGTTTTGACGTGCCGCTTATCATCGTAAACGTGTTCGACGTCTTGAAGATTACATGTGAAGATATCTTCGTCTGTCACTTGCGGACCGAGTACCGAGCAGCGAACCGAGCAAGACGTGCATAGGGAGCAGTGCTTGCAAAAATGGCCGATCCTCCAGGGTATTGAGGTGTATGATTCTAATTCCTCGTTTCCATTCAGTATCGTTAATTGTGATCTGGGGTTGCGGTTGATACTCGCGGACAGATAAGATCACCGCGCTTTAAGCTCCACATACGTCTGACATTAAGTTACTAGATACACCAAGCCGCCGCCAATGATAGACGTCTTCTTCAACCTATCAGAAACTGCTGATTTGCGCCTAGGATTGGGTTGCACTATTCTCTGCACACGTCGAACCGATGTCATGTTGTGGCACTAGATCAACGTCTTTGCTTTGCCACCAAATATATTCGTACGAGTGCACTTCGCTGAGATTGAAATCGGTTTGGGACTCCGCCGCCGTTCAGCGCTAGCGCTGGAGCGCTTCAGCACATTCAACATCCCACAACGATCAGAACGCACAACAGGCTCGTCGGCTCTGAACGTTCTTTGCGCGTCGGAAGGTTTTAATCTAGAGTCAACCCTCAAGCTTTCGGCTTAATGTTAACCGAAATACCTCAAGAGCTGCTCATTCTAATAGTCGAGCATACGGACGTATTCACGGCGCTAGCCTTGCGAAGCGTAAGATTCTCTTGTAATATACTTTAGCTGACTGAACACCAACAATACCTTGGTAACAGACCTGCAGAGTGCTCCAAGCAGCCACACGCGATAAGCAGCTATGGATCGCGCTTCTACAAAAGCTGGTTCAGGCGGGTCATGTTCCCCTCTCGCGTTCTCTTGAAAATCTCGAACACTTGACGCCCGAGAAAGTTGAGGCAATCACTTGCCGAGCTGCATCGCTCTGTAACGCTTGGGAAAACCACACCATCAGGGCAAAAACAGTCTGGCGAGCGGATCTCACACGCTCGGTGACATGGCTTAGGCTGGTCGAGTCACGATTCCTCCTAATAGCCTCCTCGGATACCGTATGCAGCAGTCTAGAGCTATATGATTTGGCTTCTTTGGAAACCAGTGGGCTCGTCCCGCTCACAGAATGTTATGTACCGGGGCCCATCTTGAGCGGAGAAGCGGAGATCCAAGATGGCCGACTTTACGTGGCCGTAGCATTGGACACCCGGTATGGTTATCTCTTTGTTGTGTTGGCGCATCCTCACTTTTCTTTGAAGAGTTCCGAAGCTGCAGGTCCTCACCCTTTGTGACGTAGACGATCTACAATCCTTCGGAGAAATTCAGACTTTAACAGGTTATGGTGACATCATGCTACTTCACCGTGATGTCATCGTTTGTGGAACGAAGGATAACGTGGCGATACCCCACATTGTTGATTGGAAAACGGGGCTTAATCATGCAGTCGAGAAGGTGCCGGATTACAGGGTGAGTGAGTCTCCGCTTTGTGAGTGACCAATCCCCGCCAACACACGCGTTCTTGTCAGGGAACCCGGTTCAAAGCATACATCTGGGACAACCTGCTCGTGACCATTGGCACGGTTGACGTAAAGCTTTATTCGCTGCCGTCGCTACAATCACCACCTTGCGTCGTTCATACGTTCCCTCTCGCTACGGAGATGTGCGGCGATGTAGAGGAAGTCTCGTTCTTCAAGAGTTCGCAGCCCATCAATATCACCTTTCCCTTTACCGGTTGGGTTTCAACATCGACCGAACTTTCCTGGATCAAAAGTTTTAGTTCACCCGAGGATTACCCAGGGGATTGCGAACAAGGGAGCGTTTGGAGATGTAGCCTGCTGCGCAGCCTGGACCCAAACGCAAGCGAGCTCTATTCCATCTCCGATCCCGAGAGGCTCACCAGTCCATCTGGTGCAACTTCTGTGACTAGTGGAACAATCGGTGGACAGGCACTTTGGGTAGACCAGCCTTATCACTTTGGATTGTCTCTTTATAGCGCCTTAAGAACGCCGCCCACCGAGTCGGTGGTAGTCCAGCCACCCCACGATTTGCCTAGTCTAGCTGCGTTTCCGCAACTTGCTTTTGATGACGCCTCTGGTATCATCGCAGTCGGTAATTTAGCTGGAGAAGTTGCCATCGTAGACCTTGTTGGCGCCCCATTCACTTCTCTATCTGCAGGCGATCCCTTGCCGTTGACTCCAGTCGGTGATATTGACAAGCTGACTCCAACTGTACGTTGCTGCTTAGTTTCCGTATGTCATTTTCTGCTGACCTCGACGCAGACGATCATACCGCTGGACGTTATTACCTCGTTGCTGAATCGCCCCACTGACATGAATTCGCTTGACTATGAACAACACTTACTTGCAGACCGCATTCGTAACCTCGACAGCTCCGAAATTCAGACTCTACCCGAACTCTGGAGAGACCGCAAACGGCTACGCATCCGGAGTCACGAATGTGAAAACATTCCGTTCTTGGGCGACCTCGCCTTCGAGCTTTCTCATTCATTCGAGTTTCTTGGTCGCGTGCAGCTGATAATAAGCGACAATATGAGTCATACACTACTTTCCAAAGGTGGACTCTACTTCGTCTACACAGGAGCATGGGGAGAGGAATTCATCGTCTTCCGTGGCGGGACCACTCTGGAGGACATCTTGAACTGCATTTTCACTTTCCCCGAGGCTGGCCTAAAGTTCCCAGGCTTGGACTATAAGCCGGTCGTACTTCGGTCTTTTTCCAGCTTCGCGAAGGAGCAAAGCATGAAGGTAGCCACTCGGAATGAACGTCGGGACTTGGGGAAGAATCGATTTCATGAGATGCGAGCTCGGGGAGGGTCTCCATCAACGTGGCTCACAAACGGCATGTGGTGAGTGAGTATAATGTTACCCCAAGGGTCGGGGCTAACCTACGTCAAGGCTCGCGTTGGGCTCAGAGCAGCCGATGTATGAAGGAGCCCTTCCTCGCTGGGAGACCTTGTATCACGCTGTGCCGGAATTTACCACACAGCGTCTGGGCACTTCCACGAGAAATGATGACACACACGCTTAAACAGAAGATTAAAAGGCTTCATGCATAATATTTCATACGTAGCAAAGGAGAACCAAAATGCATTGACATGTGGCCCCTGGTACTGAATGCCTGATCAGCTGGGTGCCTGTCAGGCAATAACAGATATCCCCATAACTTGAACCTTCTGAGAAACTGTAAGTGCCCAAGGGAGAACGGAGAACAGGTGAAACATTCTGTAATTTAACCCAACGTTTCATAGCAGCGGTATAACAATACATATCCTCATTCGAGATTGCCTTAAAGCAGAAGATATCCTCGAAACCAGATCTAGATGCGCGTCGTGCAGTGTATAGTTCTATCACGGCCTGCAACACGGTACAGTTGTATAAATCCCTCCAAAAAAACTGCCAGACAAACCCTTACAGCCGGAGCATCGGCAATCTGATCCAAGTCGAGGGCCGAGGCCTATACTCAACCTATGATTTACTCATCGTTGACGCTGAGTTTCTATCTTAGGCCCGATACAAAATACATCTAAGATACTATGCCCGCAACCACCATTTTAGATAGTCACCAAACGGTCACATCGCTGAAGTCAATGTGAGTAAAGGTGCAGATGCCCCTCAACCATCTCTGACTTACGCGGCACTAAAACCTGTATGCAGTGAACTGATACTAGATAATAACAACAAGGGTGATATACCATCGAGGTATCAGTTTAGGAACCTGACGTTCTCAAACCTCACATGGACCTACCAACAGAACCAATGTGAGTGGCTTGGTCGTCCCGCCACACGTATATACACGGGTTGAATAGCATGAAGATCGTCGATATCGCATGCAGCCCCTCTGCGCCCTGTCCGGATCTCACCTTCCAGAACATCAACGTGACACTGCTTTCAGGCGGAACACCGGTTTACCAGTGTGAAAATGTTTTGGGTCAGACGGGTCTCCCTGGTAGGTTGCAAAGCCGGGTGTCGTGCCTTTCGCTATGCTTCTGATAAGATGACCTCATTATGCTCTAGTAATTCCATCATTAGTAGCGTTTAACGTCACGAAGAGCCATTCTTGTCCATATACTACATTCTAATGCGGAAGGCGTTTGACACACAATAGCGTGAAGTTCAACCGAATATTGGTGTTCTTGTAAGAGAGTACGAGAGCAAACGCCGCAACAATATTAATGAGCTTTCAATTGTTTTGAAACTCCGCTGGTTAGCGAGAGCTGTTCACGTTCAACGTTCAATATTCAATATCTCACGACAATCAAAACGCATGCGGCATAGCGGCAGCCTCCTGTCAAATCTGAACCACCCCTTGCTCTGGACATTCTCTGCGCTGTGTCGATTCTATCATATTCTCTCAATCTCCCGATAACCAGAGAACCCAACCCTTCAATCACTTGACGGAATGTTGACCGAGATACCTCAAGAGCTGCTCATTTTGATAGTCGAGCACACGGGCATATTCACGGCGCTGGCCTTGCGAAACGTAAGATTCTCTTATAAAACGCTTTAGCTGACTGAGTCTCTCATTACTGTGGAAACAGACCTGCAGAGTGCTCCAAGCAGCCACACGCGATAAGCAGCTATGGATCGCGCTTCTACAAAAGCTGTTCAGGCGGGTCATGTTCCCCTCCCGCGTTCTCTTGAAAATCTCGAACAATTGACATCCGAGAAAGTTGAAGCGATTACTTGTCGAGCAGCATCGCTCTGTGACACATGGGAAAACCATGCCGTCGGGACGAAATCTGTCTGGAGATTAGATCTCCCCCGCTCTGTAACATGGCTGAGGCTAGTCGAGGCGCGATGGCTCCTTGTGGCCTCATCAGACACCGTATGCAGCAGCCTAGATCTGTATGACTTGGCAGCTCTCGAAAACAATGGTCTGGTCCCGCTCATAGGATGCTACCTACCGGGGCCTATCTTGAGCGGAGAGGCGGAAATCCAGGACGGCCGGTTGTACGTGATTGCAGCATTAGACACTCGGTACAGTTCTCCCTTTATCGCATCTAACGCATGCTCATATTTGTGTCAGGGTACCAATCCTTCGAGTTCTCGCCCTCTGCAAAGTGGATGGGGGACAAATTTTCAGTGAAGTTAGGAGCTTGGTAGGGTATAGTGACATCATGCTCCTTCACAACGATTTCGTTGTTTGTGGAACAAAGGATAATATGGCTATTCCTCATATTGTCTACTGGAAAACGGGGGCTTTCTACGCGGTTGAGGATGTACTAGATGAAAAGGTGAGCGTGGATTTTCCGCAGCTAACCCTCATTAAAACGCGTTCGCTTCAGGGAACCCGGTTCAAGGCTTGCATCTGGGATAGCCTCATCGTGACCGTTGGCGCAGTCAATATCAAAATTTATTCGCTTCCTTCACCACAGGCCCCCTCTTGCAAGATCCAGACATTATCTCTGTCTACTTTCATGTGCAGTGAAGTGGAGGAAGTCTCGTTCTTCAAGGGTGCACATACCGTAAATCCCCCGTCCCTTTGTTCCGATAGGATGGTTACACCATCCGAGCTTTCCTGGATCAAGCCCTTTTATCCTACAGATGATTACCCGAGGGAACCCAAAGACGGCGGTATTTGGAAGTGCACGTTGCGGCACAGCTTGAACCCAGACGCGAGCGAGCTCTATTCCATCTCAGACCCCGACAGAGTTTCTAGCTCACTCGCCATGTCCTTGACCACTGGATCATCCGGATGCCATGTGCTTTGGGTAGATGATCCATATCGCTCTAAAATCTCTCTTTGTAAACACGCTCAGGCGCCATATATTGAGCAGGCAGAGTCCGACCATCTGATGATTTGCCTAGCCTGGCTGCACTCCCGCAGCTTGCCTTCGATTACACGTTGGGTATTATTGCCGTTGGTAACCTGGCTGGAGAAATTGCCGTCATCGACCTTGTCGGCTCCCCACTCGCATCTCTTTTTGAATGTGACCCCATGCCGCTGAGTCCGCTAAGCGGAGTTCAGAGACTGGCTTCAACGGTACGTTGCTTAAAACCCCGCTTGGACGTTGCATGCTAAGTCGACCACAGATGTACATACCACTTGACGTCATTCCCTCAATATGGAACCGCCCCACTGGTATGAATGCCTTTGACTACGAACAGCGTTTACTCCCGGCACGCATCCTCGATCTCTCCAGTTCCCAGATTCCCGCATTGCCCGAACATTGGAGAGACCGCGAATCCCTTCGCTTCCGGAGCCACCTTTGTGAAGATACCCCGTTCAAGGACGACCTCGCCTTCAAGCTTCCGCATTCCTACGAGTTTCTCGGGCGAGTGCAGCTGATTCTTGACGGTGTCATGAGCCACACACTTTTGTCCAAAGGCGGTCTCTATTTCATATACACCGGTCCAGGGGAAGAGGAGTTCATCGTGTTTCGTGGAGGGACTACCTTGAGCGACATCTTGAACTGCATTCGAGATTTCCCTGAAGCTGGTCTTAGGTTTCCGTGGCTGCATCATGAGACGACCGTATTTCTCTCTGTTGCCGCTGAAGAAAAGGGCGGCTGTATGCAGGTGGCCACCAGGGCTGAGCGTTCTAAGTTGGAGAAGAATCGATTCCACGACATGCGAGCCAGGGGAGGACATCCACCGATGTGGCTCACAAATGGCAAGTGGTGAGCGAGATCTCTATACCCATAGTTGCTGGGGCTGATATATTACAAGGCTGGTGGCATCGGGCTTGGAGAAGCCTATGCATTACGAAGAACATATGACGTGGGAAACCTTGTACCACGCCGTGCCGAAATGCGAGACGCCGTGTTCATGCCCTTCACAGGCAAGAGACGAGCCCCGCATTCCAATAGAGTTACCGAACGCTTCATGTGCATAGTATCTCATCTTACGAAAGGCAGATATTGAGAATGGAATCGCATCGACTTGACCTCTCATAACGACCTCGATCAATGCAAATGGTTCAGACCGAAACGAGTAGCTCAGTACTTCTCGAGAAGCTAAGTGGTCAAAAGGGCTCGTGAGATACGAATACATTATCCCGGAAAGTAGGTACCGAGCGTTACTTATAACAGTGGTACAGTATATTGTTGCACGAGATTGCTACAGTATGTAGCAGTGTGAAAGAAAGAAAAGGTAGAGCGCAGCCCATGACATTATCAATTGCAAAACGATGCACAACAGAAAGCAGAAACGACTAGAAAACAAGTGCAAGTGCAACAGAGCTAGAAGACGGTGGTATGAGAGTAGAGAGAGCGAGAGCATATAGAGACTGATTATATACTAAGTGTAGTTGCATAATTGACGTGCGTGATAGGTTATCGGCAAAGAACATAAACATACGAGAGCGGTGTCCGATGAGTGGAAGCATGGATGGATGGAGACAGCGTCGCGATGCAGATGCGAGAAACATGAGTGACGGATGCCGGGAGAGGGACCAGGATAAGGCAGAAGGCTACAACAAGAGAATTCGAAGACCAAAAAGAAAGAAACCACAAACGTAAACCGATAGAGAGCAAATAAAGTATGTCATGTCCAAAGCGATCAAAACAGTCTAGCCGAGCCCGAGTTCTGCGCCATACGAGGCCAGCCCTCCGTTGGCGTTGGACCTTTAGTGGGCGCTGGCAGTCCTTTTTTCTTGCCCATCCCTCCAAACGCGAAGGGAGGAACGGTGGCGAAGTCGCCGCCCATCGAGGCGGCCACAGTTGTCGCTGACGGTCTCGAGGGCATCCCTGGCGGACCTCCAAAGCCATATCCGAAACCGAAGCTGTTGGGCGTTGAAGGGACGGACGCGTATGAGGATGACGGGCCTGTGATCCCGGTGAAGGGCGGACGCCCGCCGAAGGTGGCGGGTGCGTCGTCGTCGTGCATCATGTGCCCGAACACCTCGCTTACGAAGTGGTTCCGGAGAGTGACGTCGTCTTCGCTCGCGTCGCTGTACATCGACTCCCGGCTGTTGCTCGGCTTCCAGAATGCGTGTTGAGGAGCGGGAGCAGACTCGGGCTCATCCTCGGACATCTCGGTTTCGAGGGCGGACCGCGGGGGAGAGGGATCGCGGGAGAGAGGAGGTGCATAAATGGGAGAGAACGATGAGGGGGCAGGTTGATTCGTGCCGCCGTTGAGGATGTTGCGCCAGTACGGTTGGTCAGCGTTGGCTCTTGCGAGTGCGGCGCTGTCTTCAGCAGTGATGGTTGCGGTATCATCATCGTCGGCCATGTCGAACATTGCCCCTGGCATGTGAGAGGAGGAGAAGGGATGGAATAGATCCGGAGGAGGACGGAGGACCTCGCGCTCCGTCTCCTCATCAATGTCGACAACACTGGCCTTTTTAGATTTCTTGGAACCCTTGTTCGTGGTCTTGCCCTTAGAGGTAGTGGATTCTCGGGAAGGTGCATGAGAAAGCGTTGGCTTTGGTGGTACAGGAGGAGCTAGCTCAGTCGTCGTAGCAGAAAGCTGGCCTTTCTTCCCCTTCTTCCCCTTCGCCGATACAGGGGGAGGTGGCGGTGCTGGCTCCAGCTCGCGGATCGGCTCCGGCTCGGAGGAAAGCGCATGAGCTGGCGTAGGAGCCGAGCTTTTCTTGGACTGGTCCCAGAGCCCCCACTTGCTCGTCATCTGCGGTAGCCCCCAGCCTGAAGAAGCTTGTGGCTGGTTTGTGGATGCTGACGTCACGTTAGATGAATTGAAGAAGGACTGAGAAGCCGAGGTAGCAGGGGGAGTATCAGCCTCGGTGCCCGACGAATCGTCCGCGACACTGGCATTCTTCATCAGCTCAGCGAGGTCAAGTTCCGCGTCAAAGCCCCATGCTGGCTCCTCCTGCACGGAAGCTTTCTCCTTGCCTTTGCCCTTCGCCGAAGCGGAAAATGGCCCCTCCTCGCCCGTGAGACCCCAGCCGGCCTTCGTGGGCTTGCCCGTGGCTCCAGCGCCAGTGAGTTGTGAGCCAGGTGCTTTCGTTTGCGTAGCGGACGCGAAAGGGGCAGGAGACTGCGCGAACGAGTTACCGGGCAGGGGAGCAGGATTAGTAACATCCTCGTTGGAACCAGACCAGATCATCCTCGTCCAGCCGGCTTTAGACGAACTAGCAGCTGGAACGGAGGATGTTTCCTCGCGAGCAGGTGGTGCTGGCTTCGAGGGACCGGGAGAAGGGTTAGCGCTAAGGCTCTTTTTGATTCCCCAAGCACTCTTGGGCAGAGGCTGCGCTGAGTGCGGCTGCGAGCTGTTTGATTTTTTGAGAGCGCTAGGTGGATCGGTGCTCCCTGATGACGGACCCGTGGCAGATCTTTGACCTAGAAGGATTTCCATCGAACTCGCGGCGCCGACGTTCAGCCTTGTGTCGTCCATCTTTTGCTCCTTGCTCTTCGTTGCTGACCAGTCATCTTCGTCATCCGAAGCTGCCTCAACCGTCACCGCCCGTGGCCTCTCCATCTTCGTCTTCGACGCAGACGAAGACGCATGCTCGATCTGCTTCGGAACCGGGGGCCCCTCAATGGCGAGCTGGCTAAGCGCTTTGAGCCTCCGCTGCCGCTCCTCCTCGCACATCTGTTTGCGCTTCGCGTCCAGCGTCTGCCGGAGATCGACCATCTGCTTCTCGTGCTCTTGCACTACCGTATTGACGCGTTCCTTGGGCAGACTTTGCGACTCGAAGCGCTCAACGAGGACAACCTCGAGATCGGCAGCCTCCTTGTGGAACTCGTGGATGAGCCGAATGCGGACGTCGAGCTTAAATCGCCGAAACTCGGCATCCTGTGCGTGTCGCGTCTCCTTGTCAATCTCAGACTTGAGCCGTCGAAGCTCAGCATCTGGCATCGGGGGAGTGTCGTCTTCGGTGTCGAAGAGTACGGGACCGATGTAACGTTTGCCGGGAGTAGCTAGTCTGGAAGAGGAGTCGCCGGGAGGAGAAGAGTGGGGAGACGACTTCTTGGCATCTGCGGAAGGGGAGTGGTACAAGGCTACCGTGGAGTTGGCCGAGGTCTGGCGAGAGACGCGTTCGGGCGCGAGCAGCTGGCTCTGTGGTATTTCCGGGGTATACTTCGTCAAGGCGGCCTCACTCGCCCACAAGGTGAACGCGGGTGCAGGAAAGCCGGAGCTCGAGGTGTTTTGAGAGCGGGACGCGGTGGAAAAGGGGTTCGGAGGAGGTATGGTATCCTGGGAGAGACAAAAGCAAACGAAGGAGCGTGTTCCTGGTCAGTCGGCGTCGAAGGTATACATACGTCACAGCGTCACACTCACGGATAAGGGGTCCACGCGGGCGTGGGGGAGACCTGGACCGTGCTCGGTCTGGAGGAAAGCGGGGTCGATGACTTGGTAGGCGCCATTTGGTGGAGTGGTGGAGGAAGGTGTGGGGCGAGTCTCTTTCGGAGGCTGAGCTAGGGGTGCAAGGTCGTCCTCCTCGTCACCGCCAGCGGGTTCACCGTCACTGGCGTCGCCGTTGTCATCCTCCGGGTCGTTGAAGAGCCCGTAGAACACATCAAGGACTTCCTCCTGCTCTGCGCTAGTCATGGCCCACTCCTCCTCCCGAAGACGCGCACGCTGTAGGCGTTGCTCCCACTGCTCGCGAGCGGGCTCCGCCAGCACCTTCTTGATGCCTACGACTCGCTGACGCCTCTCTGTCTCGCGTGCCTTCTTCTGTGCGATACTTTTCTTGTTCTTGTACTTGACATCCAACTCGCTTTGCAGCGCGTTTTCGAGTTTCGTTTTCTCTGGAGAGTACCACGTCGTGACGAAAGTTCTCCACTCCTTCTTAACCTTTTCAGAGGGTGTCTGCAGGGCTACCCGCGAGGGGCCAGCGCGTTGGGTGTTGAACATGTATGCGTGCTCGAGGTGGTTGGTGTTTGAGAATAGCGGGAATAGGTTGGTGGAAAGAGGACGCGACGGTGTAGATATTGGTGGAGGGACGGGAGACGGATCTGAACTTTTGAAAGGATACGAACTATCCAAAAGGATTATGATTAGAGGAGGGTCCCGTGCATCGGCAGGTCGCGTGGACGTACTGGGCTCAGAGACTCAGTTGCGGAAGGACGCAAAGAAAGGAAATAAAGCTAAGTTTCCCAAACGGTCGCTATCAGTTGTAAGATCGGTGTCTTGATGTGAATCAAGTTCGTACCAGGGAGATGAACTTAAGGCAAATGTTGTCTTCTCGCGGCCAGCATCGTCGGCGTGGGGATGGTTCAGAGCGTCACTAAGATGAGAGACATCTTAAAGAGCAAAAATGGTCGGCTTCGCGGGTCGGCGGGTCTAAGCGAGCGGTGTTAAGGAGAAAGAAAAGCGCTTTTCAAGCTCGCGCAACGTTTTGCTCAACAAAAACCACAGCCCGCCCACACCGGGTTTCGTCTCCTTGTTGTCTCCCTGACGAGGAAGCCACCCATATCAGACAACCGGATCTGACACACGCGCCTCGAGGCAAACGCAAGGCGCGTATGATGCCCCCCTGAACACCGGCGCGCTCTGCCTGAGAAGCTGGACATTTCCAGTGAATCCAGTCCATTCCGGGAACATTCTGGGCTGCCTCTCATCTTGGATCCGTTGCGCTTCTCTCCAACGCCTAGCTCCGCACCAACTCGTACCAACTTATCATAGAAAGCTTCTAAGCCCATCTTGGTGTTTGCAGTACATATCGCGACCAATTAACAAACCACAGCAAGAGCACCGACATACTGTACGGTCAACGTGCGCAGGCTAGCATCAGGAACGACAACAATGGACAATCGATTGGCGCGCCATCGTCAGAGCAAACTTAGCAAAGTCGGCATGTGGACCGACCGCCTGAAGGCCTTTCCGGCGAGATGAAGCCTAAAATTGTCCACGTAGCGATGACGTTCCGCTATGGACATGATTCGACGGGGCATAGGGCTTGCTCGAAGCGGTGGCTCACCGCCTCTCACCGCCCAACAATAAGATCACAATCATTGGACGATACTTGGTTTGTATAAGACTCAATTGCGATGTACGGGCCTTTGCTCTCTGCGAGGCCGTTGGCTTTGGGAAGAGGCCCCACCGTTGAAGGATCTGAGGATGAGGATGAATATACGGGCAAATACTATCGGACGTGATGGCTCCACCAGCACCCACAAGCCATACTTATGGACCTAGCGTCATCACAGCGAAAGCTCCGAGCGGCCGATCGTGTTCATCTCCGCAGCTCAAGTATTGTCAATCCACGTTCTTGACATGCCAAGTCTGCCCACGCGAGCACAGCGACATTTCACGTTGAGACCGCATCGAAGATGGTGGTAAAGATCCGATGCAAGATACACCTCCTGGGCTTCGTCATTAGCCTGCGGCGCATGGCTACGCCCTGATTAGCCCTGATTGGGCCGCGTCATAAGGCCTTACGGTGATGAGCCTATACTCATACCCATCGGATATGTCCTCGGGCTCCCAACAACCCAAATGCGAGTGAACGATGCCGATGCTTAGTTTGAACACAGCGCCCATTGACTTTGCGACAGCTGCGTAAGGCTTCAAGTTAACCAGATAACACATAGTGTCTGGCAATGCAAGATCAGCCCCACCAGCAAGAGTCAGCGCCTTGCGCACCACTCACATGTGTGTCTAACACATTCTCAAGAAGCTACCTTGCGATGATCAACTCCACAGCAGTGCCTGAGGTTTATGTCTTGTTCCAGAAACGGCTACAGCCTGAACTCATCCTGATACTGGTGGAGACGGAGTGGACAGCCGAGGATGCATAGCGGTTGATGTTCAAGGACAACACAAGGTGATGTCGAGAGAGGAAACTGCCCAGAGTAGGTATCTCACAGCACAAAGGGCTTATAGGGTACAAAGACCACATTATTCACTTGTAGGCCTTCTCTTGCCATCGTCGGGTTCCGAGCCTCGAAGTATGAGTCATGTTGGACCATGAAACACCCATGCATGTGTTTTGGAGTCATGGCGGCACATCTATTACGCCGCAGCTTTGGTCAGAATATCTAGGAATATCTGTCCCTCAGCTGTCCTTGCGAGAGGGTTGCTTCGGAGAATCGTAAGCACGATGCGCACCAATTCATTGCAATGGCCCCCAGGGGCCTCTTTCTTGGGTTGCCTCGTGCCGTCGCGATAGAACTGTGGCATGGGAACTGAGGCCTTATTTACGGCGGGACGCAAAGATACCGGGTCCAGTTCTGGCACGCGAGGAGAACCATCCAACTTTGCACCGCCTGCCTGTGCTGCCGCCAGTGGAGACCACGACTGACCCAGCCATCTTGCCCGCAGTCCTTCAGGCATCTTCGGGCTCACCTTGACTGTTGCTCGCTGAGGTGAGTCCGTATCAGTGGTCAATCCGAAACCACCGCAAATCGCGGGTCGCGTGGAAGACGGAAGCAAAATAGCGAACGCGCACTCCTTCCGGATTGCGATCTGCAGACAAGCTTGTCCGAAACCGTTCCATCGCCATCACCGCATGTGCCCCAGGGGTCTGCTGCGTGACGGCTAATTTGGTTTTTGTTCTTCTACTACCATCTCTTCTTCCCTCCCCCGCGCGCGCGTGCAGGACGTGCCCGCGTCCCCGACTTACCCCAGGCCGCCCTATGCAGCCGCTGCACCACAAGGCTGCGTAAGTACAAGGATATTGGATTTCGCATTCTCATAAGAGCCGCGTGCTGACCATGAGGCATTGTATCATAGAGCCCCGTCGCTCACGTTACTTGCCCACGTTCGCCGTATCTTCTGGCGGCGCGATCGTAGCGCTTCTGGACCATCCGGTACCTTCCCCCTCCGTCCAACTTCGTCTCGTTGCCCTCGTTCACCGTACGGTGTGGAAGCCCACTCGCGTCCGTCACGCTGCGAATCGTACCCACGCGTCTACGCATTTTCGTCCCGATCCCTGTGATTCCGCCGCACTCCGGACGCCCCCTGATTCATGCTGGCGCAGCATCCCACAGAGCCAGATGGAGCATGGAAGGAGAAGTTGAGGCGAGAGATTGAGAAGAACCTGGGCTCCATGGTGGAGGCGGCAAAGCAGAACCGTCAGGCAAAGCTTTCAGCAGGGCAAGTCAGCCCAGATCAGCGTGGTTCTCTCGATCGCGAGTACAAGGCGACCATGGAGACTATCCGTAGGCTCGCTGAAGGGCAATTTCGAGACGCCGTGGAGAGAGAGCGCGTGGAGCGCAAATGGGCCTCGGGCGACGCAATCGACGGGAACTGGAGCGATGCATTGGTGAAAGAGCAGCAAGCAATACTGGACAACATAGAGAAAGAGAAGACACAGAGTGGTGGCGGCGTTCAGCGATCGATATCAGGCCAGTCAACCCAGACCAACCGAAGCACACCTGATTCGGCAACAGGGCTCACTTCGTCTTTTGCCAGCCAGATTAAGGCCGTCGGCATTACGGGGTCGCCCACTGCCTCGACATCCCAGCCGAGTTCAACAGCTCGCATCTGGACGCCAAAGGAGTCTCCCGGTACGGAATTTGGAAGCTACTTCCCGCGATCACCGATTGCTCAGGAACCGGAAGAATCGAAGACCAACATACGCAGCGGGAAGAAACGTGCTGGCTCCCTCACCAGCATCGTGAGCTCGAGTCGTCCACCATCCATTCCTGAACAACCAGAACTCGGTACGCGTTCTCGCCCCCCTCCCAACAACATTACCGGTGAATCGAGCTATCCTCCTCGTTCGTCTCTCGAGTCGCCTGCTAGCGTACGCGGCAATAGCATGCGCCGCATGGTGGGCGGGAATGTCCGCCCCAACCTCCCCGCGTTCTGGACGCCGACGATTACACCTGAGGAGGACGCTGCCCAGTCGAAGGCGTACGTCATAGCAGGGAGTAGCAGCAACGAGAGCGCTTCATCTTCTGTCCGCCCTCCACCAGCTCTACGCCCGCCAAGTCGCAGCACAGATCCACCAGCGCCAGGTACGACAAACACCCATGCAGAACGAGGGCGAGAGCGAGGAAGCAGGCAATCATCAGACACCTTTGGCGAACCATCGTCGCATAGCGATCGCTACGCTTCGAGGGACTATGCTACTGCCACGCCTAGCCCGACGTCTGCAGTGTCTTCTGTGTACACACACACGGCCGACGGGTCTCGCGCTTTCCCTCCCCCGTCGGCGAGTCGGCCTATTGTTAAGAGGAAGACATCGGCTGCTGCTGATGGACGTGTGCAATCAAGCCCTAATTCCAACAACTGGATCCATTCGGGGCGTTACGAGGCCTCCAGTTCGCCGAGTACGTTCGACAGCGGTCCTCGTAGTTGGCACTCGTCAGGCCTTCCTGAGCAAATATCGAGGCCTGACCTGAGGCAGGCTGGTACCAAGTCCCGTCAAGATCGTCGCGCCGTTAAACATAGCGACGATTCGGACGAGGACCCGGATGAAGGCTCGAAGGTCTGGCGTAGTCGACGATACGGTGATAGACCACTCCCGAACGGGTATGCACCGCCCTTGCAGCGGCGACCCGAGGGGTCTATCAGGGACTCCAGGACGCTAGACGAAGAGGATCACGTGAAGCGGGAGGCGGAATGGAAGAACCGGGACGATGAAGAGCGCATCAGGCACGAGGAAAAGTGGAAGAAGCAGGACGAGGAGGATCGCCTGAGGCGCGAAGAGGAACGAAATCGGCTGGACAGAGAAGAGCTGGCGAGACGTAGAGAAGACAGAAGGAAATGGGACGAAGCGGAGGCAGCGAGACGAGAGAAAGAGAGCAGGCGCTGGGATGCAGAGATCGGTCAGCGAGATACGGAGAGGACTAAGCGCGAGGGGGAGTTGCAGAAGTATGAAGAGGAGAGGAAAGCGTTCGAGGAAGAGCGGCATGGCATGGCAGAAGAGCGCCAGAGGGTTGAGGAAGAAGATCGACGTAGGCGGGAAGAGCGGAAGAAGTTTCAGGATGAGGAGAAGTTGAGGAAGCAAGAAGTAAAGAAGCACGAGGAGGAACGAGATAAGTATGAGGCGGAGAAACGCCGTCATGATGAGGAGGACCAGCGACAGCGTGAGGACGGCCAAACCAAGCAGGACGAAATTGACAGGCTGAAGGGCGAAGCCAAGCGGAAGGAAGAAGAAATGTCTCGGTTGAAGGATCTGGTTCGGCGCAAGGAGCAGGAGGTCATGCTGAGGGAGGAGCAGACGAAGGAGAGGGAGGCGGCTGCAGAGAGGAAGGAGGAAGAAGCCAGGGAGCTCGAGAAAAAGGCACGATGGAGGGAGGAAGAGGCCCTAAAGCGGAACGACGAGGCGCGGCAGCGAGAAGAGGTGGCGGTACGAATGGAAACAGAAGCGAAGGAGAAGACTAAGGAGGCTCAGGCAAAGGAAGAGGAAGCTCATCGGACTGGGGACGAGACTCGCCGTCTTGCAGCCGATTTGCGTCGTAGGGAGGAAGACGTTAGAAAGAAAGAGCAGCAACTGCAGAAGCGCGAGGAGAATCTCGCTCAGAAGAAGGCCGAGTTTTTCCAAAAGGAGCTCGACATGCAGCTGCGGGACGAAGAACGAGGGAAGTGGGACAAGCAGCAAGGGGAGTACCAGAGGCGTGCAGAGGAGGCCGTCAGGCGGCGTGAAGAGCGCAAACGTCAAGATAGCTGGGAGAACGGGCGCTCGTATCCCTCTCAAGGTGGCTCCTCCTCCCAGCCCTCGTCTAACCCCTGGCCGATGTCGGATCACGCTGAAGATTACACGTCAACTACGACTCCGGATGGTGCGTCATTTGCAAAGGCCTCCTATACCCCCCGGACCGGTAGCGCTTGGTCATACGCATCGGGCCATACTACCTCAACGGCCACCAACCAGACTTCGACTTCAGCCTCCGCGACACCAGGTACCAAGCCGAGCGCTAGTCGTCCAAAGCCAGCAACTTCGAGTTCGTATACGACTCTTTTATCGGAAGCCGAGTGGCGTCGTCGCCAGGCTGAACAGGCTCAGCAGCAAGAGGCGCGGTTCCGTCAAGAGCAGGTTCGGCTTGAACAAGAGCGGCTTTCTAAAGAGTCAAGAGCGCTCAGCAGGATGGACATCATTAGACTGTTCGACTCACATCAAAGCCAGTGGGACAAACTTCACTCACGGGCTACTCTCAGCTGGGACGATTTCCCGTGGCCGATGTTCAGGTGCCCTATAGGTCCAGATGACTTGACGGTGGCTGGGATTAGCGCATATATGCTATCACCTTTGCAGCCTACGGACAAGACTGTCAAGGAACGCATTCGCGAAGGCATTCGCAAATGGCACCCCGACAGGTTTGAAACGCAGGTGTTGTGGAAGGTGAAAGAGGAGGATAAAGAGAGGGTCAAAGAGGGTGCTGGCAGCGTAGTACGCTGCTTGAACGATCTGCTACGCTCGAGCACTAAGGTCCTGTTTTCGTAATCGCATGAGCATGAAGTAGGAGCGCATTTTAACTTCTCGAGTCTAACACCCACCGGAACGTCTTGCAGCTGTAACGTCTAAACATGTATCTATACCCACACTCCGCATCTAGTATCCTCAGTGTACACGAAGCAATAAACCACCTATGTACAAGCGATAATCTGTAGCGGGCTCGCGTCTCATGTCTTAACATAGGTTTGGGCATACTGAGAAACGCGAATCAGTTCACGCAGCATAGTGGAGATAAAGCCAAGGTTAAAGCTCACGCATACAAGTTATGACGCGTAGGAAACCATGACATTGTCGCCTTCAGTGTGTAATTCAGAGTCTGAGCCGTTCAGGAGGCTTCACTGTTATCAAGCGATGTCATTGAGTGGACATAAGCGGTAAGGTCCATGGTTCACGGGCAAATGTAAACAACTGGCCGATGGTGATTCAGAGCGAAGATGTCGACTCGGCGGCGGAGCGCTGAGTTCGGAAGCGGGCTTTATCGGAAGTCGGGTTGTCAAAGCCGCTCCATCCTGGACTCAACGATGGCATGAACGTCGAAGAACAACCACTGGTGGTAGACAACGAGGGGTGACTGTGAAAGACAGAGTCTCAGCCCGAAGAGACATCGAAACAGTTCAACCCAGTTTTTCAGACGCCCTTAGTGGCGTTCAAACGTCTTTTGTTTGACCTCAGCCGTTGGATCAAGTCACCCAAAAGTCACCCGCCAATGTGTTGATTTCGGGCCTTCGCTCCCCGGCCGAAGAAAGCATAGACAGAGCTAGTATATGGAAATGGGGACAATGCTGAGACAGTAATTATAAACTGATGCCCATTACATGAAGTTGGTTGAAAGACTCGTAGATGGGGGAGGTGGCAATGCGGTAACCACACGTTCCCATCTATAACCGAGTCGAGCTGTTCGTAGTTCCTGTTCGTTTCCCCTTGCTAACCTGAGAGACAGAGATAGTGAGCGTCATCGCAGAGTCACCAAGAAAACAATGTCATTTACCATGATCCATTGGTAAGCCACAAGGGCGGAGAACCTCCTCTTGACCGCATATCATGAAAGCGGTTCTTCATCATGTCGTGACGTTCTACTATTGTAGTATCGACCATCTTCTGCTCTTTTGTCACCGTAGAAAGAGAGCGATAAGGCACATGTAGCAGCTCAAGTCCAGAGAAATCCCAGCTAGCACTGGTAGAATTCCGGATACGGTCTATAATAACCTCCAGTGTTGTTCCACCCCGGAAAGCGAAGTAGGTATCTTTAGCGAACTCGTGAACGAAGTAGAGACCTCCCTTGGTGATTAGAAGGCGCGCGCCTTCATCTTTCCACAGAATTAGCTGAGCCCGACCTAGAAATTCGTACGAGTGCGATAGCTCGAACGAAAAATCGTCTCGGAATGGTACGTCCTCGCACCGATGACTCCAGTGAAGAAGTCTTCCCGGTACCACGCTTTGAGTGTTTACATCTGGGATATCGATGAGACGCCTCTCAAACAGAGAGACCTCGTAGTCTTTAGGTTCGGTTTCAACGTGGTGGGTCCATGGGGACGGTTCGACGTCAAGGTCTATATGACACTGTTGGCTGTTCAGGATATAGAAAGAGCTGTAAGAAACTCGCGTACCGTGGGCAAGAGCTCGATGCCATCGTCCATTACAGAGGTTGGGGCGCGATCGCCCTCAAATAAAAACCTAAGTGGAGCACCAACGAGGTCAAGGACAGCCAGTTCTCCAGCCCAGTTTCCGATGGATACTAGTCCCAAGGCATCATCAAAGGCGACGTGGGGAAACGCACACAAACTCGGCTCGCCCGCGAAAGACACTCGTTCGACACTGGGTGCATGCCCCAGCGTAAGAAACGAGACAGAATCTTGAAAGGGGCTATAGAAGTCGGTATCCTCGCATGTATATAAGATACGGCCGCCTGAAGCTCCAGCGGTGAGACACGTAGCGTCGTAAGAATCAACAACTTGAACAGGTGCAGTCAAACTGCAGACCCCGAGCGTGTCTGCAGCTTGATGGCACAGAAGGTTGCATTGCCATATACCGAAAATGTCAGGATTATCATCGGTCGCATGTATTGGCTTGATCCACGAGAGCTGTTGAGAGCACGATGGTCCAATGGGGGCATTTGGCTGGAGCGGTGAAGCTGACCCTAGGCTGCTGACAGGTTGGGTGAATGTTACCTCTTCGACCTCTCCCCACATCAAGGGATCTAAATGCAAGGTCTGAATGTGTCGTGGTTGGTGCTCGGGTGAGGGAATGGTGAAGATCTTGACATCCATTGCGCTAATCGTCACAATATGACCTTTCCAGGAACATGCTTTGATGCGCGTTCCCTGGCCAGTGCCTTCGAGTGAGTCACAAAATGTATTTTCCTTCCGCAAAGAACATACCCGATGGTCCGGGACTGTCGCCAACGGCCAGTAATCACCACTTTTCCAGTCAACGACGTGAGGAATTGCCATATTGTCTTTCATAGCGCAAACAAGAAGACCGGAGAGAAGCAGGACTATCTCGCTATATCCAGAGATAACTTTGATTTCGCCGAAGAAACAATCTTCATTCAACTCGAATAGCTTGAGAACCGTCAATACAGGCGTCCTTCAAGAGCGTACGTATAACGCCATCAGCATGGAGTAGGGGAAGTCATGAGTCCGATGCAATCGCACCTTGATTCAACTGCTACGACGACCAGAAGCTCTCCGTTCTCGACGACGGCTTCTCCACTGTTAACTGGGCCAGGTAAAAAGCAGCCAGTGATTGGGTCTAGATGCTCGCTGTCGAGAGTTGCTAAGTCAAAGAGCTCGAGAGTGCTGCTGATCGTGTCTTTTGCAGCCACGACTAGCCATCGAGATGCTATTGTCCGGAGCCATGTTACAGACCGTGGCGAATCGAGGCGATATATCGATCGAAAGGAGATGGAGTGGGTATGCCAGGCATGAGCCAAGGAAGAGACTCGGCAAGTGATCGCCTCGATTTGGCGGCAGGTAAGAGCTTCGACTTGCTGAGCGGAATTCGGGAGAGATACGTGCTCTGTCTGCATCAGGTGGCGTAGACGTAAGAGCCAAAGCTGCTTGTCATATGTCGAGTCTCGGAACGTTTTACAAGTCTGCGACAACTTGAACTGATGGTGATTGATACTATACATCTAATGCTTACCTGTCTCAAAGCCAGTATACATAACGTGTCCGTTTCCTGCATTATACAAACCAAGATCTCTTGTGGAAGGTCCGTGAAGTGCATTGGTTGTAGTACTAGAGCAACAAAAGTAGTATAGGGGTGTGGGAGGTCGAGAAAGTAAATAGCGCGCGAAACTTTGGATGACTATGATTTCCCACGGATAGCAGGCGTCTCCTTTTTTGAAATATCACTCAAGACTAAAAGTTAAACGTCAGACCGGGACTCGAGCATTCATGCACACGCGCCACCTCTGCTGGGCCTGGACCAGAGGGGAGAAAAAGTGTTTATGCCGAGAACTGGTAAATCAAAGAACTGAAATTATGACCAATAACAGAACGTGGCACAGGGCGCCGTAGATACTGAAGGAACAGCCAAACGATATATAAACACGAAAGTGGAATTCACGAGAAGGTCCATGATAGCTGCCAACAACTCCTCAAACTAGAATGCCGAAACCATCCGAGCGAGCCACTCGACGTCGTCGACCACCGATGTCTGAAGCTCGATGAGCTGACCGAACACACTTGTCGACGAAGCAATAGAGACGAGAGAGAGGCAAGAAGATAGCGAGTTGGGTAGCCTTGGCTCGTTTGCGCTCGCAAGGTATAACTCGTTGTCAGCTGGACAAGTCGCCGTCGGAGTGATCGGCGATGTTGGTCGAGAAACCAGCGTTGAAATAGGCGTGGTCGAGGGCGTGGCGCTTGACACAGGAGATGGGCTGGATGATACCTCGTCTGAAGACTCCATTTCATCGTCGTTGTCATTGGATGACAAGGACAGCGACTCCAGCATATCTGTGATATCCCTGACCATCGCACATTCGAGCCGATCCTCTTTGATTGCCACCTCCCTCGCGCCAGCCAGGTCGTGTTTATCGAAGGGGGACTCAGCCGACTCAGGAGAGAAGGCGCGTTGGGAAGGTGCATCGCCCCAAGAGCCCAGGACCCGCTCGTAGATAGCGGACAATTCTTCTTCGAGGGCAATCGAGACGTCGTCCGCAGCTGAGAGAAAAAGCGCAAGTCAACGTATGCTATAGTAGTATTTCAGAGCTATAACTTACCAAGGTAATCAGACTCGGTCGATCCATAGGATGTCGACGTAGAAATTGGGCAGCAGAAAGAGTCGCATTTCGCAGTTAGTTGGCTGACATTGTCGATTCCGCAAACGATACCACCCTCGGGCCGGGTAAGAACGACATGCGGAGTGCCAACGCGCGCTTGAAGACCTGGCAAGAGAAAAGGGGCAACACGTCAACCGTCAATTCAATCTCAGGATGGGGTGACGGCGTACCTTTCTTATCTGCGATGTACTCTTCTACATCCTCCAGCTCCTCTTCACCGAGCTGCCTGAAGATGACGCGCTTGAGGATCTTGATATCCTCATCCTTGTCAGCTGTCTCTTGGCCCATGGCAAAGACCGTCTCCGAGAGCTGCGTAGCGCTTGAGAGCTGATCCTCGAGAGCGTCCTCGAGGTGTCGGCTGGTGTGCTCTAGCTTCTGTACCTTCGACTCGAGAGTGGTCTTGAGCTCGTCCAGGTAGTAGATGTGCGAGAGGAGAAACTTTGAGTCGACGTCGCCGTGGGGGAAGGGTGAAGTACGGTGGATGCTGGATACTAAAGGCGCAGAGAAAGTTGAAGAATGAACGGAAGATGCAACAGGTATTAAGGTGGAAGAAAATGAAACTGAAGTAGGTATTAAAGGATGTGCGAGCATCGAAGTAGAAGGGGACACTATAGTGGAAGTGAACGTCGAGACGGAAACAGGAAGAGAGGGGAAGATGGGCAAAGACAAGGAGGTGGCGATGGGAGGGGAGACATGTGCAGAGCAGATATCGGAGGTGGAACAAGGTGGGATTAGCGATCCGACAGAGGAGGCAGCATGATCGCCGCGAATGCTGAAAGTTTTTGATATTCCGCCCTTCGGCTCGGGTCGCTTCCTCTCGAGCTCTTCCACCCGTTCACCGAATTGCTCGTTGACGGAAAGCAGGGCCCGGAAAGCCTGTTCGGACAACTCAGCACGCTCGGCCTGGACATCGGCCTGGCCGTTGGCTTCAGTGAGTGCGACTCGGAACCCATCGGCCTGAAAACTGATTGCTAAGCGTAACATCGTTATCTCGTCCTCCAGGGCGGTATTGTGCGCCTTGAGCTCGCGAAGCTCAGTCGCTACGACGCTGGTGGCGTGCTCGGCGACCTCGATCTGGGCCTTCAGGTTGTCGACCTCGGAAGCGAAGCACAATCTGGGGCTAGTTTCAGGAATGAAGTCCTCTCGCTATCACGGCAGAGATACTCACTGAGACGAGTTAAGGTCTTCTTCTCCAAGCTTCGCTGCATTGGAATGAGACCTGCATATCAGTCAGCTCGTACCAAGTCTGATATGATACGCGGGGTCGGGGTACTTACTTGGTACCTTGTATGTGAGCCATGACTGTCCCGACGCCAAGCGCGGTAAGGAACGGATTGACGATGACGAAAGCGAGCCCAACGGCAGCAGAGACAGCAACGAACAAAGTGTCGAATTGGGAAGACATATCTAATACTGGAAGTGTTGTAGAGCTTGGCGCGTGCGATGGGAGAGATGGTGTGAGGAGGAATGAGAGAACTAGAGAGATGTCGAGAGTAGCTGCTGATATATGTTTGCTGGCCGCATACTAGACTTAACTGAAATCTGTATTTAGCCAGTCGTTTTCTGAAGGCGTACTAGGCAAGAGTCGGGGAGAGCATCAATTCTGGACTTCCGGTCAGTATCAGGATGGTGGACAATGTCTAAACCAACCGCGTACCGTAGAACATCGACTTCCAGGACCGTGATATATCTCCCTCCTTTATGGAAGACGACCAAGGATGTCCAGGGTAGAGGATTCGAACACTATCTGTAATGATATTGAGGGATAGAATGCATTCTACATCGTATCAGCAGTTGAGCTCGTCGGAGATGCGGAATATATGTTATATTGGTGCAAGATGATAACCACTGCGAGGCTCGAACGCGTCAACGTAACAACCGTTTGTGGTTGGCTTGAAGTTGATTCAGGGCAGGTAGTTCCGCGTCCGAGATCTAAGCCCCTGAGCAATGGGCGGCTATTGGTTGGCAGCACAACAGAACCGCCACATGTTCTATGCTCTATTAACCTCATCCGAAGGCGTCACAAAGTTTAACCTAGGCATGTTGCCTGCTTGCCAGTTGCACGCACACAACGCAAAAGTCTTATTCTGCAGCGACGCCGTACTTGCGGACCGTCGGAGATGCATGATATTTACACCTTACGTTATTGTTCAACTTGCTTCGAGATAAATTTATTTCGCTTCAGTCTCCACATCCCACCTCTCCATCCCAGCAACATCCAAAGCGACCAGGAACCGAGAAACGCAGTTGTATGCAGCGACAGTGCCCGTAATCTCCACAAGCAGCCTATCTCTTCTCTCCTCTTCATCTGCGAATGCGTCTTTCAATTGTCGCCAGATTGCCTCAGGCACGACGACGTTCCTTGTCATGGCGTCCGTGTACGCGAGCACCGCGAGTGCCTTCTCGTCCAATGCTACCTTCCTCCCGCGGTCTTCCCAGTGTAATCTTGCTGACTCATACTCTGCCAGCGTCCCCAAGACATGCACGGGTGCTTGTTCGACTAGCCGCAGGACCTCATCTGCCCCCTTCTCAAGTTCCGCCTCGGCATTCGCCAATCCTATCACTCCCTCTCCTCCTATTCCGCTCCTGTCAGATTTCATTCTCTTGATCCACGCCTCCTTTAACAACCTGGCGTGCTGTATCCATTCGAACTTGGCGCGGTTGAGCACCGCAACACGACAAATCGCGAGCTCGCGCAAATCGTCGCTGAGGGTGCACCCCGTGCGCACCGCCCCGAGGAGCCCGTTCCACCCCTGCGTGAGCACGGGGCTGTACAGCAGGGTTTGGTCGAGCGCATTCAGGCCGCCTTGGGTACGCCGGCGTGCGAGGGTCGCACTCAGGGCTGAAGTGAATGTGGGGTCATTGGAAAGCTGAGGAGGTGGGTTTGAGGGATCTATGGGCGGGATGCGGATGGATGATCCGAGCTCTAGCGTATCGTTGCTCTCAGCAGGGATGGACGGCGACATGAGTGGACTGGACTGTGAGGAGCGGTCGAGGGTGGTGCCCACGATCGTCGGTGGTGGGTGCCCGTGTTCTAATCTTGGACGTCTACTCTACTCCAAATGTTCGCACTGCAGATCTCTCAGCGTACAAACATCATGCGCTTCCGGTCAATCGCAGATAACTTTCTCAAGGTCCTCGGAATCATGGCGGGATGTGAAAATTGAGCACCCGGAGTTCGCCCGGTGACACTGTGACAGCTTATGAAACTAAGCTGAAACGGGAGGTGCTAAATGGCACTGAAGATATCATCAGCATACAAATACTCAATGGCTGCAACGTTCATCTGCGGTAATTACGCACTTATGTCCATGGCTCTCAGTCGTCATTGACAACACTTTTCTTTATATGTCATAGCGCAGATCCGGATACTATACATTGTCCGGTTCATGAAGTACATAAAATGGCAAATTCTTTTGCTACCCAGGCTAAAGCCCAGCATCATCCACCATTCTCAAATTGCGCCCCGTGTTCTCGAAAGCTGGCCTTTTTCGCAGACTAACGCGGTAGTTTCTGCACTCTTCGCGTAGCATGTCGCAACAAGCACAACATATCCATACTTTAGGGCCGCCGTTGGCGCAGAGAGGTGCGTTTGTCTACATAACTCTGGAAAGCCAGCTCAATGCATCTCGCCTCTCTGCTAACATGCTTTGTCCTTTCTCATAGTCTCCGGCGCGGTCATGCACGGTATCGCTATCTCCTGCACAATTTTCCGCCTCTCGTATCGAGCCTACAGGCGTGAGCTCTGGTGGGAGGACGCGTGGGCGGCACTAGCCTTGCTTGCAGATGGCATGGCTCTTGAGATTGGCTGGGGTAGAAGGCCCATAAACCGTGTGTGTTTGCCTCGCTACTGCGGTTCGTTGTTCTGATGCATATCTGCGGGACAGCAACCACGGGCGTGTCGCGGTCACTCACGCTGGCATTCTTCGAGTCGGCGCAGGTGAACAATGTCGTATGGTGAGGCTTCGGCTCCACTCTATGATTGCTGTCTCATTAACAATGGTTTTTACGAGGCCTGCGCGCATGAGCATCCTGTTTTCTTTCATCCGCATCACGCATCCAAATTCTCCGCACCGTCGCGCTGGATATGCCGCCGCGATTCTTTTTGCTCTCATGTGGTTGATTATCTTCGTTCATCAAGTTCAGCAATGTCGGTTCCATGGCTGCACTAGAGACAGCACTTCGGACATACTGCAGATAGTCGGTGAGCAAACGACGACCACCTTGCACCTCGTCGTCTCCACGTCAACGCCAGATGGGTACTGATATACCTTGCACCACGCAGCCGCAGCATGCACAGACGTCCCGTTGATCGTGTTGCCATTTTGGCTGCTACGACACTCAGGCCTCGCGCGCACGCGTCGAATGCTCGTCTACGCTGTATTTGTTTCCTCAGCAGTTATCACAGCGTTAGTTATCTTCCACAGTATTGCGGACATGGGTGCGCTTAGTCTGGCTAGGATCGTCGCGGCGAATCTTGCGGTACGTGTTGGACCATCGCCCATGTTTCGGTTCTTGGACGCTGGAGCTGACTTCATTTTCTGCGGATGTAGACTTCGCTTTCACTGTTGATATGTAACATGTTCGTCATTATCACCTGTGTCGCACGACTCCTTGGGTTGCGCGATCGCGAGGATGCAGACGTAGGCGACAGGAGCGAGGTGCTCACGTCGGCGATCGAAGTGTCACCAATGCCGCCTGTGGCGTCGAAAACGGACAGTACTTTACTGCCGCCTTTCACTCGTTCAATGATAGAGCGGAGAGACACTGGTGACGATGATAAGTCGGCCGAAATTCATTCTACAGGCCCCAACACAACTGGCTCGGAAGAGGAGGTCTGACGCCAAAACGAAGGAAGCTGCGTACAAATAACAAGCGGACACAGGCCACCATTCCCCATTCGACTGATTTTTCATCTATACACTGGATGCTTTTTGATGCCCACTGTCGCAGCCACCAAGTCACAAACAGTTCCTGCTCTTTTACCGAGCATCACTGCTTAAGGCCCTTCAAAAGGGCGTACGATCAACTTTACGCCGCTAACCTTGCTGGCCTTGAAACGTTCGACGCCAGCTGAAACACCTTCCAGACCTCCGGGCAGCACGTCAACCTTGTTGGGCTGTAACAAACGCTATTAAAACGACCCTTTAAGAATGAAAGTGCCGGATCGGACGCACCTTAATCTTCCCTTCGGCAAGCCATTCAGGCAGCTTCTCCCACCACCTCTTGCAGAACTCTGCATTGACTGGGTTAAAGGGGCTACCGTGAACGGACTTGAGCGTGCGGGTATCGCCTGTCGCAGTTCGAACCGATGGGGGGAGTGTCAACACCAGGTGTCCTCCGGGTGCGAGGACAGCCCAGGCAGTCTTCTGGGTGTCATCTTCGGAGATGGCGTCGTAGACGATCCTGATCGGGTCGGACGTGATTGCCTTCACGCGGGCGACAATCTGGTCCGGGGAACCATGTCTGTCGATGACGTGCGTAGCTCCAAGGGATTTCAGGTTGTTTTCGTGCGCCAGAGATGAAGTCGTAATGATGGTGGAGAAGCCGGCAAGACGTGCGGCTTGGACAGCTGGAGGTCATTCTGGATGAACACGTACATCATCTAAAGACAAAGTAGGTCGACGTACTGTAATGTCCGACAGATGAGGAACCGCCGAGAATGAAGATGGTTTGTCCTTTGTATGTGTCTAGCTTGTCAGGAAATGTCAGATTGCCGTCTTTCGGTCCAAACAGCCCAATGGAGGCCGTGTCCACGCCGACGGGGAGAGACGCCGCTTCGTCAAAGGTGATTGTATCGGGGAGCTAAAAGTTGACAATCGTTTAGGATTTGTGTCGTTTGAAAGTGAACCTGAATTGTATACCTTAGCTACGAAGTTTGAATTGGTGAGGGTGTACTGCTGAAAGCCCGCCTGGTTGTTAGTCAAAAAAGTTCCTCGAGCAGTACTGACGGCAACATCAAATTAAGTGTGAATACCATTTGCGATAAGCCAAAAACGCACACTCTGTCTCCCTTGGATACACGAGCAACACCTGCGCCGACCTCTTCCACTACGCCTGCGGTATCTGAGCCAAGGACCACGGGATAGCGGGATTCGTCGAGGAAGAGACCGTACGCTTGGATCTTCCAGTCGACAGGGTTTAACGCGGCTGCGTAGTTCTTGACGAGGACTTCGCCAGGGCCTGGCTTCGGGATCTCCTTGGATCCTAGTTCGAAGGTGGCTTGCTTTGATTTAAGGAAGAGGGCTTTCTGCGACATGATATAGTCGATAACGTGTTGTTTCTGGACAGTAACTCGAACTACGAGGGATGGGGCCTCTGGGGATACAGGGATCCACCATGGCTCTTTATGGGACAGTGAACACTTGAATTGCGCCATCTCTGTGTAGTCAGCGCAAGGGAAATGTAGTTGATGGCTTGCTAAGCCGTTCAACTTTGTTACAAAGACCGACGAAACGGAGAACAGAGCTCTTCAGAAGGTACAAGCTGCATAGTCGCGAATATCTATGTGGCACTTTTTAGCCTCGGAGAGGGTCAAGCTGCCCGGGGACTTACAAATCGGAAAGGTTCCGGATGAGTCTTCATGCAGATTACGTCAGGCAGCGACAGCACTGCTCTCAACAGCGATACTAGAGTGTTGCAAGTCTCTAGTCTCCGATTAGCCCTTAATATAGCCAAAGGCTTCGCTCGCTGCGCGAGGCTTGTTCCACGTGTCAAGGCAAGTCCCGTTGTGGCATCCTAAACCGACAGTATTCAGCAAGTATTCAGATGACCGTGCTACGCTCGTGCGGCGGTAAACTAGAGCCACAGTGGCGGGTATGGAGGGCCCATATATGATAAGCTTCATGCACCAAGGTCTTGTAGAATGTACCGCTTGGCAGGGAGGGGTATGAGTAGTGTTGAAAGTAAATGGCAAATGAGCGGCGCCTAGGAAGTTGGAATAGCGTATCTAGCAGGCTCTTCCCACGGCCCGAATTTTCTAGCGGGACGGCGCGGGACGGCGGTTCTCCGACTGGGACTACATAAAGTTCAGACGCTAATAGGCACGTAACCATACAGCTTAGAAACGATTAAGCGCTAACAACCCAATGCTAACATACATACATCATAGTTAGTTCAGTTTGGTTTGTCTGGATGCCCGTCCACCGCGAACGCGCAGATCTTCCCTCGCTCGCTGAACAAATCGGTGGTGATGCCGACTCGATCTACCTCATCGTGGCCGACATGGGAGAGTCTGGTCATTGTGTTGGCTTCATCAATGGATACTCGTTCCCGTGAGTTTTATCCCTTTCAATATGCGTTGTGTTGATATGTGACGAAATTTGTCCACAGCTAACGCTACTGTTCGGTCTACGATACCACGAACAAGCAGTTTGGAATCGCCAAGACTGCTGCCACCTATGCCACTTCCAACTAAGAGCGCCGGAGTGAATTAATATCTTTTTCGGGGGCTTGGTTGTCATTTCAGCTTGGTTTTCTGGGGGAGGAGGGTACGTAATTGTACAACGGATGTAGCATTAGCTGTAGCTCCCTCACAAGCATTTTGTTGGTGGAGAACCTCTACCTGTAATGTATGCGAAGATGTACCCTTATTGAAGCTTGAGTATATTCCGCCAAGTCTGGTGGCGATCACACATAGTCCCAGCGAGACCTATTCTGACAATTCATCTCTGGGCACACTGGCATGACGCCACCACTTCTTCTTGGCTTAGGTTTCGATCATAGCGAGCCACTTGCGAAGTACCATATACGGGCGCTCCGTGTCAACTCCGTATTCAGGTCCGAGCTCATTATCAATCAATTATCTAAGTCTCGACAAAGGTACCAAGTTATGGCGATACCATAATCCCAAGCCAAAAGGCCTCTAGCGTGAGAATGAGCCAACGTTTCTCATTGACATGAATCGGCTTACAAGGATAATTTCCCACGCACTCCTTGGTTCGCTTCTACTTCCTCCGCCTCAGTGTCTTATCAGGCCACTACATCATATGAAGTTCAGAAGCTGGGCACGTAACCTTACTACCATACAACTCAGATGATTAAGCGCTAACGACCCAGTGCTAACATACCTCATGGGTAGTTCAGCTTGGTTTGTCTGGTTTGTCTGGTCGCCAACCACTAGCTGAACTCACCACGTGTTTGCGGGCCCTCGCTTCGGGACGTTGTGGGTCTATTTTAATGTTTTGCGAACGTGAGATGCCGATGGCCTTAAAACTAGGTCACACGGGTCTTCACTATCAGCTGCGAGTAGCATCATCTTCAAAGCAACTTTCAACCCCGACATGGCATCGGAGACAGCAAACCCAAGTCAGCTGGAGCTGATGTCCAGCAAAGCATCCACCCTAGCTAATGACATTACTCACGGGAGAATCACAGCGAAGTCGGTTATCAGGATGGATGTCGCTCGCAGCGTCACCTGGATCCGACTCGTATCTTCCCGTTGGCTTTTTGTCGCTTCATCGGATACGTCCAGCAGCAGCCTCACACTATGGGACGTATTTTCCCCTGGTAGTGATGGAACCTCTCCTCTCGCTGAGTGCTTCCTGCCGGGACCGGTCGAGACAGGCGAAGTGTGCATACATAATGGAGAGTTCATTGTAGCCATATCAGTTGAAACACTGTGAGCTTCACAGCTTGAGCTGGCGACGATCTGACCCAAGCATCCATGCCACGTCAGGCACCCGACCACTCGTATTCTATCTGTCGTCACCATGAATGAAAAGCTGCTCTTCGCAGAAATGAAGGCGATACCAGGGTACAGTCACGTCGTGCTTATCTACGATGAATGGGTTCTTGTCGCCCTCAAAGGCAACAAAGCTATACCGTACGCCGTAAAGTGGAAGAATGGCAAGGCGTTTCCTTTATCGGAGACGCTTGACGAGCTGGTGAGTATTAGAAACCAGGGCGGTACACGTGACAATTCTCACCTAGATTCAAGGGTACGATGGTGAAGGCGTGCTTTTGGAACGGACATGTGGTGATGGTGTCACCTACACGAATCAAGCTGTTCACAATCTCCTCTTCAGACGACCCTCCTACACTGATTGCAGAGTATCCTATCAGGAACGACGTTGAGTGTCCACTGCCCTTTGTCGACGTCACCATCCTCCATAAAGTCAGCACGCTCTTGAGTCTTTATGAGCTCTCACAGGAGGAACCTTGCGAGCTTAAGATTCTCGTGCGCACGGGGTACGGAGCGATTGATCAGTACACTCTGTGCCGAGACGCTGCTAAGCTGCCGCCGTTTGTCATTACACGCAAATGGAAGGCCGAGGATTGGCCCGCGGCTCATATATTCTCACCGGGGCTATCCGGACGCCACATCATGTTCCTGTACGAGTCCAACTTTCTCAGGGGGAATCCCGATCCACCATCGCTCGCAATCCTCGAGGTGTCTCAATTCATGCTTGCACAGTCCTACTCTACTCATGGCGGTCGCGCTGTCATCCCCTATACAGACGCCAAGCCCAGCACTTGGACGTTTCCCCAGCTCGCCTTTGACGACTATCTGGGGTTTATCGTCTTAGGGAACATGATGGGCGAGTTGGCCATTATAGATTTGACGCAGACACCCTTGGCAGCGCTTTGGGCTCCAAACCAAACTCCGATACGGTCACTGGGTCCCTCAGACGCATTGCTACCTACGGTATGTTTCTTCCGGCGCTCGAGCCCGTCTTTTTCTGATTCATGATAATCATCAGCACGCCGTCGCCTTGAGCATCTTTCCGTCGCCGTGGAACCGCCCGGACGACGAGGATTCTGATTACGATCAGGAAAGCGAAACCAGATTTTCTAGACACCGCGTGTTTCCGGTGCCGCAGGAGAAAGTTCCAAACGGCTGGGGGACCAACTTGTCTTATCAAGTATCGCAGTTCGTCGACGATCCTCGCGGGTTCGACCATTGCCATGCCTTGAGGTACGCTTATATTGGGCGGCCCCAACTCTTGCTATCGAGTTCCTTCCCTCTCAGGAGTCTGGGGTTGTTCTACATGGGGGGTTTATACTTTTTATGGGGCGTAGAGTTCGACGAGAAACTGGGATGCGTCGTTTTCCCCGTAGGCATGGACCTAGACCAAATTTTGGAACATTTGGGGGAGAACGTTTACGGCGAGATTGATCTACTCGAGGACATCGGTGCAGTATGGCTCGACGGAGCGCCTTCATCCGTTTCAATTAAGGCTCGTGCATGGAGGTTAAGCGAGTGCTTTGAAAGCAGTGAGTCTTTCGACCGCCGGATCCAGAGAATGGAAGACAGGGGTGGCCGTCTACCTTTGCTTTTATTGGAGCAGGAAGACAGTGAGATGATACGTACACGCTAGTATAAACGCTGTCAGGACCACTAGAGATTCATTATCGCGTTACGGGATATATAAAAGTGACTGGTATAGCGTCAGGAACGTTGGAACTCTGTCCGCGAACAAGTAATGTGACTTGGAGGAAAAAACTGGAACGAATTCTCGATAGAGGTTTGTTCAATTTAATATTGTTCTGTTGCATTCACGAGTCACATCCAGTCACTGGCTGCTTTTCTCATGAGCGTCCGTGAGTCCATACTATATTGCAAAAGGTAACTACTGAGCAAGCGAGTAGGTATAAAACATGGATGAGCGCTTGAGCAGTGTAATATCATAGGCGTCATATCGAGAAATGTGTGTATCATAAATGTGGGACAAGAATAGAAAGAAATCATGGAAACAAACTCGTGAATAGGAGGATTGGCGGGTGGAGCGATCGGGACGGAGTTGGCTTTCGAGGCCAGCGGTATCGATATCGAAGCGGTGTGGGCGTAGTAAGTCCGGCGGCGTTGGGCTTACATTTTCCCAGCTAAAAAGCGCAACAGATTCGAGGGTCAGGTTGTGGAACAATATCATGTCCACACACGCCACCAAACCACATCGATATTGCTATAGTTAGACAAGCATACCTACAAGCGAGCGGGTATCATGAAAGCTCCACATAGACGGCGTGGGTGACTCCCATACAGTATCTCAACTCTGGCAATTACTACTTACATGTTCCACTCGGATAAAAGAGCCTCTCTTTTCCTTTTCCTCGTGCGGGTGACTGCATCACTTCAGTCACGAGATCATCCCTCTTCAAGTCCCTTCAAAGGGACGAACGATCAATTTGACACCGCTGACCTTGTTGGCCTTCAGACGTTCAAGGCCCGCGGCAGTACCGCCAAGGCCCCCAGGGACTACTTCAATCTTGTTAGGCTATGATGGACGTTAATCAAGAACTCGTCTATAAGAACAACGTTATTGCACGCACTTTAATCTTCCCTTCGGCAATCCACTCAGGCAGCTTGGCCCACCACATCTTGCCAAACTCGTTATTGTCTGGTAGATAAGGGTTGCCAACCACTTGCTTAACCGTACGCGTATCGCCCGCTTCAGGCTGTATCGTCGATGGGAGAGTTAGCACCAGATGGCCGCCTGGTGCAAGTAAAGCCCATCCAGTCTTCTGAGTGTCCGCTTCTGAGATCGCATCGTAAGCGACCTTGATCGGGTTGGAGGTAATTGCCTTGACATGGGCAACGATCTGGTCGGGGGAGAGATGCCTGTCGATGACGTGCGTGGCTCCGAGTGATTTAAGGTATCCCTCGTGTGTGAGCGAAGATGTCGTGATTATGGTGGAGAAGCCTGCAAGACGAGCGAACTGGATGACTAGATATCATATTTCATTAAGCCAATCGGCGAGTACAATGTCGGCCAGCGTACCGTAAAGACCAACGGATGAGGAGCCACCTAGGACGAGAACAGCTTCCCCATCGTACGTGCCAGGTCTGTCAGGGAATGTCAAGTTGCCTTCTTTTGGCGCAAAAAGACCAATGGAGGCAGTGTCCGCGCAAGCAGGGATAGATGATGCCTCGTCAAAGGGGAGGGAATCTGGAATCTAGTTTTATCTATCGTCAGGTTTTGTCTTGAGCAGCCCCCCAAAAAATACATGCCTTGGCTACAAAACTTGCCCCGGCAAGTGTGTACTGCTGAAAGCCGGCAAAGTCAGCACCCTTAGTCCTATCGCCTCGAGAGATGCTGAGCACAAAATTCGAGATGAGTTCCGCACAGTGTAAAGAAAGCTGTAAGGTAACGTACACTTTGTCGCCTTTGGACACATGCGTGACACCTGCGCCGACCTCCTCCACAACGCCGGCGGTACCCTGGCCAAGGATGGCAGGGTAGTCAGAGTCCTGGAGGAAGAGGCCATACGCTTGGCTCTTCCAGTCGATGGGATTCAACGAGACCGCGTACGACTTGACGAGGACTTCTCCCGGACCTGGCTTGGGAATGTTCCTTGTCCCGAGCTCGAATATGCCCCGCTTCGACTTCAGCAAAAGGGCTTTCTGCGACATTGTTGACGGAAGTTCTTAGATTCTGATGCAGTAGCTGAGGTTGACAGAGATGCGAGCTTGAGTCTAAAGAAATTTACCATTGCTCTTTTATGCAGTGGCGTCGCATTGCTTGCACGCACCTCGACGACGTCATATGTATCATTTTTTCCAAAGTAACTCAGTGGAAAGTCTATCAAGGCATTGCTAAGCCGCTTTTCCTTTGTGTCAGGCAAGTTACGGGGCAACCGACCAAATGGAGCGAATCACAGTGCTCACCGCAGAAGGAGAGCCGACGGGAAATAGCGAACAGCGTCCCCTCAAAAGAGAAGATTTGCACGACCGCGGGGACAGGCAGTGCTACCAATAGCGTGTTCAGTGACATCTAATCAAATGCCGATAGCGCGAGTGCCTGAAGAGTAGAGGGTACTGTCAGCTTGACTTGGGTTGTCTAAGGGTTGTTGTGTGAGCGCGTTCGGTGATCTCATTCGTCTGAGTCATGAGAGCCACTTGCATGTCCTTACGATGAGCCGAATGACATCGCAGAGAGATGTTAGCCATGTGCAACAACCTGAAGGACGTTAGTATGACTAACCATTACCACCAGAAAGTTGTTGGAAGGATAATCAAGTTGCCTAAGGACGGACAAGGACCTACGTGGACAGTACGAACTCTTCGGGTGGGACGCTAATGTTGATTTCGTCACCAGCCGCGTCCCACACGTGCGGGTAAAAGGGTGAGAAAAGGCCGGGTGGCTGAAAACCAAGTAAAGAAGGCCTTCAGCTACCCGCCTACCTACTTTTTTCTCACCCATCCTCCCAACGAAACATCGCAGGTGCCGCTTCCTGTCGCATGCGATCGCCGAGGGTTGCTGCTGACGATGAGCTCGATGAACTACCGATGTCTGTGTCCTCGCAGAAACCCATATCACCGCACCTCTCCCAATCGTCGACAGTGCGGCAGGAAACTTCATTACCCAGATGTGCAGCGCTACTAACGGACACTGTGGGCTCCGACGATCTGATCCCGCCCCCTCCATCTTTATCTTCATCCTTTAACGAGCGACGAAGCGTGGTCGTTCACCAAGGCATGTCTCCAGACAAACAAGTCAATGAGATTCTTTGTCGATCTTGTCACAAACTTCGAGGCGGCACCACGTCTTTTGTTGTGAACGTTGACCCTTTCAATGGCGACAAATTGCATAGAAAGCTGTGAATAAAGCCCGCCGACGTGTCTTCGCAGATTCTCTATCAAGGCCTCGTTGACGTTGCCGCTATCCTCGTCTCGACCCTCGTATGACGGGTGGTCTCGGCTAGATTTGATTTCTTCAACTCCCAAGTCGGACAAAGTGAGTCGAGGAAAGTGCTTGCGAGCATCTCATAGAGGCTAGGACCATTACCGTACAGGCGTTGGTTTGGTGCAGGTTGAAAAGACCTCCCGCTTTTCATTTAACATCTATAATGTGAGGTCGCTTGATTTGTGTCGTCTTAGATTCAAAATCGACAGTCTTCATATAAACAAACAGGTCTACTCGAAGCTTCTTTCAGACGGAATTGGTGACTCTCGTTATTCATCGTGGGCAAATCGCTGCTAAATTACGTATCCTACATTGACAAACAGACCTCTTTTTCCACTTTCCTCGTAGACGATAACTTCAAATACCGCTTCATCCCCAATCAAGCCCCTTCGAAGGGACGGACGATTAGCTTAACGCCGCTGACCTTGTTGGCCTTCAGACGCTCGAGGCCTGCGGCCGTACCGCCAAGGCCTCCAGAGACCACCTCGACCTTGTTAGGCTAAAACGGTCACAAATCAAAACAATGTGTCCAAAAATAAAGGTAGCGTACGTACCTTGATCTTCCCTTCGCTGAGCCACTCGGGCAGCTTAGCCCACCACTTCTTGCCAACTTCGTTGTTATCCGCGAGATATGGGCTTCCGAAGACCTGCTTGATCGTACGCGTCTCGCCTGCTTCAGGCTGAATCGTGGACGGGAGGGTGAGCACCAGGTGGCCGCCTGGCGCGAGCACAGCCCACGCGGTCTTCTGGGTGTCTGCCTCGGAGATGGCGTCGTAGACGATCTTGACCGCGTCGGAGGTAGTCGCCTTGATGCGGGCAGCGATCTGGTCCGGCGAGAGATGCCTGTCGATGACGTGCGTGGCTCCGAGTGATTTCAGGTATCCCTCGTGCGTGAGGGAGGAGGTTGTGATGATGGTGGAGAATCCGGCGAGACGTGCAGCTTGGATGACTGAGAGTCGTGCTCGATTAATGACCCTTTCTAAGGAATGAAGTTTATCCCGCTCACCGAAGAGACCAACGGACGAAGAGCCGCCGAGAACGACGATGGTTTGTCCCTTGTACGCGTCCGGCTTGTCGGGGAATGCCAGGTTGCCGTCTTTTGGTCCAAAGAGGCCAGCAGCGGCGGTGTCCGCACCAGTGGGGATAGACGCAGCTTCGTCAAAGGAAATGGATTCGGGAATCTGGAAATGGTAAATCGTTGGATAAGGAAGAAATCATAAAAGTGGGACTCGAAACTACATGCCTTGGCGACAAAGCTGGCTCCAGCAATCACATATTGCTGGTAGCCGGAATGGTCGACTCCTTTACCCCTGTCGCCTCGGGAGAAACTGGAATAATGATCAGCGTCAATGGCACACAGCGTATAGAAACAAGCATACACTCTGTCGCCCTTGGACACATGCGTGACGCCTGCGCCGACCTCTTCAACGACACCAGCGGTACCTTGGCCAAGGACCGCGGGATAGTCAGAGTCCTTGAGGAAGAGGCCGTACGCCTGGATCTTCCAGTCGATCGGGTTCAAGGATACCGCGTACGACTTGACGAGGACGTCGCCGTGGCCTGGCTTGGGAATGTCTCTGGTCCCAAGCTCGAACGCGCCCTGCTTGGACTTGAGGAAGAGTGCTTTCTGCGACATAGTTGAATACGGATCCTAGTTCTGGTGTAGTAGAGTCGTTAGTGGAAACGAGGACTTGAGTCTGCGAGGACTCGCCGCATCTCTTTTATGTTAAGACGTTCTATGGCTCGCGCGAACCTTGAATGGCGTCATACCGACGGAAGCAGCGCAAGGGGAGAGTTTATCAGGCCGTTGCTCATCCCATCAACATTGTTACAAACCAGCCGACCAGAAGCGGCGAACGACGCTCATTCAGAAGAAAAGACTTCCATGGACGCGAGAACAGGTAGTGCCGTCTATGGGGTGTTCAGTGAGGTCTGAGAAGATGCTGACAGCGCGAGCGCCTATCAAGTAGCGGGACCATTGTCAGCCTGTGTCAGCCTGATCATTGACAGCGAGGACATAAAGGTTGTGCAAGGCCCTGGGTGATCGCACTCGTGCGGGCAGGTCTGGATCATGGGAACTCGCTTCCACGATACGAGACAAATGACATCGCGGAGGAATGTTTGCCATGTGCAACAGCCTCCGAGACGTCGAAATATGAGTAACCACCACCAGTTAGCGCCACCAGCTGCTGCGAAGGTGATGAAATTGCATGGGGACTGACGAAGACAATACGAAAACGTCGGGTTGGACGCTAATGTCGATTGCGTCACGCAGCCGTGGTATATGCCGACATCGGCCACCTTCAGAACGCTGCTCTACGCCCATGTTCGTCAAGATGACATGTATCGCGCAACTTCTCTTATGGCGCGATCGCTCGGACACAGACCTGGCAAACGTAGGATGCATGCGATAAATAGAATAAAGCGGGGATTTTGAACATGAGCCTTGTAGCGAGAGGTTCAAAGAGAGAGAGAGCTAGCGGGTAAATCAAGAAAGAGACAGCGAGCGCACGACAGCCAGGTAGAAACAGATAGAAAACGAAACGCATACATGAGTGTACAAATCGCCTCCAGCGGCGCCCCAAACAACCTCCATTCATCTTCTCTCTATCGCTCAGTCGACCTTCTTGGGCTCCTCGGCCTTGCGCCGCTCCAGAACCTCGACGAACGCACGTGGGAACCACCCCTCACGGCCGTCGCGCGTGCGGCCCTTCCACCAGTCAGACTGCACCTCGATGCGCGGGTCGACCTCGGCGCCGGTGGTGGGATCGAGCTTGCCCATGATCGCGACGATCTCGTTCTCCTTGAGCGCAAGCTCAGACGGCGAGCTCGCATCGAAGACGTACCGCGCCCGCGCGAACGTGAGCGACGCCGGGTCCAGCGGGCCCAGCGCACCGCCCGCGCCGGGCTGCCCGCCACCCGCGGCGAGGGCCTCCTGCTGCTGCTGCTGTGCGCGCTCGTTGAGGATGCGTACGAGGCGGGACATGGCGTACGGGATGCCGAAGATGGCGAGGAAAAAGATGATCAGCGGCTTGCGGCTTGGTTTTGGGCCTGTAGGTGCCATGGGGCCCTGGACGGGCTTGCCGCCGACGAAGTCGCGGAACTCGTTCTGCATGCCCGGTGGGGGTGAGGGGCGGCCGGTGACGAGCTCGCGCATCCAGCGGACGAGGCCGAAGAGGCCGAGGACGGAGCCGAGGGCGTTGCGCAGCTGGCCGAACTGGTCGACGACGCCGACCATGGCGAAGAAGGACGAGTGGGTCGCCATGAATGTGGACTCGATCATCTGGGCGACGCCCGAGAAGGTTTGGACGATCGAGTGTAGGAGGGCGAAGGTGTGTTGGGTGGTGGACTCGAGGGTCTGGGTGAGGGAGGGGTTGTTGGGATCCATGCCTGGCATGCCTCCGTACATGCCCATGCCTGGCATGCCGCCGCCGTACATGCTGTTCATCCCGCCGTACCCGCCGTACCCGCCCCCACCATAGCCGCCGTAGCCCATCCCTCCATACGAACCGAGGCCGCCGCCACCGTACATGCCACCGCCATAGGGCGAGTAGCTGCTGCCTAGTCGGTTGTACGGTGATGAGTAAGAGGATGAGTAGGGACTTGACAGGGAGTTATAGGGGGTGGACATGGTGGACATGGAAGGGTTTGATAGGGCAGCGGGGCGTGGAGGAACGGAAGGAATGTCAGACGAGGTGACAGTCGGAGCTGGTGCGGCCATTGATGGTACCGACGGCGCTGTCGACGTCGGGGCGGCTGAGGAGGGGAGGGGCGGGGCGGGGGCTGCAGCGACTGAGCCGCGCTCCCAGGGTTTTGGAGGAGACGCCATCTAGTTGCTCGCTGTGGGAGACAACGAAAACACTGCCTGATATCACTCGGCAACTCCCGAACACCAACGGCCCCCTGACGATGTCTTGTGATTCCCCTCTCACTCCAACCGGTCACTGCCACCCAACTTAGGTTTTTTGTCTTTCCGTGGTGTAAGTGAGATCCATATTATTAACTGAACATATGCCTAGGGAAGGACAGAAACGAGCGACATTGACTAGCCGGCTCACCATAAACAAGAAGAACATAGCACCATATTTGTTGAAGATAATTTGAAGTGATCCCGCGCTTTTCCTGCGAGTGAATCAACCATTCAAGGATCATCCATGATCATCGTAGCCTCATACACCAGAGTACCATCCCACGCCGGCTTCACATACCCAGGACTCGCATCAACCCCACCGTCGTCCTGGTCAATCATCTCCGTGTCCACGCGTACCAGCTCATGGCCACCATGAATGCCGTGCCACTCCGAGTCATCACTCACCGTGTCCTGCGGGCTCGGCGCCGCATACACCTCCATCGCCGCTGCTGCCGAAGTGCTCACCGGTGCTTGATCCTGCACCTGCGCCTGAACCTGCTCCTCTGCTCGAACCTGCGCCGCTGCCCTCGCGAAATTGAACCCGCCTAGCAGCCTCTCGCCCGACAACGACCGCACCCCCGCCTCGACGACCGCCTTCCGCGTCGGACTGGGTATCCGGCTCTCTAGCACCCCATCCGGCACATTTCCCCGCGGGCTCGCGCCCAACAGCAGAAGGCGCCTGTACACGTCCCCATGGAGCGTCACGCCGTCGTACATGTTTCCGTTCACGGGCGTCCCGGCGTCGCTCTCTGTCGCTGTCTGCGCGCCGGCGCCGGTGCCGAGTTCGTCTTCGTTCGTGTTGTCGGATAGAAGCATGGTCGAGAGCTGCGCTTCGCCGCGCTGGGGGCGCCTTTTGCCCGTGGGCGTGCGGGGGGCAGCCAGGGACTGCTCTGAGGCGAACGAGGCCTGGTTCTGCGGTGTACCAGGGACGCCGGCTTCCAGAGAAGTGAAACTCAGGCTGAGATCGACTTCGGCCGCGTCGAGCTCGTCGTCGCTGGTCCCAGCCTCACGCGTAAAGGCTTTCGTAGGCGACTTCGTGAACGATGATTTCTTGAGCGAGCGCTTCGATTTAGGCGTGGATCTGGACTTGGTCTTGGGATGTCTATTCTTCCCCGCGACGGCGCGAATATGGTGGATGGGCTTCTGAGCGTTCTTTGCAGCTTGGCCTGCCGTCCGCTCACCTCGGGTCATGCTGCGTAGCGTGTACGGCATAGCAGGCTGGGACCGCGACTTGCTGCGCAGCCCATAAGGCACGTCGTGCGTGAAGGAGGTCGTACGAGCCATGTCAACGACTACGAAAAAGAAGAGAAGAAAACGGTCAGCGATGCACGGCATAGCAGCCCACAGGTACAAGCCGGAGAGACAAGAAGAACTTACCTACAGGTGCTCTCGAAACTCAACGGCAGAGGAGAGAAAAGCAGCCAGACGGTGCGCTCCCTCCCTCCCATTTTTCCCGCTCTCAAATACCATTTCAGAGAAGCCCACTTCGCTTGGGAATTCCCCCGCATCTGGGTGGCTGACAGATCCATCCGTGCGCGATCTGACGACAAAGCGCTGGTCGCTTTGTCTGTTTGTTCTATGTGACCGCTTCGACCGCCGATCTCAGCTAGGGCCGGGCTGGACATGTCAGGGACGTTCTCGGGATGGCGGCAGTATGTCTATGCGGTCCTGCTAGGTACGTGGTGAGCGCTTTGATTTTTGACGGTGGGAGGAGAGAGTCCCGCGGGATTTTGTGGGTGTTAGCGGCTTTGGAAGCCGTCGATATCAGAAGTTGTCACTACCTGTTTGCTAACGGATTTCTTGTCAAGCTGTTGAAGGTACGTTTCTAGTTTTTGCCGTGTGGTTGTTGTATCTTGATTGAACTAAGACGTAGCTTGCATGCATAGGTAAAATCATGAACGGAGGCTACATAATTAACACTAATTTTTTGTTATTTCTCCCAAGTCCAACGGGCCAAGCTCCCTCCCCAAATCATTCTATCGACCCTGCCCACTCCGCTCGTCCGTTTCTAGATCTCCGAATCACCAAACCGATCGCTGTCAAACAAATCACTCTCCTCGGTAATCACAAACAAGGCTGAATTAGCAATGGCGATCGACGCTGACCCTGCGCCCCACTGGGGTTTCCTGGGTGCATCGGGGGCCGTAGTGGTGGTGTCAACGCCGATCTGCTGCTGGGGTGTCTCCGGGCCAGCGCTGGGAAGGGCCAAAATCTCAGGAAGACATGGGGTGGCCTCGCGCGGCAACGCCGAGATCGCGGTGTTGGCCGTCTGCTGGGACTTGTGTGTAGAAGCTGCGGCACGGCTTCGAGGTGGGCGTGTGCCTTTGCAGGCTGCTTCGAGCTGTGCTTTGGCGGCTCGCTCGCTGCGGGCTCTGCTTCGTAGGTTGTAAGGCTTCGCTTGCTGAGTGGCGCGGGACTTGCTGCGCAGCCCGTAAGGTGCTCGGTGAGTCGGGGTGTTTGTCATAGCGTCGGCGGTGTTGGGCGACATGTAGACAGCCTGGGAATTTTGAGAGAGGGTTCGAACTCGAAGAAGCTGGTTCTTGTTGGATGGGGCTGCTGCGAGCAGAGGATTGTGTCGGTTGAATGTGCTATTTTGCTTATACTCTTTTAAAGCCCCTTAGCTCTTGTGGACGACTATGCTTTTACAATACAAACGGCTTGCATAGCGTACCACGCAATGTGCAGTGACAGACGCATTTACCTCGCCGCTTGGACTTGCGCTTTGACCTCGCCGTCATATTAATGGATTGGATCGCCGGATCGTCGGATCGCTGTCCCACGCCGTGCTCGACGCGGAGACAAATGGCACATCGACGAGGATCGGGGAGAGTTACCCCCATCGGCTTCGTTGTTTGTTCTCTATTCAGGGCAGCACCAGGTACGCGTATCTTCCAACTTGTCCAAGCCACTCGCGGGAAACCTCGCGATCGAGACACGCTTTTGCTTCATTTCGTCTGTTTCTATGATGCCATGTAGACACACGCACGCAGCCGAATCCAAGCTGTCGGTTTCGCCTTTGTTTGACTTATCGAGGTTTATGAAGGGCGGGGTAACGAGGGTCACTGCGACGTCGACATGTGGGTTGGACAGATGGCGGGCGACCTTGCCGCATTGTTTGGAGACGGTCAGCCATTGTTCGACCGTAAATTGATCCGCCGGCAGAGCGACGTGTTCCCCATAAAGGGTGGCAGACGCATGGATGATGTCAGGGCCGAGATAACCGACTGAATAGACGCTCGATAGGTAGCGATCAGGCGCCCAGGGGGTCCAAGCGTGCGAACGTGGTGTACTGTCATCCCCCGTGAGAATGTACACCACCGTCAGGATGTACAACTGTCTTTTGTGGCCGTTTCCCCCTCAAAATTCTCAAACTAAATTCATGATAATTATGATCCCATGCCATTCCATATCATCCTGAGTTGGATTGGCAAGGGGATGTCTAGAAATGAAGTAACATGGCTCAAAAGACAGAAAATGGGCTCTTTTGAAAATGTTTTGAGCTCGGGTCAATAACCAGCTGTGAAATAACCTCAAGTTGTGTACAAAAGAGTAATCATATATTGAGCTAACACCTTCCGCCACCACTGAAACAAAACTGGGCGCAACCAGAAGGCACAAGCTCTCAATATTTTGCACCGATGACAGAGTGTCCTCTCGAGGCTCACTATAATCTTATAGCCGCCGTATCGGCGAATCCGGCTCGCCAATGACGCCCTAATTTTCCTTTTATGGCTCGGCTACTGCTAATGCCCTGCCTAATATGGGCTAATTACCGATATCGGCTCCCACGCAGACTGTACAGTCTGACGGTGGTTGGTCCTAGGTTCTAAAATCAACTGATGCTCGTATAGTAGGGAATCCGTCCACTTTGGCGCTTCGTGGATTTTTTCAGTATTAGCTTGGGTCTCGGGAATGCTTCAAACCTTATTTTACAAGAAGGGCCTGCGAGGAAAATATTCCAGGACTTACGGAAATTTGGCTGTCTCTTCTGGCAGGGGATAACAGTATCGCTGCCTGCGAGACACATGTTCTTACAGAGAGGTCAGTGAGCACCGCCTTCACGCATTGCAGGCCACGAGGCGGAGCTGGTGCCGATGCGTGAGATAGGGTGCCGATTAGGGAAAAGATCGGAGGGAACACTTTGACTGTGAAGCGTCGGAAATCGGAATGGACGGAGTTAAAAGTACAGATCTAAAGTTGGGGTTGGGGGTGCCAGGAATATAACCCGGGCCCGTGCGTTCCGCGCCCATATCTTCCCCGTCTTCGATCCATTACCTCACCCGCATTCCATCCCCCACCCCATGGACCTCCTCGATCGTCTCTCCGCTAGACTCCGCAGTCTCATTGGTGGCACAGCCACTCCGGGGGCGGCGGCAAAGCTTGCGAATCCTAGCACCAACAAAGATCATTCCAAGGTAGCTGTCCATGCCTATAGCGAGTAGCAATTATCTCATCATTCATAGGTTAATCTGCCCTCGCCGAGAAAGAAATACCGGCCGAGAGCAGCTCGTCAAGCAGCTGCCACCCCATATGTCCCACCGGCCAAGCGCTCCATTGATAAGCAGACAGGCAGCAGTGGCAGTGGCAGCATCAGGAAGCACAACCCCTCTGCACTGCTTCGCGAGGACCGCGCCCGCTCCTTTGTGATAGAGCAGAAAAAGTCCCACAAGGCCCGTATCATCCAGCACCAGCCCGCACCCCAGCGTCTCCGCGCCACAAAGCGCACCCTCACCTTCCAGCCGACCGTCCTCGACCTCGATGACGCCCGCATGGGCGCTAGCGAGGAGACGAGCTCGGAGGGCGGCAGCGACGCATCGCACACCGTCCTCACCACCGTCCGCCTCTCCCCGCCCAAGCTCGAGCGGGCTCTCCAGGCGGCCCGCGAGCGCGCGGACGAGGCCGAGGAGCTCGCGCAGGAGGCCCTCAAGTTCGACGCGACGCGTTCCCGCGTCGCGGAGATCCGCCGCACTCGCGTGCTTGCGCAGTACGAGGCGCAGATCGCGCAGGAGGTTGAGGAGGCCGAGGAGCAGGGGCGCGCGGAGAGGGAGAGGGTGCTTAGGGAGGTCGCGGAGCGGCTCCGTGCGGAGGCGGATAGGATGAGGGAGGAGGTCGAGATGCGCGAGCGCGAGGAGATGCAGCGTATCCAGGACCAGGCGCGTATGCGCCGTGCCGCTTGGGAGTGGGAGCATCGTGCCTCTGAGCCTGTCAGGGGCGACGCGGCGGTATGGGGGGCGCTTGCCGAGTACGAGCACAAGTGGGGCGTGCTGCAGGAGCACGAGGACCAGGTTCCGGAGAGTGGTCTCACAGCGAACGAGTTCCCCTGGCCGGTATTCGAAGACCGGCCGACCGTCGACTCGTTCACTTTCGACAACGTCGGCAACTTTCTCTTTCACCGCTGGCGCACTGTGGCCCAGCAAGTGCCGCCAAGGGGGGTCGTTGGCCGCGAGTTGGGCAGGTATCACCCTGATAGGTTCGAGGCCTATGTTGGCAAGATCGCTAAGCAGGAGAGGGGGCTCGCGCGAACAATGGGCGGTGCGGTGGTAGAGGTGCTCTTGTCGATGCTGGCTCAGTTGGACGACGCCAGCTGATAGTACTTTGATAAGGTCATGCAGAAGAACGTAACTTTATACCGTATTGTATTGTAATACCCTTGTTGTTTGATAACCAATAGATAATTCTTGATACCAATCTTGGAATCAAAGTTCGTGAGCAAGTCGTTCAAACAAAGTCGGTACGAGATATAAAGCACAATCGCAAGGTGGGTTCTGGCTAGCTTGCACGATTCCTTGCAGCTCCCTTCGCCTCGCAAAGTGATAGCGGGTGTCAATTATCATCCCTATTAGCATCTCTGACCCTCAAACGTTCAACACGCATTTAGTCTATAAGCGAAAACAACCATCACCACCGCGCCCTTCCCCTACACCTCACACCTCACACCTCAAGCTGCGGCGCACCCACGCGCTCCCTCCTCGCCGCCAGCGCCTCCGCCGCCGCGCGCATCCGCTCCTCCTGCAGCTCGCGCGTCTCCTCCACGTCCCGCCTCACCGCCGCCTCGCGCGCACGGCGCCGCCGCCGGCTGAGGTGCGTCCAGTCCGCGTCCGCGCCGACGTCGGCGGGCGTCACGGGCCGCAGGCCGAGCTCGAGCGCTGAGTTGACCGAGCGGGTGGTGGCGGTGAGAGGGGGCGTGCGCAGTTTCCAGAGGTAGAGGGAGGCGGGCGGGGTGGGGGTGGGGGTGTGTTTGTTGTGTTTTTGTGGGTGCGACGGTGGGGACGGGTCGGCGCCGGCGGTGGTGAGCCCGGGTGTGAGTGGGAAGCGCGCGGCGAGCTCGGAAGCGGGGAGAACGCCCGCGCCGATCTTTGTGAGGAGGCCGCGGGAGGTGAGCGTGGGGAGGACGATCATCTGCAGCTCTCTGTGCAAAGGAAAGAAAGGGCGTTCAATACGCGAGGAACGCGGTAGAGCTGGTCCCAGTACTCACTTCTTCGTCCTCACGGGCCCCTTCTCGAAGTCCTTCGCGTCCGCCCGCTTCTGCGCCCGCGCCTGCCTGAACTCCTCCACCGAGCCTGGGCGCGGACCTGCCGCCGCGGTCTCTGCGTTGGTGCTGGGCGCGCGCAGAGACTCGTTCTCGGGCATGGCGCGGCGGTGCAGCAGCACCTGCTTGAAGATTTCGTCGGTGGAGAGCGCGACGGGGGACTCGGCGAGGATGGAGCGGACGAGCTTTGTCGCTTCGGCTGATACGGCGCGCATTGTGGGGGGCACTGGGGAGAATGGCGAGGGCAGGAGAGGCTTTGAGTGCGAGCGGGTGTGTTTTCGGTGCAAATTCCGCGGCGGGGCGCGACGCGCCGAGAACTGCTGAGGTCAGCAACTCCCGCGCCCATCGTTCCCGTCCGTGACTAGATAAGTCCAACATGAATAGATTCGATACACCACCTAGAGCAAGGAGGCCCATGTAACGCAAAATTAAGAAACGAGAAAGCACATCGTGCCAATCTCACCCATGCTACCTCCAGTTGATATTGCACAAGTAACCAATAACATCTCTAAACCGCGAGGACAGCATCTCGAAATCGACTATCTATCTCTAACCCTCTCCCAAGTCCGAATAGCCTCTCTAGCAAGCTCTTCCCCTCCTCCCTCACCACCCGCAGCCGGCGATCCCTCCCCTGAAGACGCTGAGGGCTTAACAAGCTGCGCATTCACCTGCTGATACAGCTCCACGAAAACTCGACAGTCATCGACGAGCGCCGCCGCCGGCGGGCCGCGCATGGCGCCCCTTAGCACCGCGAGCACCAGGCGCTCGCTCGTGCTGTCCTGCTGCACCAGGACGCCCAGGAGGACGGCGACGTAGCCGCGGAAGAAGTGCTGCTCGAGGGCGCGCGGGGAGTCTTCGTCCGCGTCTGATGGAGACGGACTCGGGGAGCGCGTCTGGGCGTGTAGATGTGCGAGGCCTTCGAGTAGCGTTGGCGGGCTGCGGCATGAGCAGCGGCGTACGCATGTGCGGGTGCCCGTGCAGTCGGTGCTTGAGCCTACAAGTGTCGGTTAGGCATTTGAAGGCTTAGAATATGAATATCGACGGGACTTACGGGTGTGGCGATACAGCGCTCGCGAGGCCGATCCTGAGGCCGTAACCCAGCGCATGCACGCGCCAAGCGCAAGACACAGGAGGTCAAAGAGCTCGGTGGATTCGCTCTCCAGCGGTGGCTCGTCGACCTCGACCCTCCCCTCGGTTTCCTGCGTTGCCTCGGAACCCGACTTGCTCCCGAGTTCCTCGGATGCGACAGCAGTCCACTGCTGTTGCACAAGAAGGGCCACGCGGACGACAAGGCCGACGAGCGTCGCGTCCTCGCTGAAGACGCCACACCACCCGTCATCGCGCAAGGAGAGAATCGTCATGAGACGCAGAGCGGCGGACAAGCACCGGGTTACTACGGCACTCGCGCGTCAGCACTTGAGCTAGCTGGGGTGGGGAAGGGACACACTCACCTGGATAACGCTCCTCTACCTCCGTCTCGTGATCGCGCAACACAATGGCGGCAAAGGCAATAATAGCACTGAGCTCTTTCGCAAATGCATCGCGGTCAGACACGCCGATGACCGTGCAATCAGCTCCCATAACAAGTGCGCCGAGAATATACATGCAATTGTCCGCATGTTCGACCGATGGAGCGCGAATCGCTGAGGCGTCGTCCTTTTCAGGCGCATACAGCGATCCACCGTGCTCATAGGCATCTAACCGAACGTCCACGAGCGCGAGCTCGCACCGTAAGCTGTCCAACACCACTGGAGCGATTAAAGCTGCTTCGTTGGCGAGTGTGCTTCTGGGTAAGGCGGCGAGCGCGCTGGAGATGAACAGGCGTGTTGAGACCTGTTCAGAGATAGATTCATGATTAACTTCGAAGGTCGGAAGGAGACTCATACAATGATACCTACCTGAGAGGCGGGTGCGAAGTGGGTCGGTTGATCCGATATGGCTGCAACAAGGGCACGAAGCTTAATAGAAGAGATGTCAGCCTATGGTATTGCCACAGAACGAGGTGTACGTACGGCGGTATACTGAGTTTTGCTCAGGCCCATGGCACGCGCAGACGCTGCGATCGATGATTTGCCATTCGAACGTCCTGTGTGTGCCCTGGCGAGGACGTCGTGTTCGGGCGTCAGACCGGACAAAATGCCGACTGCTAAACCTATGAAGCACTTGAGAACGGCAGGCTCGGCACGAACGAGAACATCGTGTGCTGCGAGAGATAAGAAGGCCGCTATGGTTGCGTCCAATACCTGGGTGAAGTATGAGGTCTTCTCTGTCTGACTATAGAATAGGAGAACTGTGACGCACCGTATCTGCTTCTGCTTCTCTGGCGGTAATGAACGCTGATAGCGCCCGCGTGGCGAACTCGGAGGCCCGGGCAACACGGGCGAATTGGGGATCGCATAATTTCCGCACGAGCTCGAGGGCACTATAATAACCACGAGTGGGAAACGAAGCATGCTGATAAAAACGGGTTCGACGCACCTCGATCTCCGCAACCCCGGTGCTGCCTCGGGCCCTAGCCCTTCGAACAGATACCCCACCTCGTCTGAGAACCTCCTCCGCTCCCCCTTACTCCGCAGTTCGGTGATGCTTTTCAGATCGTTCCACAGGCCCGAGTCCGCCGCTGCGCTCTGCGCGAGGTCCGTCGCCGAAATCGACGCAGGCCCAAGACCAAACCCGGACCCAGACCCGGAAGTCGATCGCGCGAGCTTCTTCGACGGCGATCCCGGCACCGTAGAGCTGCCCTTGAACGTCGAAGTACTCGCCACGAACGGTTCATCCGGTTCATCGACGCCCCACCGTGCCCGCAGCTCCGTGTACGACGCGCCCACTTCCAGATCCTCCGCTCCGCCGCCTATGCCGCCACCCACGCTGCCCCGCCCGAGTGCATCCTCTGCGGGTATCGCGAGCAGGAACGACCGTGCGCCGCCGTAGGTGCGCATGCCCGATGTGGACGGTTTCGAGGGCGATGGGCCGGAAGGGGCGATGTCCAGAGCCGACGTCGACGGGTTCTTGCCAGGTGACGGGCGGGACGGGGACGCGGTCACGGATGCTGTCTCTCCCATCGTGCGCGAGCGTGGAGGTGTCTTGGGTTCTTTGCTGGCCGCCTGGGAGATGTTCGCTGGCTCGGTTTGCGTCCGGGCAAGCATGCGTCTGACTACGCCACCCCGGCTACGGCTGGCGGGCTTTTCTACCGGCGTTGAAGTTACAGCTGGTTTCGAGGGTGATGTTGAACTCGACGGCCTGGAGGGCTGCCGACGTGCGGAGGTCTCCTTTGCCAATGAGTTTGAAGTGGGTGGATGGGGATCACGAAACGACTTAGCGGGTCCGGTCTCCGTTAGAGACAGAGTGGAAAGATCGCGTTGTATGGGGTGAGACGCCGATGGGGGTGGGGAAGGCGATTGGCGGGAGCTACGGAGGCCTGAACGCGTGGACGGTGATGGATGTTGCGGTACATTTGGGCGGGAAGGAGAGACAATCTCGACATTGGGCTTACGTCGTTTCCGAGTGTGTCTTGGAAGCGTCCCGGTGTCCGTCCCGCCACTCCGTTCCGGGCCAACCAAGGCGTCTTCAGGTTCGGTGTCTGAGCCTCTAGCTACGACACGTTTTGAGCCATGGTCAACGTCGCTGCTTATACTGGGACTTGAGGCCTTCTGGCGGACCTCTCGAATCGATCGTTTGCGCCCATAGGTGCGCTGCATTGTGAAGGCGGGCTGTGTTGGAGTAATGGTGTCTACCTCGGTCTGTTAAGTTCTGCGAGGACCATGCGCATTAGCGAGCATAGCAGTACATCAGGCGTGAGGAACATACAGCGATAACTCAAGTATCTGAGCGCATTAGAGGGGATGGAAAGAGCGGGACGGGCGTTGGCAAGGACATGTCGGACTTGTGTCGGACAACCCGACGCGACTTCCCGCGCGTCCCGCTAAAGCCTTCGGGCCGTGAGAAATTGCCCGTTAGAGGCGCTCAACACTTTTCCTCTCTCCAGCAAGTCTCCAGCACCGCTCAGTGTCAGTGAGGCTTGAGTGAGGCTTGAAATAGGTAAGGTGCGGGCTCATCCGCTGCGGAAGTTGATCTCGTAAGCAGATATAGTAACGATGAACGGCCATTGCGTACATGTGTCCAAGTGGATTACGCTATCTGACTTGAACTAGTTGCTCGATCATATGTCTTGTGAGTCTGACAAAGATACTATCAACAACTTGATCAGTAGCGGAAACACCATCCATACTCCTCTGATATAAACTCAACGACACCGCAATACGTACTGCAAGGGTCGCCGCGAACACCAATGCTAAGCTCAGCACGCTGTTCCCGGTGTGGAAGACGACCAGCGCAGTGATGGCGATCGACTCAAGAACAGAACATCACGCATACAAATAGGCGAATGTGAAGGTCCACGTTCGGGGCCTGACGCAATCTGCATTATGATCCAAATCAAAGCCTTTGTACTTCTTCGTCATCCCCTATGCAAATTGATCATCTTCCCAGCAGCAAGTGGCGGTGACTTGATGGTGTTTACTCATTGTAATGACGTCCCGCAGTCTGTTATATGGATGACACTCCATAAATGATATCACCATGCAACCACCAGGTACCACCTATACTTACCACCCTGTTCGCGCAACCATTCATGTTGACATGTATCGCCACGTTTGGTCGGCTGTCTTCCGTAACAAGTCGATCAGCTGAGCTTGAGCTGAGCAACGTCTTGACTAACTTTCCTTTTCCGCAGCTTTCATAGAGGTAACGGTATTCACAAGTTTACCGACTAGGTAGTACGTAGCCTTTAAATATGGGCTCAAGTACTCGTCCCTGCCAACCCAAGCGACTGTACCAGATACCAGTCCAATTCTTTACCGACTATGTCACAGAAAGCTCTTTTCCTCAAGTCCAAGCAAGGCGATTTCGAACTCGGGACCAGGAACGTCCCGAGGCCAGGTCCCGGCGAGGTCCTCGTCAAGTCGTACGCGGTGGCGTTGAACCCTGTCGAATGGAAGATCCAGGCAATAGGGCTCTTCTTCAATGACTCCGATTATCCCGTGGTCCTTGGGGAAGATATCGCAGGTGTTGTGGAGGAGGTAGGGGAGGGCGTCACTAGGGTGTCTAAGGGCGACAGGGTGTACGTATCGTTATACCATTTCCATATTATTTGACATACACATTAATTTTTGGTATTCAGCTGCTCTCGAAGCACCAGCCATGGAAAGGGTCCAGACTATGCTGGATACCAACAGTACACGATTGCTGACGTGAACTTTCTAACCAAGGCATGTGTCTTGGATCGCGTTTTTATGCCATAGATAACTGACGAGTGACAAATCATAGATTCCCGACTCTATGACTTTCGACGAGGCGTCGTCTATCCCAGCATGCTTAGACACCGCTTCTATTGGTCTATTTGGATCGAAAGATAGCAAGTTGGAGTTTCCCGACAAGGCAGGCGCATACAAGGGCCAGGCTATCTTCGTGCTTGGCGGCTCTTCCTCTGTTGGTCTTTACGGTGCGTTGGGGACTCGCGTTTATTTAAGAACCGATCAATATTGACCCGGGTTTTAGTCATCCAGCTTGCTCGTCTCGCCGGCTTCTCCACCATCATCGCGACCTCGTCCCTCAAGCACGAGGGCTACCTGCAGTCCCTCGGAGCCACCCACGTCATCGACAGGCACCTTTCTCCGGACGATATTGCTGCCCACGTCAAGACAATCACCTCCGATCCGATCAAGGTTGTCTACGACACCATTTCCGAGGCGGACACCCAGAAGACGGCATGGTCTATGCTTGCACCCGGCGGCCACCTTGTGTTGACCCTCTGGTCAACGATCCAGCCTGAAGCAGGCGATACCCGTACATTCAAGATGGTATCTGGCAATCCTTTCCCGGAGGAAAACTACGAGTTCAGCAAGAAGTGGTGGGCTCAGCTGCCTGAGTGGATCAACGAAGGGAAGATCAAGGTACGCCTGTCGCTTTTATCCTTAGAGTCAGAATTATTGATTGACTTCCGTTACAGCCGAATAGGGTAGAAGTACTCCCCGGAGGTCTTGATGGTGTGGTTGGTGGCCTTGAACGTTTGAAGGCCAACAAGGTCAGCGGTGTAAAGTTGGTGGTGCGCCCTTTTGAGGGGGCTTAAATAGCAGCAGTCTTATATAGAGCGTATTAATCCAACCGCCCACGAGAAATTTGTGAAAGAAGAATATAACTGTAGACACACCGTAGGATAATGGTTGACTGTGACCGTCGAGGATGACATGTGAGCACGAACTATTAGTACTAGTATGTCATCTACGAGGTGCCTTCAGAGGACTAGTCTTTCGGAAATATTGAGAAGCTCAAGGTCTCACCAGTGAGTAGGCCGTCCACATAATGTGTCATTGTGTGTAAAACCAAGCCTGTGGTAACGGCTAAACGCATTTCATTCAAGTTCAGAACCTCACAATGCATCTATGTTGTCCGTTCCAATTGGAAATAGAAAGCCCAGTGGCCTGGTGAAGCAAAGAATGTTTGCTTTAACGGGCATCTATCATAATGGGTTGGCGATTCTCGATGTCGTCTCACGTGTGACCTCTTTATTTTGCAGCTGGCGCGTTGCAAACGATAGGCCGAAAGGTTCGATGCTCATGTCATTGACAAGAAGGGAATGCTGAACACAAACATTGTTTTGGAATGGCTACAGTTAATGCTACACCCGTAGTACAACTGTGCAGCTCCCAGATAACCAAGGCTGAAACGACCACCAAAGTCCCATAAAGAAATGAATTTACATCGATACAACTAATTGGAGGTGGCATCGGTGTTGGCGGTCTTAGCGATACCGAACTGGGAGTTGGTGGTATCGTAGACCGAGTAGTAGCGCTCGCTGTTAGAGAGCTTGGTCAGAGATGGAGATATCAGAAATTGGGGAGGATGAAACCCACAGGAACGAGTATCCGTCGATGAAGTCGAGACCCTGGCCAGACTCGGTTCCGATGTCGGCCACGATGAGATAGATCGAGTTGGCGTCGCCGCCGATCTGGGTGTTCAGAGAGCGAGGGAAGATCTGCGCGTTCGCGGTGAGCGGGTAATCTGTGCCGCCAATGTTGAAGTTGAGGTCCTGGAGTTTGCTGTACTGGGCGCTGGTAATTTTCAGCAGGCCGGTGGCGGAGTCAGCCTTCGCACCCGTCGCCTCCTGGTACTTCTGGAACGCGTCGGACGCGATGAGGACAAGGGTCGTGCCGGTGTCGACGATGCCGGCGGTCGAGTCGAGGATCGTCTGCGAGCCGTAGGTGATGGACTGGTCGATGCCCCAGTAGTACGACGCGGGGGATGTGGACGTGAGCGGGACGTAGGCGACGTCCGAGGTCGTCTTGGAGCTGTCGGGGCCGCCGAAACTAAGCTCCCCGGTCGAGTCGTCCCCCGCGGCAGGGGCGAAATAGATGCCGATTGACTCGGTGCTGATCGTGCCCTGAGAGTAGAGGTTGTCGGTCACAGTGGGAACGGAGTCGGTGCTGGAGACGGTGCCCTGGGTGAGGTCGACGGGGCCAATACCGAGGATCCCGTCGACGCCCTGGAAGCCCTGAGCGGAAGAAGAGACACCGATGGACTGTTTCTTGATGACGAGACCGTCACCGAGAGTAACGGTGTCGGTGTACTCCTCTCCAGAGAAGGAGCCAGATCCGTAACTGACGCTCTACCGACTAGGGTGAGTTACAGCTCGAGGCTCAGAGAAGAGAGAGGACGTACGACGGTGTTACCGGTGTCCGAGGAGGAGGACGTAGGACTGTACGCGGTGTCGGCTCCGAGCCAGGTGTTCGACGACCCAGTATCAATCAAGAGGTTATCTGGGGCGAAGTAACGTGTTAGTCCCACTTGGTGAAGAGGATATGTAGCAATATGACGCACATTGGGTAGCGGGCGAACCGACACCAACGCTGGCAGTATATGTGACCACGGCATTCGTGATGCTGACAGTACCGTCGCGCTTGGCGTGGCCGGAAGCCTTGAGGGAGGAAGCACGGGCACGGTCAATATCGGCGATAGTCTGGCCCTTGTCGAGCTGCTTGAAGCGGGTGGCAAAGGAGAGCGAGGCTTTGGACTCGCGCTTGACAGGCGAGGCGGAGGCCGCGGTCGCGAGAATGCAGAGGGAGAGGAGGGCCTTGGAGGGGAACATCGCGATGGTGACAGAGGGCTGGTTGGAGGCTGGGATGATACAGAAGAGGCGGGCTCTTGGTGATGGGGAGTCTGGAGAAAGGCGAGCTATCTTTTATACGCTTGCTCATGTCCCCAATCTAAGGATTTAGGTCGAATGGGACACACGCCTGCGTACGGTACAGCTGCCTGTCCTTGTGCGAAGGCTGATAGAAGTCTGGTGGTAGCATGGAAACATATACGTCAGAACACGCCAGAAGCTTCAGCATTGACGAGGTCCAGGACAAAGTTGAGCACATGATTGTGTCGCCCACGCGGAGAGTCCTATAGTCTGGCCAAGACGATTGTTGATCTGGCTTGGCCTTTCAGTGTCGGCCAGTTCCTTGGGATGCTATCCCTGCATAATAGATCTAGCAGAGAATGTCGGGTAAAAGCACGTGTGTGTAAGCTCATCTCGTGTTGAGTCCCCAACGATCTTGCCCGTCCAACGATGTTTAGTCCATGCGTCTAGGAACAAGAAGCAGCCCCGCAGGATTTTGAGGTCCCGGAGAAGGGCTTCGCGAGCTTTCCAGCGGCGATGACGCACCACGTAGCCCGATGATGCGTGAGGTAGGCAGGGATGAACGTTCGCAGGGTGGGCCGTCAGAGATAAGACCTGCGTGGACGCTGGGACGCACGGATTCAAGACAGTAGTGCCTCCTTGTCCTAAAATATTGTACACAGCGTCATGGTGCAAGGATGTTTTTGCAAGATGTGTCTGCAGTCGTTGAATACTTAGCCTGCTGGAGCAGCTTGATGGTTCTTTGGAGTAAGCGAGCGATTCAAGGACTTGAGGTACAAGTTTAGAGTCTCAGTGTTAGAGCAGCAAGGGTCCAGATGTCCAAGAATTGGAGGTGGCAAGGCACGAACATTTGAGTTGGGATCTGAATCCACCAAGCATTCAATTCAGTTTACAAACCGACGCTGTGAATCAATTGCCGCTTTGGGAGCGTTGAGGTCTTGCGACTGCTCACGCCACCAAGTTCGTTCTTGTCACCTTTGGTCACTTTGAACAGGGCAGTTCGTCAATGACGAATCATAAAACTTCAGGCCGTACATGATAGCATGTTGCGCAACTCGTGTAGCTTTCAGCATCAGATTTTTGCTGAGTATTTGTCGATGGATGTCGATGGCGAACAAGGAAGCGGCAGTGTACAATCGAGCCAAGCTTTTCGAGGACGTGTCAGGAACTGCCAGGAACGAACAGAAGAACCAAGACATCTCTGGCGCTGCACAGCTAGCGGACCAATGGGGAGCTTTGGCTTAGATTACTCTATGCATTTCTCGAAACGAACTTGCAGAGGAAGTTAGGTTAGAAGCGAACCAAGAATCAGCTTTCAAGGTCAATTTCCCACGCATTCATTGTCAAGAACAACGATAGCTCGTTCTCATCCTAGATGTGTTCTGGCTTGGGATTTTTAATATGGTTCCGTCATGACCCGGTACTCAAGTAGAGACTTATATGATTGATAGGTAATGAGCTTGAACCCGTATACGGAGGCCATGTATAGTATGGTACTTCGCAAGTGACCACGATCACGAGTAATCCAAGAAGAAGTGGCGACGTCCTGCCAGTACTAGTGTACCCATAGATTAGTTGTCAGAATGATGAGTCTCGCTAATATCATGTGTGTGATAGCTACAACACTTGATGGAGTGAACTCAAGTTTCAAAACGGGTGCATCTTCGCATACATTGCGGAAGAAATTGTCCACTAACGAAATGCTTATAAGGGAACTAAAGCTAATGCTACACCTGTAGTACAGCTACGTAGCCCACGGATAACCGGGCTGAAATGATTACCAAGTACCCGAAAAAAGATATGAATTCACTCTGACTTTATTAGCTGGAAGTGGCATCGGTGTTGGTAGTCTTGGCGATTCCAAACTGCTTGTTGGTGGTATCGTAGACTGAATAGCGTTCACTAGGGACAGATTTCGTTAGATATCAACACAATGCATATCGAAGAGGATAAAGCTCACAGGAATGAGTATCCGTTGATGAAGTCGAGACCCTGACCAGACTCGGTTCCCAGGTCAGCAACAATGAGGTAGATCGAGTCGGCATCGCCGCCGATTTGGCTGTTCAGAGAGCGGGGGAAGATCTGCGCATTCGCGGTGAGGGGGTAGTTCGTGCCGCCGATGTTGAAGTTGAGGTCCTGGAGTTTGTTGTATTGGTCGTTCGTGATCTTCAGCAGGCCGGTGGCGGAGTCGGTCTGCGCGCCGGTGTACTAGGAGTACTTCAGGAACGCGTCGGTGTCGAGGAGAACTAGGGTAGTTCCGGTGTCGACAATGCCTGTAGTCGAGCCGAGGATCGTCTGCGATCCATAGGAGACGAATCGGTCAATGCCCCAGTAGTGCGACGCGGGGGAGGTGAGCGTGAGCGGGACGTAGGCGACGTCCGAGGTCGTCTTGGAGCTGTCGGGGCCGCCGAAGCTGAGCTCGCCTGACGAGTCATCGCTCGCGGCAGGGGCAAAGTAGATGCCGACTGCGTCGGTGCTGATCGTTCCCTGGGATTGGAGGTTTTCGGTCACGGTAACTACGATGTCAAGTTTGTTCAAGGTTCCCTGGGTGAGGGCGAATGGACCAATGCCAAGGATACCGTCGACGCCCTGGAAGCCCTGAGAGGTAGAAGCAACGCCGATAGACTGGCTCTTGATGACGAGACCCTCACTGAGGGTAACGGTGTCAGTGTATTCCTCGCCGGAGAAGGACCCAGAGCCATAAGTGACGTTCTACAAGATGAGATTGACTGTAGTGTGGAAATTAAGTAGGGAAGAAAGCGTACGACAGTGTTGCCGGAATCCATGGAGGAAGAAGTGGGGTTGTACGTGGTAGAAGCACCGATCCAGGTGTTCGCTGACCCAGTATCAATCAAGAGATTGTCTACGAAGATGACGTTATGCAACATGATAAGTTGGCTCCTTGTAGAGAAGAAGGGCGAGATTGTGACTCACACTGAGTAGCGGGCTCGCCAACACCAACGCTGGCAGTGTAGCTGATTGCAGCATTAGTAACGCTGACGGTGCCGTCGCGCTTTCTGTGGCCTGTTGCCTTGAGAGAGGCAGCACGGGCCCGGTCGATGTCAGGGAGTGTTTGACCATTATCGAGCTTCTGAAGGCGGGTCGCAAAGGAGAGCGAGAACTTGGGCTCGCGCTTCATAGGCGATGCTACAACAGCGCTTGCGATCAGGCAGAGGGAGAGGAGGGCATTGGTGGGGAACATAGTAACAGTCGATTGAAGAGAGCCGACCGGGGACTGGTGTAACACGGAAGAGATGGACTCTTGGTTGTGAGCTTGTCCGAAAGAAGGCCGTGTACCCTTTATACGGGTTCTCGAGTCCTAAGTTTGAGGGTCTCGTCGAATGAGGCACGCGCTGGTGTATGGCACAGCTGTCCGTCCTCGTGCGAGGCTCGACCTCGAGAGAAGATTGGTAGCGGCATGGAAACACATACGTCGGGAATCGTCAGAATATTCAGTTTTGACGCGGTCCGGTATAGAGTCCAGCAGCTGATTTGCGTTGCCCATGCGGAGAATCTCGTATTCCGACGGAGTGGGGAAGGCTGGGGCAGAGTATGATCGAGATAACCAGCAGTTTTGCATGTCCTTTTGGCGCTGATGGGTCAAGTAGAGTGCGGCGATCCTGAACAAAGCACGCGTGGATGTAAGTTTATTTGCTACCAGGTCAACAATTACCTCGTCATCCTGCGGTGTGTAGTCTCGAAGAAATGTGAAATCCCAGAGAACGGTTTGTAAGTGCTCCAGCAGCGAGGTAGGAGCAGATATTGCTGAGCGGTGGACTAGGGAGGATCGGACTGAACCTTGAGGCCTTGAGGAAGGCACGATGCGTAGTTTAGGGCCGGCATGGCCAGCGTAGTCGGTACATAGCGTGTTCGCGCGTGTCAGTAGTCACTCATCCCAGCTATACAAGGTGTCTCGTCGTCGTCTTCTCCAGGAGTACCCACTCCATCGGGTGATCATCTGTAGCCATGGTCAGAGATAAAAGTTGCACACCCTTGGGGATGTTCGGAAAGACGGTGGTACCTGAAAGTCATGCATGGCATCCGCGTCATGATGCAAGGAGTTTCTGCTAGCCATCGCTGACAACGGCTCAGTAGAGCTCACCGAGACAGCCTCATGCTTCTTTCGAGCAAGCGAGTGCTTCGAGAACGTGAGGGACCGGGCTGGCTGGGAGAAGGGCTGGCCAGAAGGACATGTCGGGATCAAGCAACTGCCATCGTCGAGATCAAGCAAGTGTCAAGCAAGTGTTCGATTCAACTAGACACTGTGAATCAATTGCTGCTTTTGAATGCTTCAAGCCCCTTCGGGCCCCCGCTAGCCCTCGTCCGCATGACTGCTGAGGCGATCAACTTGATTCATGCCACCTATGATCCAAGTCATCAGTCTGTCTATGACGATCATAAAACTTGTAGTGGACGATAGCGTATCGCGCATTAGCTTTCAGCATTAGATCTCCAACGAGGTTTTACTTGGTTTTACCCATGGATGTAGATGGCGACAAAGGAGGCAGTAGTAAACATCTTGAGCCATTCTTTTCAATTGAAGGACGTATCAGGAACGGACATTCGAAGACGATATCGAGACGACATTATCTTCTTCTTGGTTGAAGATACTCTATGCAGCTCTCACAACGTGTCCCGTTGAATTGAACTCGGCACTCGAACCCTGCCGTTTCTTTGCGCCAAAGCATCTTACTCGACAGCGACCTGTTCGCTCTCTACAACGGCCAGCATCACCTCGTCCACGTCCTCCCCCTCCTCAGCTTGCGTATCGACGAAGCTCTGTTCGATCGCGGGCAGGTATGCATTCGCCTTCCACATGTCTCCGATGCGAATGGTGCCGTGGTCAAATGCAAGCGCGAGTACTGGCGTCGACGCAGCATGGCCTAAAACAGAGGGTGGCATCTTGGGATAGCGCGCGGAGAAATGTGTGAGGAGCGTGTTACGCGCGTTCATCCTGCGTGCCGGTTAGAACATTCCGCGCTGTAGCCGGGGACAGGCAAATGAAGTGATTGTAACCGACCTTTCACCGACCGCGACGGCCTGTCCGAACGTGCTGTGCATCTTCGCGCGGGCCATCTCCTCCTGGTCGTCCGCCAGCGTCGCCTCGTGGATCAGGAGCGTGGCATTCTGTCCTACCTCGACTAGGTTCTCGGTTGGGACCGTGTCGCCTGAGTAGACGATGCTCCAGCCATCGTTGTGTTCGATGACGACGCCGTGGCACCATGCGCGGTGGTCGACTTCGACGGTGGAGATCCGCCTCAGGCCAAGGGATTTGCACACCGCCTCAGCGGGGTCCACCCTTTAAATTTGAGGGTAGATGAGGATGCATGCCTATGAGGCCAGTCAAATGAGACGAACCAGTACGGGGGTGGTGGTTCAAGCTTCTGACATATGTTGTCGCTGTACACGGGTATCACGCCGTTCGGGCGTTCGTAGAGGCCGAGGGACTCGAGCTCGGAGTACTCGCGTAGGTATTGCACGATGTTGCCGTTTGCCACCATGTATAATGGGCCTGGTGCTGGCGGTTCCATCTGACCTCATGTCAGCACTTTCCTATGCGACAAGGGAGAGAAAGGAAGACACACCTGCTGCCGCATCGCAAGCAGCTTCGCAACGCCAATGTGATGGTCGCCGTGCATATGGCTGAGAAAGAGGCATCGCAGATTGCGTAGAACGTCCCAGACGTTGTTTGGCGTCTCTTGGGACGTACCAAAGGCACGCGCTAGCTGACCCCAGGTGCCCTCGCCACAGTCGAGGAGCATATAGCCGTGGTCCGGAATAGAGATGAGCGTGCCAGAAACTGTGAGGCCGTTTGAGTCAGCTATGTTGCTACGACTAGCCACTGTTGTAGCTAAGTCACACTTACCGTTGCGATATTTGTTCGGAATCGCACTCCCTGTCCCAAGCGAGGTGATGACGACGTCGTCTCCGGGGGCTTTCGGAGGCACCGCACCGCTAGTGATCCTTTCTTGGATAAGGGCACGGGCTTCCTGGAACTTTGCTTGTGTCGCATCGGACAGGGTGAACGTCCCTGAGGTTACGGCAGGATGGAATAAGTCGTGCTCTTGCGCGCTTTCCTCCTGTACGGGTGGCTCTGGCGGTCGAATATTGATCAGTGTGTTGGCTAGCATGGGTTGAACGTTGTCAGGTAAGTTAGGGATATCTGTTTGCGTCACGGTCTGAGACTAGTTCGGTGAGGGGATGACGTTGGCGTACCTTTAAGGTTCCGACGGGACCCTAAGGAGTACTTCTGCACGGGGAACATGGAACTGTCGAGATGGCTCAGCCGGAGCTGGTTCAAGGCTGCGCTGGTGAACGAAATGGGGTCCGCGCAATGTTCTCGAGAGGCAACTAGGTGCTGGAGCAAAATCGTCATGATGTTCGATGAGCGCGCAAAGAACGCACTCACATGCACGTCTGGTGAGAACCCACGAATGAAGGACTTGTATTCTTCGTTCTCTAGAACGCCGTCGCCGCACGAGTGGAAGACGGTCCGAACAACGTGGTCATCGTGATTCCCTTCCACGGAACGATACTTGGCGAATGGGCCAGATGTGAATGACTCCAGGAGATCGGGAATGTAGTCGATGCTCGGCACGTCGAGGAGCAGCACTATCTACTAGGGGTAAGTGACACACATGGGTATGATGGGCATTCGGTACGCACCCCTGCACTCTCGCTCTCTCCGACGCATTCTTCTGGCCGAATCACGCGCTCAATCTTCTTTCCCGCCCCGTCGTCGACTGTTACCGTAACGCTCTCGCCCTTGGTCAGCTTTCCCCGCTGAGAACCTTTGATCCCTAGCTCTTCAGCTTTCTTGACATCAAACTTGCCACGGACCCGCGGGCCTACAACGGCATACGCTAGACATGGGCGCCGACGAAGATCTTTCGAACCCGAAAAATCTGGATCAAGAGGAGGCAAAGGCGAACTGTACCCGGGAAATGGGATTGGCCTGCGGTGCTCTGGCGGAGGCGCTGGAGGCTGATTTGGATCTGGAGCGGGAACCGAGTCAGGGGCAGAGGCAGGGACTGGTGGCTTCTGCTTTTTCTTCTTCTTAGTATCGGGATCTGGGACCGGGAAGGGCTTGGGGAACATCTTCTGGACGAGGACTGTGCGCCATGCTTGAGCAACGTCGCCATAGAGGTGGCTTGCGTTGAAGTTGCCGTTTTTCATCATGGACTGGAGGCGGTCCGTGGCATTGAAGGGGGAGGATTGGGCATCTAAGTGGCGGTAAGGAGGGGAACACCCGTGAGGACGGGAAACGCATACCCGGGGAAAGGGCTAGGCGCTTCGCCGGGCGAGTAGGCGAGGGAGAGTGCTTGCGCTTCGAGGATGGTTCCGTTACGGGTCTCACTGCTTCAGCTTGACGGGGCATGATGGGCACCGCATATACTGAGATGTTTTCATCTTTGTATATGGGTTCCATGGAGCTGGAGGGGTCATCACGACGCGCCAAGGAAACTTCGGTGGGTTTGACCGCCATCGAATCTCTGTGGATCGGATTCGTGTGGAAGTCATAGTAGGATAGTTAAACCCACGCACCGTGCCGTGTACCTCCGCATCGACGCTATTGCATGGAGCAAACCCGAGGGACCGACCACGTTCACGTCGGAGAGGCTGGAGTCTGCAAAAGTCATCAAGAGACCTATGTTGCGAGATTAACGCGTCAACATCGTAGAGCAGTATGATGAACTCACCTGGAAGACCGCTTGCCCGACGTGTACTGACAGAGGAGAGGAAGATGCCTCTGGTCTTGCGCCAGTTGCGTCTACTCTGGAGGAAAACCCTGGTCGTGTTCTCGCCGACATTGAAGAGATACTTTGCGGAGTCGAAGGTGATGATCACGCTCGGTTCTGTGTCGGATGAGACAGTGCTGAGAACAGAAGCGGACCAACGCATGTTGTCGGAGTTGCGGACGGAGGAGGTATGTACAGTGCGGAAGGGGGTGCGGGTAAAATTACAGAGGGAGCGACATATCCAGCTGGCCAGAATGATTGGGTGCTTTATAGCGTTTGTCAGTTGTGCTTGAGGCTGCTGTGCATGTTTAGTGAGTGGACAAGTGGATGAACTGACTCGAGACTTACAAACTATCAAGCAATCGAGTCAGTAAAAATCAAGCAGCCTTTGAAATCGAAGTCCTCTGACTGGACTCACGTTTTAGGGTTAGGGTCAGATAGGGGCATTAACTGACATGTTTACCCGAGCACGAGGCTCATTGTCTTTCAACCTCTTTCGTTTTCCTCAACTTCAGCTATGGGTGCAGACAGAAAGTCCACGTTCAAGACTCCTCCTACTGCTATCACAGACAAACTACTATCTCAAGAAGCAAGACGCGTCAAGGTTAGAGATCCTGCACCTTCACTAGAGATATGGTGATCTAAAAGCCACATACTCGAGTAGGCTCTTGACGAACAGAAACGTGTGTGTAGCAATACACTAGCAATTCAACAAGCTCTTTGACACTATGATACTATAGAGGCGCGCTCAACGCGTAGACTCTTCACGCCACTTGGACGCATTCGCAGACCTCACCCTTGGCCCGTCAGATGACGAGCTAGAGGGCGACGAATCCAAGGTCCTAAGAGAACCACTGTCCGATTATGCTAAACTACTCACGGATGATTCAACGCGCTCAATGGAGTCAGCCTCTATTGCACCGTCGGAAGCAAGCTCGACCAATAGCAACCGGAAGCGCAAGCAGCGCCGGAAGAAGACCAAGAACCAACAGTCCAAGTGGGCCGATCGATGCATGTATGCGGAGCTTCTTGAGCTTAAGGATGATAATACGTGGGAAAGCATAGAAGGGGAGGAGTCGGAGGAGACGCTGGATGGGCTGCCGAGGGATTTAGAGGGAGGCTGGGTGGCCGTTGCACCCGTGCCAGTTGGGAAGAGGTGTCTGGCGATCACGCATCAGTCGACAGGTGTTGTGGGCACTAGTGAGTTCATGAACCTATGCGTATGTCACATCATTTGACTGCTTCTGAAGACCCGAACACTGCACTTCGGTCACGCTTGCTCGGGAAGATGCTAATCCCAAGATTTCCCTCAGCTCTTCCACCTTTGACAGTGATCGACTGTATCCTCGACCCACAATGGAGAGATAACGGAATCATACATGTTCTTGATGTCATCAAGTGGAAAGGTCAGGATGTAGGGGATTGCGAGACACCCTTCAGGCGCGTACATCCCATCGATCGTCCGGCTCAAACTGACTGCATTATAGATTTTGGTGGCGAGACATGCGTCTCGCGGAGCTGCCAAAGTATCCGCCCCCATCGAGCGCCAAACACAGTTTCACTTTCGGCCTCAATTCCATGGGTTCTGCTAACGGCTCGAGCTCATCTGTTAATCCACTGGCGGCTGACCCAGATCAATACCGCTTCCCTTACCCCACGACCTTCGTCCCAGTCCCATACCATATAGACACCACCCTCCCCGCGCTCTCGTCGGTAGTAATACCGTCCGCCCGTCTTGCGCGCCAAGTTGTCGTTGACATTCCATCCATCTCTCACGTGCCAAGGGCGACGGAGCAGGAAGCACCGATGGACCTGGATGCACGCGCCGGGACAGGGACGGTGCTACCCGTACATCTCACGAACCCCGTTGCGGTCAGTATACAGCCAGACGGACTGCTTCTGTACGTGGCGCGGGCGAGCTATGAGCCCGGGCTGAGTCCGCTGAGCTGCTGGGTGCCGAACCGGGCGGAGGAGGACGCGAGGAGTATGCAGTCGAGTTTGATGGGAGAGATCAGCTCGCCACTGGAGCTGTTCGAGAGGCGAGTGTATTCCACGGGTTGGTTGTGCTGTTCACACTGACGGTTCATGGCTTCCAGATTGGTCAGGCGCCGTATGACGAGAGGTCATGTTGCAGGACAAGATACAATGGAAATGTAACTAACGTCTAATCTATGCTGAAATGAAGAAGCCTCTTACTCGAACGAAAACCGACCCTATAAGATGGGGTTCCAATCAACAGACCGGACACGTAAGTTAGTAAGCTCACACGTACCCGTAGGTATCGGCCGTATACCTGCACTGCAGGCACAGTTAAAATGGCAAGTCCAACAACGACGCTGATAGCATGTCAATCTCTTGGAGCGCTGCTCTAGATGGTTTGAAACACGCACGCTCCTTCAACGCTTAGCGTCTGCATTGCGCCGCTCTTGTTTGCCCAAGGTACTTGATAGAATGCGACGCTAAACCCTGCAGGGCGATAAGCTTCATCTTATCTGTAATGCTCTTCACGACCTACCTCCAAGTGTTCGTAAGAGGTTGATTAGGGCACTGATTTCACCCTAGGAGCATTTACGGTCAGCGTTTCGAACAGTGCGTAACCATTCTTTTGGTTTATGCCCACCTGCTGACGGGGAAAGCAGTCGTTGCAGTATGCGACTGTGTTAACTGTAAGTGATGATTCTCATGCATACAGGTAATTGAGCTTACAGATCGCCACGGTGTTGATCATGACCGCTATCTCAGCGATGCCCCATCCCAAGATTACAGCGGCCGGGTTGAGCTGCTTTAGACCGAAGCCAAGGACGACGAAGCCGCAGATGTAGAATGGCATTGCAACGTAACATGTCCTATGCGTTGCATGCCGTACCACGCTGGATTAGCTTATATTATAGGACACGCGCTGGCAATGGAGGCGCACCAGAGTCGGCTCTCGGCCTCGAAGACACCTTTATTTCGCTTGATAGTAGTTCTAAGGATCCAGTCGTTCAGGTAACGGCCCATGATCTCGCCCAGTATCACACTGATCTACGGTAGGCATCCAGGTCAGTCGTTTTGGCAGGCAAGGGCAATGTATATGTACTGACCATCGGTGTGGCGTAGAACCCCGCGATCACTGTCTGGGAGTACCCGAACCCGAGTGGGCGAGGTTGGCCCAGCAATACGACATTTGTCGTCTGCACCCACTCGCTTTAGCGAGTTTCCAAGCACATTCCACGGCTTTACTCACGTTTAGACCAACAGAAAACCCGAACACCCACGCCTCGAAGAAAAGCACCGAGAGCAAATGCGGACGCCAGAGGACATCGAGCGGGCAGATGACGACCTCGCGCCAGCTGGATCGATATTTGGCCATTTTGAACCCAGTAAGCCCGAATACCGTCTCGACGCGGTAGCGTAACCCTGATGACGGGCGAGGAGGGATGGGATCCACTGCCCGATCGTAGATTCTACAACATATTCAGATGCTAAGGGCAAAGTAAGTGAAGGTTTGGGCTGACGTTTCTTCACCGAAGAAGAGGATGACGATGACGACGATGCCTCCGTAGATGCAGCCGATGCCGTAGGCCCATCGCCAGCTGTGAAGAGCCATTTTTTAAGTCATCTGAATGGCCTTTGAGGTCTACATACGTGGTATTCGCTACAAGGAACCCGAACAAGAATGGAGATATGTATGGTGCGACGAGGAAACCCGCTGCCCAGATGTTGAGCTGCAATCAGCATGTCAGAATTTCTCATGTTTCTCTGGTATGTCAGGAGAAGGCGACACCTTTCGTGCTTGCAAGTGGAAAGGGAAGATGTCGGTGACGATGTATAGCCCCTGAGATACGTTAGGGTCATGTCCGCAATGGTGGCTCATAAGTAGCTTACTGTGACTTGTGGCGTCGTGCTGTGCAGACGGTGTCGTCAGTTATGCTTTCAATGTGTTTAGAGAAAGCGGCCTTGCCCGAAGAATGCTGTCAGGCAGCGCATCGCTATGCAGGGTTGAGACCATAGTGAATATGATGATCCAAATCAAACGACCAAGCCTACCCGTGAACGTCTTTAAATCGGGCGCTACGGTGCATCCTACCAAGAACGCCAAGGTGAGAACCTAAATCAAACGGGTCGCATGAGTCCAGCTGTTACGTACAGGCGCCTATCGGCTGTACCTGTGACCAAAATAAAATGGGAAGTCGTCCGTAGCGTCTCATAAGCATCACACTGAAGAGGCCTCCCCAACCTTAATCCAAAAAACGTATAGAATCAGTGAGAGCCAAATTCGTCTAGGAAGACTGCATGAGCGTACCCAAGAGGAATATACTCCAGCTGCAGGTGCCTGATTTACTCAAGTGCACTACAAGACTAAACTTGAGACCTACTTGGATGTCAGGTCATTGATCTCTCCGGTCGTTGTGTCGAACTGGTATGATAGAGGGTAGAGACACGCTATTCCTGTAATCGAAGATATTGAATTAGGAGTATGATCAATTAGAAAACCGACTACTGACCTATGGCGGAGTCAAAGTCGGGTATGATAGCCGCCATCGTTGCTATGAGTAGCTGTATCGCCTTTCTTCGGTCATCCCACTATCCCATAGTAAGTCAAGAGTGAGCAGAGAATTTAGTAGAGTGCCGTTTATTCGGACGAACGTTTTGGGGGTCATCGGGGTCGTCAGTGGGCTGTGGCCAGAGCACCGTCGTGCCGTCTGCACTGAGCTTGAGCCGGCTTGCAATTCCTTTGCCAAACTCGATTTCTGCTTCCCTGCGAGGGTTTGTTACTCTTTCTGTGCTAGGTATAGAGGATTAAACGCACTTTGGGTCAATCACAAGTCGCCCAGCATTCTTCTCGTGGTACGTCCTGATGTCTAACGGGACTCCTTCAGCACCACTATCTCTTGTGTTTGAGTCCGAGTCGGGAAGCTGCTTTTCAATGGAAGAGTCGTAGACGGTGACTTCGACTTCAGCTTCCGAGATGGCCTTCTTTTTCTTCAGCTCTTCGACAGAGGGCATTTTGGTAACGCGGAGAGATCTTACTGAAGAGGGGCAAGCTCAGAGAAGGCATACTTTAAAGGTCTTTCGAATCCACCAGGTCAACAATTTACGTGAGAGAAGGTTTGTTCCGAGGTCTTTTCTACTGGAGGGGCGTGGGCGGAGCGCTGAACTCGGTCCTAAATGAGAGTCCGTGGATGGTTATGAGCATAGTGAGCCGTTCACACGGATGTGGGGAACGCAACAACGCCGCTGAGACAAAGGCGTATCTGGTGAGATTGATTTTCTGCATATGAGCTAGACTATAGTAGTGTGTGAGGTAAGTGAGGTACCGCTGGAGCATGCTCAGCCTTATTGCTCAGCCCACTCCCACATACGGAGGATAATGAGAAAGTTGAAAATGAAGGATTCGACGTGCCGGCTAAGACTGGTACACACCATGTTGTACGGTCCTGAGGCCTGAACGCTCAAAGGTTTGTATGAAGCGGTAGGAGAGATTGGCTGTATAGCAGAATGCTCCGATGTTTGAGTGACCATTGAACTTCATGTGTGTCACTTACGAGAGGGAGCTCATCATGCAGTAGAAGAGCTTTTTGTTCAAATGACATGTGAAGTCCAGGTTCCCAGAGCGCAGGTCTTGGGTGCTTGGCTTCCGCAGGTTCCACGCCACCGTCTAAGTGGAGTTTACGTTTTGACGTACTCACTGGGACTAGATAGGGATACCCATTCAGCGGACAGAAGACTCTTGCGGGCTTTTGCGAACACTTACAAGAAAGCATAGTGACACAGGAACGTTGGGGGTCTAGATCTTGTCCCATGATGTGGATGAAAGGTTTGAATGTATTGATCCTCCAATATTTTCGGTCATATTACCGCTGAGAGCGGGTCGATTTTAGGTTCCGCCTCCAGTGGCTTGATGCTTAGAAACGTGATCAAAGTAACATTGTTCAGGACAATGGACATGGTCTTGAAAGGGATGAACTCTTTTAAGGCGTAGACTTTGGGCGACGAGTGAATGGCCGGGCGGCCCCAGAAGCATGCATGATCGAAAATGGTTTAGTCAGCAATGCTCACGCTATGCTTTTGGCGCCCAAAATACTTGGTTGTGGCTTCGACATACTATGACAAGCTCTTTGCAAGCGCTCGAGATCCCTGCGAGGCTGGATCAATTTTGCTTCGTGATTTTCCAACATATGCATTATAATGACATCTCAAGGCCTTGGACCGATGGGTTCAAAGCGGGTGATAAACATAGGAAGGTCAAGTGTGGAATAATGAGACACAAGGATGCAAGGATTGCCTGCTCTACTAGCCTATGCAAGTCCTACGTAAATGCCTTGATATAAATCCTTCGCTTGAAAACCCCGTATTTTCATCCAACACCTGGTCTGACGTAATGGCATCGAAGTTGATCGAACTGCTGTATAACCTTCATGGGGAAAACCTTTACTCTGGCTGCATCGATACACAGAATTGCCGAAGGTGAGGTATCCAGAGTAGAAATTATTTGAAGACACTGGCAACCTTTCAGTGACCGTCCTCGAAGATATAAACACTTGATTGAAACGTTTTGGGCCACAAGAATTAGAGGGTGTGTCCAGTTGAAGGTTCGCGTATGTAGTAACGGAGTTGTCGATTAGCGCAAAGTATGATGCGAGAGTCCTTGTAGTGATATTAGTACGACACACCTACTCGCTGACCTATAAAGACTTCATGGCCAAGAACGAGGTGCTCCCGACAGTTTCCCGCCACAGGAACACAACAAGACCAAGCAAGGCAACTCCCGTGTCGGAAACCTTTCTCAGGCCCATTGCAATGGACGCGGGATTTTAATCGGTTAGAATGAAAGGCACTTTTCATTGCCATGGCCATTGCCATGACATTTCTATGGCCATACGGCATTACAGTGGCCATTGCTATGGCCATTTTGATGAAAAGTGCCTTTTATTTTAATCGATTAGAATTCCGGGCCCAATATTGCAATGGGCCTGAGAAAGTTCTGACACGGCCGCAGCGGGCTCTGTTGTAACAGTCCATCCGCATCGTGTCAATCATGATTAATTGATTACTTTCACAGGTACAACCGTTCTTCTCGTATGTTCGTTCTCATACTGCGCCAGTTACTACCTTACAAGGTACCTACATTTCCTTCTTGATTATACTCCTCTGTTGTATGCTCAAGTACTTTGATGCAGCGGGGTCTATTCGTGCTCGAAGTTTAAAGCTTAAAGTTTGAAATTCGAAGCAGCTATGCCTCACGAAACGTGAGCATTGTGATCCTGTGGCCATCAAGGCTCCAGTCATACGCGTAGTGAAAGGACGAACAATGGTTCTAAGATACTGGGCTTGCTTTGGTTTCTGACAGCGCCGACCCGGCCACAGCTCCCAAAGTTCGCTTATGACAAGTGCTTTCCCGCCCGATTTCCTCCTTTACTGAGCATCAAGCTCATCATCCGAATCCGGACATAAATCTTGAGCATCTCTTCAATAACCAAGTACGAGCCATATGCATAAATGACTGTATAGTAAGTTATGACTATTTTCGGTGGCAAGCCGACAGCTTAGCGCTTATTAATATTCCCCGTTGTCGCAATCTAGAAAGCTGTGCATGCACTCTGACAACATCGACCCCCACTAGCTGTACTGCTTGAACCAGCTTCCCTAAACCATGCATTTTCTCACTCGTAGACGAGCACATCCTACCAGTACAGGGCCCAGCATACGGACCACACAGCCTGTACGTATAATAGCTGTAGTCTTCACGCTGATATCAAGTTGATTACGAAACATTGGGGCAAGTAGAGCAGCAAGTTGAAACAGGGAACATGCAGCACCATTTCTCACACTCCGTCGACTTTAGGCTCTTCGCAGACTCTTCTTCCTCAGACTTGGGATTCGTCCCGAAGTCAATCGCTACAGTGGTCCGATCGAAAGGGCACCATTCACTCGGATAGTATGTCTAACAAACCGTCTTTATCTATAGTGCTTCCACCATCTAATTAAATCCGTGTTTTTCCAACCGCCATAGGTTCATTGTCAGCACCGATCTTAGCTCTCGACAAGCTTTCTGATAAGGTTCACAAATTTGAACGCTATGTTTTCAACGACATTCCGATTCGTTTCATCTATATCCCTACTATGCAGCTAGTCGGAAGAGAGTTTGTCGCAAAGCATCTACGGGAAAGCGTCAATTCACACCTCCAGTGCAGCAGCGAAAGACACACAGACTTTCGTCCCGACGCCTTTGTCAAGTACGCTGTTTTGTCGCACAGATGGTTTTCGGAGGAAGAAGAGGTCTCAGTAGATGACTTCGGGAGGCTTATGCACGGAGACGATGACACGCTTGCTTTCAGGAAGAAACGTGGTTGGGCCAAGATCACGATGTTCTGCAGACAGGCGACGCAGCGACATATAGACTTCGCATGGGTCGATACGTGCTGTATCGACAAGGCCAGCAGCGCCGAGCTCGACGAGAGCATACGCTCAATGTTCAGATGGTACCGGAACGCGGCGGTTTGCATGGTATTGTTGGCGGAAACACATACGGCCGCACAAGCGCAAGCGCAAGATGCAAGTAACCACGATGAGTGGTTTTCGCGTGGCTGGACGCTTCAGGAATTGCTCGCACCTAGGTGTCTGAAGTTTTTCCTTGCGGACTGGACAGAGCTCACGAACAAGGAGAACGACAAGTCACTGCGGTCTCCGTACTTTGTGGAAAGGATCACAGGCATCACCATCAAAGAGCTCTTGGACTTTGAGCCTGGCCCGGTCAAGGTCGACCAGCGCATGTGCTGGGCTGCAAAACGGCGAACGAAGAGAGTGGAAGATATCGCGTACTCGCTCATGGGCATCTTCGACGTCAGCATGTCAATCGCGTACGGCGAAGGCGCCGATCGTGCCTTCTGTCGCCTGCTAGAGGCGATCATCTTTGCCGGCGCAGACGTGTCGGTCCTCAACTGGGCAGGGCCACCGGCGCATCATCATGTATCGCAGTACATGCCTGCGTCTCCCGCTAGCTATCTGAACCATCCAGCTTTCAACACGCTCATCAGACCTCCGAAACCACGCAAGCTTGCGCTCACACCACAAGGCATGCAGGTATCTTTCGTCGTCTTTCCGGTGTCTTTTGTCATGCAGGGCGACCCGCAGCGCATTATTCCATGCATGCTAATTCCCCCTCGCCTCAAGAGGCGCCGATTTCCGCTACTTCAAAGGTCTGCAAGCCCGACGCTCGTTCCTCTCAATCATGTGCATGTCAAGCCTCGGTCACGAACTCGCTTTGCAATTGGCCTTATTCGGTTTGAGCCTTCGGTATCGCCGGGGAAAGTTGATGTAGCATTCAGAAATAGCGGCGTTCTTCTCCAATGCGATAGATTCGGCAGATGGGGGCGGGTCATCACAGATCATATCTCGGTGGATTTGTCGCGGGGGGTTAAGGTAGAAGTGGACGAAGGATATGTATTGACGTTGTATTTGTGACGGATCGACAGGTACCGTGTTTTAAGACATCCATATAGAGCCACATTTTTGCGACTTCAAAGCTTCACCCATAGTTTTCCAGCATCGACAAGTGTATGCGCTGGAAAGCAAGACGATGAATAAACCGTGCAGAAACCGGTAGGTCCTCCAGCGCTACATCCTGAAACGTATTGTCTGCCCGTTTTCCCGCAAGCCAAAAGTATTTGATCTGCCGTACTAAAGTTTATGCGCACGCGTCGTTCCTGGTGTTTATTAGAACCACTAGCTACTGCCGACTTCTACCATACCCGACCCGTCAAAGGTCCAGAAGGTGAGTATAGGCAAAGCCGGTGAGCCACTCAGACCAATGATGATTAGCCAGAAGTATAACACTATGTACAAAGGCATGGCATAGAATAGGTATAATCAAACGAACGCTGCAGGTGTGTCCACGAAGTTGAGTTCCATCCTTGTCTTTGCGTATCAGCACGATGGTGCAGATACGGTATGCTAGGATCTCGACCATTTCTGTGAATGAAATGATCATCGAATACGCCAAAGAAGGCACATCAGTGACCGTCCATCGGGGTTTCTCTTTTCTCCTGTATATTTATCGACTTGGACGGACAAAGAGGAACACTTTTCAGTGTCCTCCAACAGTCCCGTATCCGCGCCTCGCCCCATCGCGCTCTTCACCAGCCTCTTCCACAGCCTCCTCCGCGCCCTGCTTGACAGCCGGCCGCTCAGCTGCCAGCCGGTCCATCACCTTGCGCACCTCCCGCTCCCAGTCCGTGCGCACGCACAGCCATGTACTGAACACGCTGCAGTACACGAGCGACACTGTCAGGCCGATCCACAGACCAGCCAGCTTGAGGTCGAAGCGCGGCGAGAACGCGAGGAGGATGCCGAAGGGGATGCCGACGATGTAGTACGCGGAGAGGTTGAGCAGTGCGCCGGTGAACTGCTTGCCGCGCGCGCGGAGGATGCCGGCGGTGACGCCGGATGTGCCGTCGAAGACCTGGAAGAGGGCGACGAGCGGGAGAATGGAGGCGACGAGTTCGACGACGTGCGGGTCGTCGTTGAAGAGGTGGCCCCAGTGGGTGCGGAAGACGAGGAAGAGGGTGCTGGGTGGGCGTAGAGACGGTTAGCGTTCGGAGAAAAATTCTGATTTTGAAGGGGGAAACGTACCTCCAAACGGCAGCCACGACCACGGCGAGAAGGATCGCTACGTTGGATGCGACGCCTGCGCGGCGTGCGTTTTGCTCACCGAGAAGGTTGCCGATGCTAGGGGGAATACAGTGTTAGGGCATCGTTCCGATGTACTGTAAGAGTGACACACACCGAACGGAGGTGGCAACACTCAAAGCAAACGGCGCCTGGTATGTGCAAGATGCCGAAATGAGAAGTACCGACTGGGCCGCGAGCGATACAGGGCCAAGTCTACACAGTTGAGCCATATCAGATCAATCATGTCTAGCCACGGTTCGCCCCCAATCTACTCACTGACTAGCAGCAACTTTAGTTTCGTTGCAGCGTTAGCTTGCACCCCTGATGAAAGAGATAGAGATCACGTACGTCCAATGAGTTCCCAAGACCACCACTCGCTCGCAACCTGGCCGACGCTGGAGAGACCGAGCTGGACGAGTATCCCGAGGGAGGTGAACGAGCGGCGCGAGAGTGGGTGCCACGCCGTGCTGTCGACGAAGAGGGCGCCGTACAGAAGCGAGGCGAGCGCGACGAGGTTGAATGAGATCGAGGTCGCGATGGGAGCGCCGATGAAGCCCAGGCGCAGAGCGGGAGGTCCCCATACTGAAGCGGATGTCTGGTATTAGGAGAATGGGAGGGTGTACAGGAGTTTGCATACCGAGAAGGTAGTTCAGGAGGACGTTGATTGGGGCGATGACGAGGATGATACGGGTCGGGATTGCGAACAGGCCTATATACGGCTTTAGTACCAGTGAGACAAAGAAGATAAACTGGTTGTACCTTGGCATTGGAAGTAGCGCCTGCATGAAAGGTTAATTCGTCGTTAAAACAGACGCGCGTAATGTCAACTTGCCGAGAAATGAGGTTGAACGCATAAGCAGGGAGACCAAGGGAAGCCCATTTGAGGTAGAGCCCCGCAAGCTGAGCTACCTCTGGCTCCTGGCGGAGTAGCAGCAGCAGAGACTCGGCATTGAACCAGATTGCAAAGACGGGCTACAAAATGCGTGATTGGGATGGCGCAATCCCAAGATAGAACATGGACGTACGATGAGCGTTGCGGCCATAACCACGGCTACATCACCAATTAGAGAACAATTGAAAAGTAACGCTGAGAAAAGACATACCCATGCGCTGCGACCAAAGGCCGACAAGCTCGGGCTTATCGGAAGTCCATGCGCTCGGAAGAAGCGTGTCAAGCGTGGCAGCGAGACCCTGGAGAATGCTGTAGCCAGACACGCTGGCGGTCATACTGCCGAGTGTGGCTGCTGCGAGGGAGATGGTGGAGAGATGTCCAATGGATACGACAGAGGCCATGATGAGACTGTACTCGAAGACGTGTGTTCTGAAAACGTCATATCGCGGATCCAGAAGTCAGCATATCAGCCACATATCGCGTATTTCATGGGAAAAGGTGATGGGAAACGGAGGAAATGAAATAAGCGCTGGACGGGGGGCAATCTGGGCACGCGACCTGCAATTCGTAGGCAGAAAGAAAAGGGAGGAAAAGACGCACCCGAAGACGGGGATTGAGTATTTAACGAGGATAGCGAGTTCCTCGAGGTACATTTTGGAGGGTTGATGTGAGTCAGGTCCTTCCGGTTGATAGTCTACATTCTCTGCTATACGGGGCATGAGGACGGGTGGTGCTAGCAGGGGAGTGTGCTCGAAAGGCTTTGTGCTGGACGAGTCTGGTATGGCCATGGTTGGATGTGTGGGCTGAATATACTGCGTAGGATATATGGAACGACCACCGTGGTTGTTGCTGGCATAGTGGCTGAGAATGTCAGCAGCGGTGGTTGAAGTTGAGGGTACCGAAGAGTCATGGTCATCTAGCAAGCGAGTATGCTCTGAGTCGTGATTGTCATTATTGAGTGTAACATTGTCGTTGTCGTTGTCGTTGTCGTTGTCGTTGTCGTTGTTATTGCTGGTATGAGCAAAGTGAGCGAGGATAGCGTAGTCCTGGGGGAGGGAGGACGGTGTTCCAAAGTGAGCTGCCATCTCTTGCGGGATGGAACGAACGAGAAAAGCAAAGAAGAGAACAGTGAAACTCGACTTTCGGCTTTCCGATCCGCACATAGTGATGGCTGTGCAGCACACAATTTCAGTGGCTGTGCTGTCCTCTTCCTGCCAGTCGCGCCTCCAGTCGCGTTCCTCCTCCCCTACTCGACCAACACTCTATTATAACGAGTCAGTAAAAGACTACAAATATGTCGACAACAGCCATGTCCTCCTCGGCTGCGGCACTCTGCTCCCACGTCCAAAACTCTTTCCGCGCAAGACACGCCCGCATCTCCGTCCCGCACACCTCCCAAAACCTCGGCATCCTCTCCATCCTCCTCCGCGCCGGCTTCATCTCATCCCTCACTCGCGGCACCATCGCCTCCCCGTCCCCCGCCGACTTTCTTAAAGCGGGCGCGTCCCAGAAGAGGATATGGGCAGAGCTCAAGTATAGGGATGACAGGGCTGTTCTCAATGGCATGAGCCTCGTCAGCAAGCCCAGCAAGCGCGTGCTCATGGACACCGGAGAGATCAGGAGGATATGCTCGGGTAGGAGGGTGCAGACCGTGAAGCCGCTGGGTATGGGCGAGATTGCTGTGGTCAGGACGGCCGAGAAGGAGCACGAATGGCTCGAGGCGAGGGAGGCACTTCAGCTTGGACTTGAGGGAGAAGTTGTCTGTCGCGCACGGTAAAGGTATGTAAGTCTTTGCATGCTCAAGTGGTTCGAATTGCTTATTCGACTGGCGTCAAGTAGGTTGTTACCCTAGACTTTTTCACTGCTCTCATATACACACTGCGCCCCGCCTGCATGCCCTAATAACACATTCATCTTGCAACTGCCCTTGCATTTCACAATCTATGCCCGCCTTATGCGTCGCTGGAGCAACGCTCTCATTTCTAGCGATTGTATTCTAGGCGGCAAATCTAGTAATAATATCTAGCTGTGTCCAATACCCATCCCCGCGCATGCACCACGCCAAAGTAAAGGGTAAACTACAAAAAGTCAATCCCAATGCCAACCTGCACCCCCTTTCTTAGACCGTCACTTTTCGACGCAACGAGCGGCACTCCGAAGTTGACCTCTACCCGCACGGGGTCGAATCGGTACAGTAGACCCACGCCGGCCGAGACGCTGGGAGCGCGTACGCATGCCGAGACGTTGTCTGCGAGGGATTTTGCTGAGAAAGGTGGTGAGCGTTTGGAGATGTAGAACGGAAATAGGTGAACGCACTTCGATCCATGGCGTCGAGCCGACCCGCGTTGACGAATGCGTGCAGCTTCAGCGGCCAGTGCGGTTTATACGGCAGGTCAGAGATGAGTGAGAGGCCCGTGGCCCAGTACAGGTCGCCGCCTAGCGAGTCGGCTGTTTGTGCGTGATTAGCTTTGTGGAGCAGGAAAGTAAATAGAATAAGACACACGTCCATCGCGCGGGCCCAAGCTATTTGCGCGGAAGGAGCGCACGCTGAGCGGTCCGCCGAGTTGGAACCGGTCCGAGAAGTGGCTCTTGCCCGTGAAGTGGTGGAGAATACCAGCGCGCGCTGACACGGATGCCGACTACAAACGACAACCTGACAGTCAGCGACCGGCACTCTCCTAGCGTGAGTAACATGAGAGACGCACCAAACCGGGGAACAACACCCTCGACGCCTGCGTCTCGCCCTCGGCTTTGTAGAAGGATGCGTCTCCACCCAGAGGGCCCACACCGGCGAGCTCGTGCGAGAACTTGGCGAGCATACCGCGGGCGGCTGCGATACGTGCGCCGGCGTCGCGCGTGTCGAGTGTCCAGCTGTGCGACAGGGCTGATTTGAATGTTTGGCCGGCGGATTCGCGCATGCTGATCGAGGCGGAGGACGTCAGGCTACCGATGTGCCGCAGGACGGCGTCGTAGGCGACCTCGTGGACGCCTAGGGCGCCTTGGTCACTCTGCAGGTGGATCGTTAGCGTCTGTAAACACACCATGATATGGGTGGTGCAAGGGCTCACGCGGATGGCAGCTCGTATGCCGCGTAGGCCTTCTGAGGCGCTCGCGTACGAGGAGAGGTCGCGCTCGAGGCCGTATAGTGAAAGTTCACCGCGGGTGCGGAGGTCGGGTGAGAGCGGGACGGCGAAGAGGGCGTGGTAGGCTCTGCGCGTCTTCGTACCGAACGAGACGTTGGCTTCGACGGTTTCACCACCGCCGAGGGCGTTCCGAATGCGGCCTGTTGCACTCTGTCGTGGAGGTTGTCCATTAGCAAACGCATATATATTCGAATGTTTTTAGGGAATGGGAAAGAACTCACCGCGTTTCCGTCGTTGTGTCCAAATTCGGTCGCAGTCTTGAGGTAGAACTTCCCCTTCTCCCTCGTCTTGAAGACGATGTCAACGTCTCCCGGTGCGGCCTGTGGATCACGCGACGCCTCGATGCGCGCGTCAACGGACTTGAAGATGTCGGTGTCCTGCAAGACACTCCCAATTCCGCGGGCGGTGTGCAGCACGCTCTTGAGCGTCGGGTGGTGCGGGAAGGGGTCCAGTGACGATGTATTAGATTTTGCGAAGGGGTTTTCGGACGAAGAGGGGAGCGGGAGGGAAGACGAGTGCGCGGAGAGCCACGGGCGAACGAGCCAGCCGAGGAAAGGTTTGCGGGTGTTGTGGGCGCCCTCAATGCGGACGTTTGCGACGCGTAGGGGGGCCTCGAGGTTATCGTTTACCTGTGGAGGTGTAATATTAGCATATATGCGACTTGAGAAAGAAGGAGACGCACGAGCTGGGCGAGGTGGAAGACCATGGACTCGTACTCGCCGCGCAGCTTGCGTTCGATGCGCTCCTCCTGCCATTTCTTGATCTTCTCAATGTCATTGTCGGTGGGCTCTGTCGGGTTGCGAGTATTCTGGAGTGGCGGCTCGATGTTGGACGCCATCGGAGGTAAGCAACTGCTTTATGTTTTCTCGACGCGGGAGTGACGCGGGACTCGGTCGGAATTCGGAACGCGCGTATGGCGCTGCCTTTTATGGATAAAATACCCCCTATCATGATACAGCAAAGTCTTAGTTGATGGCTAGCAGAGGAACAAAACAAGCGGTGAAGTGCCCGTGAAGGACGAGAGTTAGTCAAGTCAGCGTTCGGATATTCGGAGGAAAAGTGTGATTGGAGATGGCGGCTTGACACGGAATCATTAGCGATGCCTCGCTTCAGACTGCCCGTCTCGTGCATGAAAATGGTGCCAAGCGGTCATGATCAGGAACTTGAAGGAAATTGGGCGGAGTAAGATGGAAAGTCTCAAAGAATGAGAATGAAGCTGGGAAAAAGAAAAGCCAGTACCTCTGCTTGAACAAGTAGTAATCATGATGATACAATAAACGTCGTCTCTTTAAATTGCCCCCGAATCAGCAGAGCTGCGGCCGGGAGCTGCCTTGCTTGGTCTTGTTACGTTCCTGTGTCTACATAGTGTATCAAGGCGTGTCATCGCTCTGGTGAACTACAACGTCGCAAAAAGGGCACAAATTACTCGACGAATCATCCTACGGTAAGTACTAGTGGTCAACGCACCCCCGACTTTAATATCAAAGTGCTCAGGCCCCTGCAAATGTTCTCCCGAGCTGCCGGATATCATTGACACTGCCAACACCTCCGAGTCCGCTCAGTACCAGTGTCATACTACCAGCCACTTCTTGATGGCACAGCTCCTTGAGGCGCGGAGGTCCAGCTCCGCCATCAAGGAGTGGCTGATCCGAGACTGCTCCCCTCCAAGTAAGTAGGATGTCAGTGCGCGAGTAGGTACCACTTATAAAAATTCCAGCAAAGTTCTCAATGCTGATTTTCGTGTCAGCGTTAGTCAGCACTCGTGATTGTGGGCCATCTTAAATGAAAATGTCAAATGTGTCCTGGTTTGACAAAGGCAAGCCTTGAAATGCCCATAGTATCGTAAATTCGGCTTTGAAACCCCGAGCGCTCTGACTAGAATTCAAGACATATAAGTAGCATCTCATCTTCGCCTCTTTGAAACTATTGACCCTCACTGACATTTCTCATTGTCCCGATCCATGATTCCTTCTCGTATCTTGATTGCCTTTCAGCAATGTCACAGAAAGCTCTCGTTATACCTTCTAAGCAGGCTCCTTTTGTTCTCACCACTCGGCCCATTCCCAAGCCCGGCCAAGGCCAAATCCTTATTAAGGTCGAGTCCGTTACGCTGAACCCCATTGACCAGAGGATCCAGTCATATGGGCTGATTGTCGAGGACTACCCGGCCGTCATCGGTTACGGAATCGCTGGTGTAGTCACAGAACTTGGCGAGGGAGTCATCAAGTTCTCCGTCGGTGACAAAGTGTAAGTGCTGAGTTCTCGCTAAAGTTACAGCTAAAATTGTTCTGATTGCTTGTGCTGAAAACCAGAGCCACGTCTGGATCTGCCGGGAAGAGTGACTTCTGTGGTTATCAGCAGTTCGCTCTCGGTGACGTTCGGTTCACAGCCAAGGTGTGCTTTAACTTTTTACTGAACTTCCTGACTTCATGTTAGTATTTTCATTTTGACTCGTCTACTCAGATCCCCTTGAACCTTTCCTTCGACAAAGCGGCAACGTTAGGAGTCTCTTTAGAAACGCCTGCCATCGGCCTCTTTGGGCCATACAACGCGAAGCTGACTTCTCTCATTGAGCATCCGGGCGCACACAAGGGACAAACTATTCTCATTCTTGGTGGCTCGGCGAGTCTCGGCCAGTATGGTAAGTTTATCCTTCTATCGTGCCCATGGGTAGAGCCAATTGTGTTTTATGTCTTTGTACATAGCGATTTAGCTTGCACGCCTTGCTGGATAGTACTCCAACATCATCACGACTGCATTGCCCACACACGAGATCCTTCTTAGGACTCTGGGCGCGACGCACGTTGTCGATCACCGTCTTCCCGCTGAGGAGATTATCTCGATGATTAAGAGCACTACAGCGAACAACAGCATCAAGATTGTGTATGATACTATCTCCGATGCTCATACGCAGGCTGTCGGGTGGGGCGTTCTCGCCGAGGGCGGCCACATGGTCGTCACCCCTAAGGGAGACGCAGAAACGCGGACTTTCGCGTGGACATACGGCTCGCCGCACACACCTCCGCACTATGAGTTCGGTGAGAAGCTTTGGGATGCTGTCTATGGATGGTTTGAGAGCGGTACTCTTGTGGTACGTTGGTTTCTTGTTAAGTGCGTAATCACTCAGTACCTCATAAATCACAGCCCAACAAGGTCGAATTACTTCCGGGAGGTCTTGAGGGAATTGTGGCAGGACTTGAGCGTTTGAGGGACAACAAGGTTAGTGGAGTCAAGCTAGCTGTACACCCCCAAGAGACAGCTTGAGCTTTCCGGCTTGAAGTAACACGATCTACCGAATTTATCTCCTCACAAACATTGAGCTTGATAGCATGGCAAGCGCCACAAGGCTTGCTGAGAACCACACGTTGACCACACGCAACATAAGTTTTACGTATATGTGTATACGAAACTTTTCTTCCTTTGTATACAGCCATCCTAACGGGCCAAGGATCTTACCTTTAGCGAAGCTCGCGGGCGCAAATCACGCACTAGCTGCATGCTAGACCATCAGTCCGCCTCTTCGCTTCATTGTCATTTACAATCACGTTATCAATGACGAACGACAGGTCTAAGTGGAGCTGTCAGATATCAGGGATGAGTCTATCGAGGTCTGCTGGGTCGTCAACAACAGATGGTAGAGGCAGGTTCAGGGCGTTTCCTTTTCTTAGAAGAGCTCGCATGCGAGAGATAATACCCTTGTGCACGAGTGATGTTGCCCTGACTTCAACGTGAGCGTCGCTGAAATAACTGCTAAACGTGATATAGGCCCAGAGTCAATTAAGATTGTCGAGCTGGGTAACATTCAGCAACCATATGTTATACACGAATTGGTGGAACGCTTTACTGAGGCTGGTAATTCTGCTCCTATGTCGAGGCCTATCTGGTCGTGCCAGACGTTCCTCGAGTATATCGCATATCCGATGGTAAGTTCTTTCTATGGTGTTGAGGTAAGCATCGTCATTTTGGTCACTCATGTTTCCGGCGGGAACGTCTAGCGTGAACGATGGTTGATAAAGCGGGAATGCGAAGTGATCCGGAATGTCACTGTCGAGTGGGATCGGGTTGCCAGTCTGAAATTAGAGCATCACAAAAGGAAGCACGAGCCAGTGCCAAGGCCTGACGCACTAAGATAGATGTAAGGTATGCCCAGGCTCTCGCTGTGTTCGGCGAGTTGTAGCCTCCTATGAGAGACCCGGCGCATGAGTCGATCTCACGGCACTCGCAGGGGAATACTCACCTCCGCCAAGGACCAGCATCCGCTTGCCCCATCCTCTCACTCTGTCTACGCACCATCCCATCCCACCCTCGCCTCCCAGCGTCCAGTTGCATGCGCCTACGGGGTCACCTGCCAGTGCGTCTGTGCCACACTGCAGGACTACAACGTCCGGCTGAAACGTATCCTTCACGCGATCCACGATGCGCCACACACGGGCGTATGTTGCGCACGATGCACCGAGTCGGAGAGGGATGGAAAGACTAAACGGGTCGAGCTCTCCTGTGTTGTCTTCTTCGTTGCCCTCATCGCTTATGGAGAGAGGTAGACCAGCGAGAGGGGAGATCGGGAAGAACCCTGGAGCTGCATGGTGTATGGAGAGCGTCTGCGTGCCAGAAACGAGACAGCCGTCAGAATAAGTCAACCTGAACACGAACCCACAGGATGATCCTTACCAACACTTGTGCTGCTGTTTCTGCACTTCTGGACGCCCGAAACGCATGGCTCACTGCATCCGAGAAGTGAACGTCCAAGTCTAGATACATCACCTTTGGCTTCTTCTGACCATCGGCCCGTCCGGCGTTAAGACTGGAGTCGGGAAGAGGCGCAGGAATCGGTCGCCGCAGTGAGAGAATGGCGAGTACGCAGTCTGCAACGTAACAGAAGCCCGACGCACGGTCCTTCTGGGCGTGGTGTCTGGGCTTGTAGCCTTCAGTCTCCGAGTATTTAGGGTGTGCGGGCAGTCACAGGGGAGAAAGGAAGATGATATAGAGGGTGTGAGAAGCATAAGTAAGCCCACCTTCCGCCATCCCAACACACGGCCACGTCTGTGATACCTGTCCTGAGTGCGTCCACGGCGGTGAACGTCGCGCCCGCCACAAGGCGTATGTACTCGTCCATCCCAAGAAACGGCGGACAGTCCTGATGATGTTTATTTTTGAACATTTGGTAGGAGATAGACTGGAGACGCACATCTTCCAGCCCAAACTCGTTCATCTTTCCCTCGATGCCCACTTCCGCTGAGTTTACCTCTCTCTGGTTCTCTGGATCAAGGGTGTAATCCAGGTACTCCCTCGTATGGTACGTGGCGAGCTCCTTGTATGCGGCCTTTCTTGGACGTATTGGTTGCAGACATCGCGTCCCATCTTCGTGCTGGCTTGCAAAGAGTCTAAATGCCTTGACGAGCGAATGGACGAGCAGCGATCGATTCTTGTTCGATGGAAGAAGAGAGGAAACCTGATATGATTGGTGCTTGCTGGTGAGCGGCAAAGTACGGATGGATGACAGATATACATACTTTTACTAGCTCCTCCGATACGACGTACGCGACAGGTTTGGGCATGGTCGCAGTGACAGAAGCGTGTCAAACTGCGACGCGTCGCGCTCGATTCAGGTCATGCACGACAGGGGCTATTTACTCGCTCGCGTTTTCCGGCACCGTCAGTAACACGAACGTTCAGCGCCATCTCCAGGAAAACGCATTGAACCACGGAAACTTGCGTGGAAGGAATGATATATCAAAGTATTGGACTACTAGTAGGAATGTCGAATGTTAGGGTACCAGATGTACATGTTACGCGAGACACGATATGGTACAATGAGCGACATTATAAAAACAGTGTCTCCACATACTGCTTCTTGACTTGCATCCACGGCTTATTTGGCATGTTCTCCGGCCTAAAGCGAGAGAGATCAACTGGGATGTAGCCCGTGACGACCCTGCGCCACTCGTCGAGAAACATCATTGGTTCATCAGACTCCGAGTACATCTGCGGCGTCCTCTCTGCATACCCACGGCGTTGGAGAAGTACACCGCTATTTTTGTAGAACACAGCAGCGTTGCTTGTGTTGGACGGGTGCAGAAACCAGATGAGGCCGAGGGCGTACTCGCTTCCGACGTCAATCGCGCCTTGTGTGAAGCCAGCGAAAGGGGGAGGGAAGGGACTCATGCCAAGCATCGTCTGATCTGCGGGCATATTCTGTTCTTGTGGATCTACGAGGACGTCATCGAGACGTATGCGTTCTCGCTCGCTGCCAGGACAGTGCACATCAGGCGGGAGGACAAGGTGGAAATATGACTTTCTACGTGGGCCGCCGGGTGAGCGAAGAGGATGGAGCAAGACGTCGCCTTGAGGTGCTGTGCTGTGTACGACGGGGAAGACAACAAGGGAAACTTGCAGACCTTTGCTTGTGAGCGCGAGATGCCTCGGGGCCGTTAGATTGATGTTGGTATAGGTGTCGCGGAGAGTAGGATGGTTAAGGTAGCTCGCGGGCGACGCGGGGAGGTATCTCGAGCCGTGGTGTCGTGCGGGCTGGCCTGCCCAATTCAACACGGAAGTATCACCGCGAGCGAGCATGATGGCTTCGACGAGTCTCACGAACGCGCGATCTGCGCCTTCGCCGTACGCGGTGGGGATGCTGACATCGAAAATGCCCATGAGAGAGTATGCTACATCCTCGCCGCGCGTCGTCAGCCTCTTTGCGGCCCAGCACATCCGGTCGTCGACGCTGGTCGGGCCGGGCTTGAAGTCGGCGAGATCCTCGGCGCTGATGCCCGTGGCCTTCATGACAAAGCTCAGTCTCGGTGGAGTCTCCCTGAACCACTCTTTATCGTTCTCTTTGTATGTAAGTTCGTTCCAGTTCGAGCCGTAGAACTTGACGCGTCTTGGTGCAAGGAGTTCCTGGAGTGTCCATCCGCGCGAAAACCACTCGTCGGGGATGGTAGCATCGCGTGCCTCTTGGGCTCCGCGCGTTTGAGCCAGGAGGACGATGCACAGTGCGGAGTTGCGGTACCATCTGAACATGGAGCGGATGCTTTCGTCGAGCTCTGCACTGCTGGACTTGTCGATACAGCAGGTGTCAGCCCATACGAACTCGAGCTTGCGTTTTATCGCTTCCTTGCAAAACATATTGAGCTTCTCCCAGCCGCGCCTTTTCCTGTCTTTAAGTGTAGGATCACTGCCGCTGGCAATCTTATCGAAGTCGTCCTTGGTCACTTCTTCTGTATCCGGCAGCCATCGGTGGGACAGAACTGCATACTTGACAAGCTTCACGGGGCGAGAGTTTGCGAGTGGGTCAGGATGGTTTGAGGCGACGTACGCGACGATGCTACTCTTATAACGTTGAGCTATGAAGCTTCGTTCGACAAGCTGCATCTTAGGTGCCCATATCATCCGTATAGGGATGTCATTGAAGACGTAGCGATCAAATTCTTGCATCCTGTCCTGGTCTGGCGTGGTCATGACTGATTCCAAAAGCCTAGGAATGACCCTATGGTTAGATTGTGCTGTGAAAAGCATGCACGGGGGCTATACCTTGTCACTTGTAGCTATTTGAGCAGACTTTGAGGCTCTCATGATGCATCCGATTGACGAGACTCCCCGATAAGTCATCGGGCGCTTAAGGACTCAACTCGTGGTGAACAACCAGGAACAACCACTAATTGCGCCGCTACCGGTAGGAAGGCGTCGGCTGGCGGCTCAACGGTTTTCTTTGCGGAAGATCAGGCTTTTCGTAGGCGACACGTTGAGGCATAAAACCATAAAAACTCGTTTTGAGTTTGCGGAATACGTGTGGTATGTTGAGTCTTGGTTGTGACGGGATGGACGTAACACGACAAAAGACGTGGCACGACGACGCATGCTAGCACACGGCTCAAACATAGGGGCTTCAAGTGATAGGGGCTAACATTGATTTCTCGTCTCAACTTTTCGTCCGCCACATAAGCTACAAGTTATGGTAAATGTGATTCAAAAGAGAAAGTTAGTACTTCGGCAACTCTTTGCGCAAAAATTCCTTCGTCAGCTTCTCCCTCTCGTCAAAGATCCGCAGCGCATCCGCTAGCTTCTGCCGTGTCTCGGGGTCGGCGTCGATGGCTTCCCTGAGTGAGTGGCCGTCAAGGTAGTCGATCTTCGCTAGCTCTGGAAACGAGGATTAGATTATATTATAGCTCCATCTACATGATTCCGCGTACCTTCAAGGCTGATCTCTGGAACCTGAATATTACTAGGAGCAAGATCAGACTCTGACCATGCCGTTTGTGGGTCATTCATCTTGTTGAGAACTCCACCAGAAATAGTCAAGTGGTCCGGCTCCAGAGTGACGAGAGCCATGACCTTATACATGGTGCATCAGCTAACAGGAACAATACTACTAGTTAGATAACGTACCTCTTCCGGTGTTACAATACTGTGACCACGCCACCAGAGTTAATGACACCTCACGAAACGCGGAAGCAATGCGTACCTCGCGGGCATGACGAGCGTTTTTGAGTGCAATTTTCTAAATGTGAGAACGACAGAGCGTATCACAGCGGCCATGGGATGCTTTGTCGCCGTATCCTTGCCGTAGCCCATCCATTCTGCAGCCTCGGATGGGAAGTGCACGCCGAGTTCTGTAACGAGTTCCTAATTGGTGACGACATAAGAACGAGACACGGCGGGTGCTTACCATTGAAGTAAGGTGCGACGTACAAGCAGTTCGCTTGATGGGCAGCGACTGCTTGCGGGACTGAGAAGAGAGTGGTGGCGAGTGTTCGAATACCCTTTTCCTCGAGCTCCTTGCAAGCTTCTATGGAAGCTTGATTGGCAGGTATCTTGATACAGATACGATCCCTGGATGGCAAACGTGTAAGTAGATAGAAATGACCACAGATAGCAAGGGAGAAGATGATACTTTGGTATGGCATTATCTCCCTCTCCGTACAGCTTGACGAGACGTGTCGCGTGCTCAACCGTTTTGTCTTTGGAGTCGGCGAATGCGGGAGAAACTTGAGCATGCACGCGTCCGGTAAGGTACGGATATACCCTCTTCCCAAGAAGAGTTGTCTGTATCGAAGATTAGCATATGTTTTGATAGAGACTCAGTATCTGACCAGGTGATCGATAATTTTGAGGGCGTCGGCGTCATTGGAGACATCCAGCTTGTTGTCTCGTGCCCAACCAGCAGCCTTCTGGAGAAGGTCAGAGTTCTCTGGCTTGACTACCTCTGCGTAAACCAGAGCTTGATTGGATGTCATGTCGCAGAAGAGCTTGTTCTGAGCGAGAGGTTTCGCGATGCTAGCATCGTTTGAGTCGACATCAATGGTGACAGAGGTGGAAGTACGAATGTAATCGAGGAGGGTTTGAGAGCTCATTGTATAACGCGATGTGTGGGTGTGAGATTAAGATGCAGAGAAAAGATAAGAGGGAAGAGCGAGCTGCGAGGTGCCATTAGAAGGGTGGGGTTCATCAAACGGAGGTCTGGTGGTCTGGTGGACCTGGTCAACGTGCAAGAGAAAGGGGTTCTGTCTCCTTTTGGGCGTGGGCGGCCCGTCGGTCCGCCATTCATACTCGTTTGGCGGCTGCCCTCTTGTCGTCCCCACTTCCATCTCGTCCGCAACATCCATGTCGCTCATAAGCGATACGGGGTGAGCTTTTATGTTATTATCTACTGTGATATCAAGCTTATCGATAGACAGCTACCTTGTACACAATCTCCGCCTCTCCTACCTTCGTCATGTCGACGACCCTGCCGGTGGCAGAATAATCTCATTTAACACATCCTATGTCTCCAACCCATATATCCGCACGGCATCCATGCATGATCCTCAACGATGGCCGGAGCTGGAATACCCATCCAGCCCGCAAGCTTCGGACGATGAAGACGAAGGCCCTGCCAAGAGAGCTCCCCAGCGCAATGCGCGCTTCGGTGGTGCAACGGGTCTCCGACACACCCAGACGATCATGGGCAGACGCTCTGGCGGGATGGGTATGAACGTTAACGCCAATCGCACATCGACATCCAAGCGCGCCTCTCGCATACTGGCCGCACAGCAGGCGCAAGCTGACGTGGAGGACGACAGTAGTTCACAAGCGCCCACCGCGCGCCCGAGCATCGATGACTCTCAGCAGCGGCCCATCAACGGCAATGCAGAATCGGCATCTCAGACTGCTGCTGGAAATGCCTCAACAACTGGAGAGCAAGCCCCAGCGCCGCCGCCGAGGCCAGTTCAAGTCCAATTCATACCCAAGTTTAAGGGTGCAGCCGAGATGGAACGTCGACGCATGGCCCGCATGCGACTCAGGAGAGGGCCTATCCCTGTCGACGACAAGCCTCAGGTCGTAGTTACGGGCAATCTCAATCCAGAGGACAGCTCGTCCTCGGAGGAACCAGAGGTCATGTCATCTAGTGATAGCATCGACAGTGACTTCGACATTGTGAACCCCCCTGAGAATGGCATGGATGACGGAGATGAATTCGACCCGTGAGTTTTCTTCTTGATGTCTCTATTCGTCGTTCTTATTCATCATGACCGCCAGCGACTTTGCTGCGACTCGAACGCCTGGTGGACTCTCTGATACAGCTTCAGATATGGGCTCCCTTCTCTCCGGAACCGCGCCTGCAACCTCTCCCTCTATTCCCCCTGATTCCCCCCATACCCACCGCCGTACTCGCTCCCGCTTAAGTCCTGTCTCAGAAAGTAGCGCCCCCAATGGCCGCCCCAACCGCGAGGAGGGCACCTCCCCTTCATCAGACTACTTTGAAGTTGTCCGCCCGCCTAATACCAGGCCCGATCCTGCCATTCACGTTACTGCCCCTAGTGCCAACAGGCGCACGTCGAGTTTGCGTCCGCGTGGCGTGTCTATCCTACAAGGCATCGGAAGACCTAATGGTACTGTGGAGGGCGACGAGGGATCGCCTTCTGACCTGACCTTCGCTCGGCGCCCTGTTCCCTCCGCATTGTCCAAGAAGTCGGCGCTTAGCGCTGCCCTTGTTTCTAGCGGTGGTTCGACGAATCCGTTCAGCGAGCTGTACGCAAGCATTTCGGGAAGGGGTGAGACCGCATGCATGGACGTTACCGTGTTCTTCCCGCACGCGACCAAGCCTGCGGGCCGCCCGATGAACCTAAGCGTCCGCAAAGATGCGACAGTAGAAGAAGCCGTCGGCTTTGCTCTGTGGAATTACTGGGAGGAGGGATGGCTACCCAAACTCGATGAGGACCTGAAGGACGAGGATGACAGTCCCTATCTGAAGGCGATGGGGTGGGTTATGCGTATTGCGGAAGACGATGGAGAGGTGGACGAGGATTTTCCTCGTGAGTTTCAAACTAATGCGGATTCAGTCCTCGATTAACTGTGTTGCTCAGCTCCCGACCGGACTGGCAAGATCTCTAAATTTAACATGGACGCGTATGCTGTTCTCCGTGCCACAGCCACACAAATCAGGCAGAACCAGGAACTCGAAACGATGATCGCTCGACGCCCCTCCCGCGTTATCGCAGCTCCACGCAGGCCCTCTGAGAACACGGCCGCCAATGTGCATCCTGCCCCTCCCGGCGTTGGCGGTGGTGCACTCACCCTTCCTAACTTCGCCGGCTTAGGTGCAATCTCTGCACACGGTAGCACACCTATTCTCTCGTCCTCACTCGGTCCGTCGTCAAGCCATGGTCCGCAGGTGTTCTTGCGTATCCAGGTTGCCGAGAATGCCGATGCCGCGTTCAGGTCTACGACCATCGAAGTGTGCGTATTTTCTCTCATTCACATCCTCAATTATATCTCATCGGACGTATACCAGATCGGCAGGGATGTACATGCAAGAGTCGCTCGAGCTGGTTTGCAAGCGACGCGAACTGAACCCTAAGGACTATGCGCTCCTACTCAAAGACCCAGTCATTCTTATCCCTCTTGACCGTACCGTTGCCTCCCTCCAGGGCAAGCGCGACCTCACGCTCGTGAAGCGCTCGATGCTGCCTTCGCTTGGGATTGAGCCAGAAAGCAAGACAACCCGTGGTATTGATCCTAATGGTGCGTCCCTTCCTAAAATCTTCCGGTTACCATGTCGTTGTGTATGGCTCATGCCTATATTTGCAGCTTCGATTCTGAAGCGGGCGTCGGACGTGCCAGAAATACAGCTGAGTGCGATGATGGACTACACGAACGCATACAAGGCGTGTTGCTCTCACTGTCATGCTCTCCAAGGCGTGCTGACCCGTGCACTAGAAATATACCATCTACCGCAAAATGCCTATGCTCGCTCGTCAAGAACGTACCCTCGCGATCGACGGGGAGTATGTCCATGTATGTTTTTTTCGATGCTCTCCACGTCACGTGTGCTTGACTCTCCGTCAGATTATGCCGTCAGCGAACAACGCCAACAAAGCACGCGTGGTGTTTGACTCTGGAAAGACCATTTCGTTCCACATCAAGTCGATCGTTGAGTGCCAGCAGTCCACCAAGAGCTCGGTGCTATTCAAGATCATTATTCCACGTGAGACACGCAATAAGCGGTATGATTTCGAGGCAGACACACCGCGTCTAGCGAGCGAGATTGTGCAGACAATCAGACAGCTAAAAACATCACTTGAACGTGCTGGGGCCAACAAGAGTACGAGGAGGAGCCGGCACGTTGTATGAGATTATGAGATACTCGCATAGGATACTGTACTTTTACACAGCCCTTACAACTGAAAGTTTGTGAGATGGCGTGGAAAATCAAATACTACTGTAGTTTTTCGACCTTAGGTTTGGTCACCTGTCCCACCCTCTAGTCAGGCCGTCAAACTTAGGCAGGGGGACATACCATAGGCATAAAGATGCTTAAATTACTGGAAAATATTAAACAAATCCTATTCAAAGTATTCTGATAGCCTATGTTACCATTGTTGCTTGTTAGACAATTGTCGGAAAAACCAAAACAGGCATTTTGACGCTCGGGCCTGACAGCAATTGAAACATTGTCAAGATGTCATCGGAAATGCAGTATTAATAGCGTGGTGATTGTCTATATGCATACTGATGAACAGGTCCGGATCAAATCGTGAGAGTCTTTGTTGCCACACTGAGTAAGCAGTCCAAATGCGGCTGTCAGTGCCAAAATACGATTAGAATGTGAGAGACCCTGTGAAGATGATCAGTGAGCCTACCAAATGAAGTCGCCAATATCGAAATCCATCGCCACGGTATAATTATGCCGTCCCAACGTACTCTGCCTCCACAATCGACATTGTCGAGCGTTGACTCTATACCGCCGTCCCTATCGTACTCATAGCATCTATACTGATGCTGCGCGCTGGCCCGGGATCTAAGGCAGCCAGACAGAAGGCCTCAGGTCCCGCCGAGAAGGTCAAATGTACTCACTGTCCCCAGTATTTCACCCAACACAGCCTCTGCAACCACAAGCTGGCATGTCAGCAAAAACAAGAGCAAGCTAAAGCCTTCAATGCTGCATCGGACCAGCATCACGCGGCTCAGCAACAAGGTGCATCTCGTCTCATCACTGCTACGCTGCTAGTATCACCCATACTTTTCCTTGAAGCCACAATGGATAATACTGAACCCACTCCCGACAGCTCGTCTACTTCACCTTGAGAATGAACAATTACAAGCATCCGCAGCCATCTCCACTTCCGCCTCTGGACCATTGAGTTATGTTGGAGTTCCACAGGTGCATATTCCATCTATATCTTCGGTTATGGATCACATGGCCCCCAGTGCTGCATCGCAAAGCAGTAAGTTATTATCTTAGCAAACATCCATTATGTACTAAAGACTATGATACCGGTAGTAGAACTGTGGGGTGATAATGATGCACCGGATCAGCCTTTGGACGCACCAAGCAATGATGCTCAAGACATCTTGTTTGAAATGGAGACAGCAAGATCACGTGAGTACCGGTCATTTCTTTGAATTCCTTACAGATGTTTTACTGCCAATAGGTTCTGGTTCCAATTTCAGTATGCAGAGCATCAACTTCACCGCGACTGTGCCTCCGTTGACTGCATCGGCTTTGACAAAGGACTTCAAAACCGAATACCAGCTGCGAGGTAGACAAAAGGATAAGTTGGAGACCTGGGATCAATTCCAACACCTCTCGCATGTTCCTCCACCCGTTCTGGGTGAGAATGAAGAGCCATGGAAACCCTTCAAATCTCACAAAAATGCTGAGTTCACCTTGATTGCTGTCGAGGCCAAGATCAGTCAGGCACACATTGATCGTCTCCTGGCTCTCCTTAAGAAAACGGCCGTGGGTAACGCAAATGTTACCTTCCGCAATGACGCTGAGTTGAGGTCCACATGTGACTCAGCAGCGGAGGAACTGACTCCTGTAAGCGCTATCTTAGTGTAGTATACTATATTCTTGTTCCATCATTAATACAAGTGTAATGTGTGCTCATCAGGTTGAGAAGCACGATATCAAGTTTGAATATAAGAAAGAAGAAATCCCTGCGAAGGTATACACATGCGATCTTTGGGCATGTGTCAAAGAACTCCTGAATAACAAGTCTCTCACCCCACATTTCAAATGGGATGCTCAGCGAGTGTTCAGGCGTGATCAAAATGGAGAGTTTGTTCGATTTTACGACGAGCCTTGGACGGCAGATCGGTGGTGGAAGGTTCAAGTGAGCCTTTCACGTACATTCACACTTTTCTACTTTTACTGACTAGAAACCAGGAGAAATTACCTGAAGTACCCGAAGGGACCATTGCGGCACCTTTCTCAATCCTCATATATGCAGACAAAACACGTTTGTCATCCTTTGGAATGGTCCAAGGCTATCCCGTAGTTGCAAGATGTGCAAACTTGCCGACACACATCCGCAATAGTAATGTCAATATTGGAGGTGCGCGTGTGGTTGGATGGCTACCTGTAGTAAGTCTTTGTATCTTCATGAGCTCAATGGTATGACACAATCACTAATTTTGTTCTTAAAGCTCCCTGACACACCTGACAAGGACGGCCTACTTGGTTATGTCAACTTGAAGTGGGTTGTATGGCACAAGTCCTTCGAGCTCTTTTTTGAAGGCATTATCAAGCACAACCTTGCTGGCTATGTCCATAAGTGCTACGACAGAATCAAATGTGCTTTATTTCCTGTTATACTCATGCTTTCGGGCAATTATGAGGAGCAGTAAGTGAACCAGTCTCTTATCTTTTCTCAAATACTTTAATTCATGCTCCTAATCATAGATGTATGATGTCCTTGATATGAGGCCGAAACTGCAAGTGCCCTTGTCCAGTTTGTCTTGTCCCAAAGGATGAGCTTTGGGACTCTGTCACTGACTTTCCTCGCTGAACGGCTGAGGACGGCAAGGGTTTAGTGGAAGAATATGAGCATAGAAAAGGGGTGGCAAATGCAGGGCTCAAAGATCTTGGTTTACAACCGGTTGAGGTGAGATTTTCTTGCGAGTCATTCTTGTTATCAAGGCCACTAACACATGAGCACACCAGAATGTTTTTTGGAAGCTGACACACGGCTCGGATCCCCATGACACCCTCTCTTTTGATCAACTTCACTTCAATCATGGCGGTATTTTTGGGCGGCACATCCTGCCAGAACTTCAAAAGATCCTCAAGCACGTTAGCAAGCAGCGCAAATCTCCAGGTATACTATCACAGTTCAACAATCAGTGAGTACATGTTGTGATTTATGAGGGTGTTATTAACATAGCCATTGATCAGATTTGCACAAATGCCACGCTGGAGAGATCTCAATCACTTCAGTGGTGCTGTCAACACCTCTTTCAGCGATGGGAATAAATTCCAAGACATGTTGAAGGTGAGTATATGCTTGGTGGTTAAATGCCCAAGCGTGTTAATGCACCCTATTCTCTACTAGCAAATACTATTTGCAGCTCAAAACATCCTCATGCCGGACGAGTCTCCAGTAGGATACGCCCTTCTCCAGCTAACAGCGAGCTACCTCAAGCTTGACTCGTGGATCAGCCTCGATGTCCACACTGATGCTGCAATCAAAGCCGGGGAGATAGAACTTGTAAAATTTAATCTACTGCTTGATGTAAGTTGTTTCCTTGTCATTTGGGTATCTGATCTTTCTAACAGAATCCCTAGCATTATATCAACATTGCTGAACAGTCAGATGTACCTGACATCAAGACGGACTGGGACTTTCCAAAAGCCCATTATTTCAAGCACACTTTTGAGGATATCCGGAATAAAGGCACGAGCCGTAACTACAGCACCCAACCAAACAAGGGCATTCACTCCTATCTTAAGCATCATATATGAAGAGCAACGGAAAGGAGTTCGAATCACAGGTATTTGCCTCAGAGGTTTCCCTTTCAGCTTGTGAACTAACTGTGTCATTATCAATGTTCCATTTATTTTTCTAGATACTTTGCCAAAATCAGCATATGCTGATTATCAATGTTATCTTGAGCAGGATCAGCGACTGCAACGCATGAATACGAGGCAATGATGTCAGCAAAGAACACAACGAAGGTCCCGAGCATAGCAACTTTGGGATCTCACCCGATAAGTTTTATATGGGCGCGGCTCAAGCGGTCACAACAATTGGTCAACTCCAAGTGCAACCCCCAAGACAGAGCTCTGTGAACATTTCCCAAACATCTAGCTAGGTTTGTTAACCAGACATTGCCTGACCTTGTCAGCATGGAGGACTTCAAAGAGAAACACATATCTTGGACCAGCTTCAACCACAACTCCGAGGTAATGCTATATAAAATACAGTTTACAGTATTAAGGGAACTGTTCTGACTTTGCTTAGATTCAAGAGTTCCGATTCCTCAAGATCAACTACGAGTCCATGGAGAACTGGAAGCGAAGCACTGACTACTTACGGTGCAACCCCCTTTTCCATGGGAGGGTGCGGTATGACTGCATGTTGGTTCAAATGAGCAATACCCAACAGGTTTTTGCACGACTAACTGTTGTCTTCAAGCTTCGCTTTGCCAAGCTCGATCAGCCACTTGCTTTGGCACTGGTACAGCCTTATTCTGCTGGGCTTCCTGGTAGAAGGGCCATTGATGCTGATCTTGGTCTCACTCGTGTCAAGGCCATCATATGAACATCAGCGTGTGTCATTCCTGTAGGATTGATCGTCCGCGGAGCACTACTCGCTCAGGATTACAGGCCAGGTCATGAAAAGGAGTTTTTTTGTTCTAGACTACATCAACAGTGACATGTTCCTTCGCATGAAAGGCTGGAGCTGCACCTGAATGTGCACTAATCTCAATCTTCCCTTCTTTCAATTCAAATCACTTGTCATGTTCTCTCACTCCTCCAGCCCCTACTACCTTCTATGTGTTATTGTGTCTCTATCCGTGCATTTTCCTCATGCTCTATTACTTGTATGTGTTGCTGATGCATCTCCACTTTCATTACCATCAGTGAAAATGTGCTACAATGCCGTGTCAACGAACATTGGTTTGTAAATTATGCTGCTGTCTGTTTACACAGCACGCACCCCCTTCCTTCATTTCCAGTGTTAGTATCTCGGTCTTCTCTCATCTCCGTGCTCAGACATCTATACACCAGTGCCAGCACCGGCAGACATGTGTCTAGCAAATGTGCCTCGCGTTCCCCTCGCGCCTCTTGCCCATCGTACATTGTACAGCAGAGCTTCACGCCCACGTTCAGGTGCCACAAAAAAGTATGTCTTGTAGAGCGAGCACTTCCTCATCGTCTGAGCATATGCAGACAGCTGGTCTCTTGCAGTGTTACATGTACATCACTCATTGATCAATGCCATCCTCCCATCAACTGATTCTTGATTGAATTGGTTGCCTCATTTTGTCCAGCACTTTCATTTCCTCATACCCGCCCACTTCTATCAAGCAGTGTCCATGCTTTGTGAGTAATCAGGGTTTAATCTGCACATTCATGCCTGTTTTTAATCCTACACAGCCATCTCCATCGTGGGTTCAGACCCACTTGCTCCTCATGTTTGCGGGTTGCTGAGCCGGCCAATTCCTCCTGCACACATTCAAGCTGCAGACAACAACTCAGCCTATTCACACTATGGCTCCTTAGCAGTATAAAATACAGCGCGTTCTTCGTATTTCCCCAGCAGTTCGCCTCATAGTTGGCCCTCATACTCAGCATTTGCATCATTTCAACTCGTTGATTCACCATGGCCTCAGACCCCAATGTCAAAGATTATTCTGCAGAAATTGATGACGCTGCACCTCTTCTAGAGGACAATGACAACTTACAGCAGTTGACTTGACCAGCCGCCTTGCCCGAGGTGACACCCGATGCAACCGTACTCCAGCTTTGCAAGGTAATACTTTTGCTATTTGTGTGTTAGCACTGCCACTGAAACAATACCACATAATTTTCTCAGATTGTTCACGATTATCAAGAGCAGTACGGCAATGTCTATGAAGCCTTGTGTGGATGCAAGAACAAGAACAAGACACTGTACGCTATGCTACTACCCAAAGCACAACACACCTTCAACAAAGGAATTTTCCTCTGAGCTATTTCGAACAAGGAGAAAATCAAGCACGAAGGTGCTCGCTTTGGTCTGACTGTTTGCCCTTGGCCCGTAGAGGGCTCAATTCCACCTTCTCCACTCACTCTGGCTATGAATACTGATGGCTCTGAGTGCTCAGAGAGCCCAGAGAAACAGATCCTGGGTGCCATGGCTGATCTTTACAAGTTTATGAAGGAAGACTTTTGCCCTGTGATGGAGTCTGAGCCGGTGTTTGCGCAGAAGGTATGTCTTACCTTTTATCTCATATCTGGCTTATGTACTAACCTTCAGTCAGTTTTTTGATGGTGTCAATGGCACTTGTTGACCTTACATGTTGACTCTGAGGATCATGATACCCCAGGTATTCGGAGCAGATCTTACCAGCACACAGAAACTTCTTCTCCTCAAGGCGGATGTTGATGCCGAGGGTTATGATTGATTTCCACCTATCTTCTATGCTGATCCGGAGGTACAAGACCCAGCCACGTTGCTCATGTGTGAGCCGACTGTACAAGTATGTTCCACTTTCTCGTCAGAGATTCTCTTAGGAATTGACCTTTTCTAACTTATGGTGCAGGTTCTCATTATCAAACTATTTGGAAAGACTGGTCTACAGATTTGCCAGAAAGTGCGTCCTCACTCCAATACCAATGGATGTAAGTGGGGAGTGAAGGTGATTGATGTGGGAATGATATCCTGTGCTGGAACTGATGTGAGTACTGATTAACATGATAGGAGATGTCACTGATTGTTTGCTAGGTTTGCCACCTCATTTCCTGTGATCGAGAATACTCGGCAATTGGCTCATCCTCCGGGATTGACTATGCGGCTGATAGAGACACAATATATGAGAGTCTGACCACCAGTCACCCTACGTGGCTTACGCACGTATTTGAGTACTACAACTACAAAATCTTTGGTACCCCGCGTGCGTCCTCCATCAGCAAAGGCGCCAAAAAGTCTCCTGGAGACCCCACCCCGCAGCAGAAGTGTCAGGAACAGGAGAAGGCAGTTTTTGCTGTGCTTGAGAAGCACTATGCACCCAAGGAGACTCCTGCGGATCTTTCGTCCACTGGTGATGTTGCCCCGTCCCTCATAGAGCTGACAGAGCAGGTCAACGCTCTTGACCTTGCTCCCCAAGCGGCTGGGGACCCCGACACCCTCCTTGTTGATGCTCTGCCTAGCTCCACCTCAATCTTCGCTGTCAATGGAGCTCCAACGACCACAAACTCTGAGACCATGGAGTTGATCTCCACTTCTGGCACTCAATCCTCAATTGGAGTCCCTGTAAGTCATAGATCTAATTATCTCGTTGGTATTCTACTGATGGTGGTTGCAGTCCAGCTCAAGCATGGAAGTGGTCCCTGCTACCACAGAAGGTAGCTCAACTGAGCTATTGAACCCTGTTTGCATGAATGGAAGGGGAAATGGATGCGGTACCAGAAGTACTGCACCTCAGATTTTGGGAGAGCCGTGTCGTATCCATTCAACTCGCAACAGGCCTGCCTAGATATTTTTATATTTTTCTCGCTCGAAATTCCCTTACTGTTAAAGCCTGTCCTCATGCAATACTTAGACTATCTGAATACATCTACTAGTCAGAGTGTTGGCTATAGTGAAATCTAATGAATTGTCTGTAAGAACATTTGAAACTCCAACAGCTACGTATTATAAGGAAATTTTTCAAAGTCAAACCGAGCCCAACTTTCGTCTCAACACCTCATGTAGTCGCTGAGCAGTCTGACGTCCTTCTCCCGCCGCTCTCTTCCTCTTGCCATTCTCTTCCTTCTGCTGCTCTCCCTTCCCATCTTGTTGTTCTTCCCCCACTGTCTACCACCTCTTTTGCCGCCCACTGCCACCTCCGCCCGCCAAATTATTTGCCTGCCCACCAACTCTCATCCAGAAACCGTTAACTCCTCTGTCCTCTGACCTCCATCTCATTGCGAGGCGACCCCTTCCCCCCTCCCTCGTCACCCACCACCAATTTTGCTACCCACTTCCCCTCCGTTGTCTTGGACCTGGTGCTGCACTTCGCATGACTATGGAAATTCTTGTGAACAGCTTAGGTCGTGTTAACCCATACTGGTGTTCTCATAAGTATTTCTCCTATCTCTTTCGTCTCATTGTGCTAATGTATTTTGTGCAGCCTTCATGTTGGTCATGGTGACCATCGGTGTTAAAGGTAGTGCCCCCTCATCATATACTAGTGAGTATCTGTCAGTCTCAGTCTCGGTAGCTGCATACTCATTCATTTGTAGTACTGATGTTGCAACTATGTTTCTACCCCATATCAATGTATCTCCTCTCCTCTGTGTCGCATCCTACTCTATTGGCAATAGCTCTCCGTGTATTAGCTACAGAATACACTGTTTGATCATTTTTTATGTCTACTGTTCCTATATGACAATTTTGTCAGCGTCAATGCTCCAGAGTCAACAAAACGCATTGAGACGCTCACACAGTCATTGTGATGTGTCAAGATGCGTAGAGATGATTTTGGTTGTCAAAATGCTATGTACTCCATCTCAATGCATCAAAATAGAGGATATGATGTCAGCATGCGAGCTGTGTGTGTATTGACTCAAAAAGCACTGTCAGGATGGCATCTTGACAACACACGATAGCATCATAACTTTACAGCCCCCCATTGAGATGTGTGAGAAATGCTACCGGCGTGAAGATGCATTTCAATGCATCCGGATCCTTTTTCGGTTTGTCCGACACACCCCAGCCAATTGCTCAAGTTGTTCCTTCTACCCAGGTACTCACAAAGAATTGGAGGCCACATCAGGCTCATTGTCCATGTCAGGGCCCATGCAGAACCCAGAGCCTCCAGAACTCAATTAGTGAGTCTGTGGGAACTCAATCATGTTGAGTACTTTAACTGGCAAGGCACTGATGAGTGTAAAGTGTGTGGGAGTGGAGTTGGAGGGGTAAGCACAACAGCTTGAGCACCTGTGCCGATGACCAGCTTGAGGTTGGTTTGCTTTGTGTTGACATCAGGATCATTATTGAGAGTGCTGCCAGAGCCTTAGTCAATGTGTATACAGCACCTTATTTTCCATTATGATTGTCTTTGCTGTCAGTGTTGAGGGCTAATTAAACTCTGAGTCTGAGCAAGCGCAAACTAACACTGTCCAACCTCGGTTTGGTCCCCTGAACCTATAGGGGGAGACAGATGGTTATGGAAGGTACATTAAAGCTCCAACTTCCCATGCCACCACAAACCTTAGGTTGAAAAACTACAGTATGTGTGCTATTTAGTTTACTGGGGTTTGTGGTGTGTAACATGAATGTGTCAGGAAAGAGAAAATGGGTGCTTGGTGGGTTTCCTGGCTTTACCTGCACCTAACGAAAGTAATGACACAGAGTGGAAACTCACACCTGTCCCTACTATATGTTTGAGCAAAATACTAGATTGTATATTCAAGTATATTTGTCTAATGTGATGATAATAATTAAGAACTATTGTGTGGTGTCTATGATAAGTCTTAATTATTCTAGAATGGTATACTGTAGAAAGTATAGTACATGCTTAGAACCCAGGCACATAGAACAACAGCCTAAACATATTCATCAGGAGCATAGTGGCCTTTTGGGTGGGCTTTTAAGAGTTTCAAGGCCTTGTGCCTGTCAGCCAAGACCACAAGACAAAGCAAGGTTGTATTTTGACTATGTTAACTCTGTACCTGCCCAGAAGTATGTGGGACATTCAAGCTAAGCTCCACTGGGGAAACTGTGTCCGGGAATGCTAGTGTAAGGGCCCGGGGGTGAGTGTAGGGTAAGTAGTCAACTTTAGTGACATGAGGGGGACAGGAACAATACTGGAGGGCCGGTGTGTAGAGAGTGTAAGTGCCATAGGCACTGGAGGTTAATGGGAGGATACCAAAGTACAAAGATAGGAGAGATGAGGAGGTAGATGAAGACACAAGTATCACAGAAGACACTTGGAGTAGGAATGCGGGAAGGAATTAGAGATGAGGAGGAGTAGAGGGCAGAAGTAAGTTGATATTCATGTTGAGGAATACAGGCTGAATTATACAAGTATGTATACTACTACTCTAGAGTTGGAGGTAATGTATGATGAGTAAGGAACATGTAGAAGGAACAGATTGTTAGTAAGTAAACATGAGCTAAAATGTCAGATATATTATTGTAGTAATTGTGGAATGATAGAAATGTCAAGAAGTGTCAAAGGTAGACAGGTAGCAACAAGACTAGTAGAAAAGGAGGTAATAGGAAATAACACCTGTCAAACATGGAACAAGGAATTGTAGCAACATGGTGGTGCATCTTGGAATGTCACTGTAGGGAGTTGAGTGTCAAAAGTGCCTCCTGCTAGCCCTAACTCAGACAAACAATGCATTATTTATTGCATATTTTTTGACATGGCCAGGCTTTGACCTTATCTATGACATAAGCAGGCACATGACCAAGCACATGATGGGTCTGGACCATGACATCATATGATGCAAGGATCATGCAATATGGTGTGCTTGTATTACTAAGTACTTGTATTCCTAATTAGGCAGGAGCCCTACCTTTAGTTACATGGTCTGTGTGCAGCTGCCCAGTAGTATATAAGACTGCAATTGATGACTCAGAACTCCAAGAGTGTTCTTTTGTGATTTCCCCTTAAGCTTTGTTTGTAAACCTAAGTCTCAAGCCCTCTTGTAGAGGCATCTACTTCTGCCCAAGCCCCATCTAGGGTCAGGGTTAGTCTTTCTCACCATCATTTCCTCCTGTT